CGAGCGGCGGCAAGATGAACAAACTGTCTAATAGATAAACTACGTCAAAGTATCAAAATCAAAACCAAATCCCACCTAAAATAAAACGGAACTAAACTTACGACCTAACAATACAATACAATCATTCTCCTAACGCAGTCCAGTTGAAAAATTCTGTTTGAGTAGCATATCGGCAATATTGGCTTAAATTCAACCCTCTCGGCGCTCGGACGCGGGGATAAGTCCGTCTGTAGCCGGCGGCACGGCGCGGCGTGCGTAGGGTTGACTCTATACTTATCCCATTTGGATTGTATTAACTGAGGAACGCTGTCTCGTCATCTATTTTTGTGTTAATCATATTACAAGTATATCTTTTACTGGCGTAAAAGTATACCAATACTTATGTATTATTGAAATGGCTGACATTAGAGTATAGTGGTAAATAAAAAGATAGAAAACTTCGCATTCGTTTAATCATATATATATAAACAACATCTCCGATAAATGGACTATCTATGGATATAAAACAATTTCCTGATTTTTTTTCCAAATTCAATAACATTTATTCGAACTAAGCCATAAACGTACTTCTAAAACGTAAAAATAGAATAGATTATATTAATTATATACTATAATTAATATATTCTATATAACTATTATAGTATATAATTAATATATTCTATAATCCAAACTAATATTAAAAATGCGAAAGTAGCTCTGTCTGTCTTTTCTTCACGCCTAAACTATTGAACCGATTTCTGTGAAATTTGGTACAGACATAGTTTGGAACTCAGAAAGGACATAGGACAGTTTTTATACCAAAAATCAGCAGGAAGTCACTATTCCACGCAAACGAAGTCGCGGGCAAAATCTAGTTATAAAACAAATAATAGTCTGTCGTCTGTCCGGTGAAGCTAGGTGCTTGGGATCAACTTCCTATTTTTAAAGGACCTCGAAATATTTTTAAACAAATTTATCCGTAGGGCGATTCCCTAAATACATTTTCTCACGAAAATTATTTTTAGGCGACAGACAGGTAGACAGTGACTTCTAAGCCTGTCCTAAAATTTTCTGAAAACCCTTCATCTGATCCAATTTGACACCCACGACAGTCGTTTTATTTTTACACTCGCCAAAACCGATTCCTCTTTTATTTAGTTAACGTTTTTTATATATTTTAAATCTATACAAATGAACAAAGAACTGTCAATCCGTATAGGTAGAATGATCTTGTAAACTGCAGAAGCAATGTAGATGAAATTGAAACAAAAATATTGCTCGATTTTAAAGGCCAATAGGTGTAGGAGATCCATGCTCCGGCACGAATGGGTCGGCTCGACCGGAGTGATACTATGGCCTCATACATACGTGAAACATCACCGTGTGAGTGAGGTGATCGACAATCTTTCTGCCTCATTTCCTCCAATCCTAGAATAAATAATCCCCAAAAGATCGGCAACGCACTAAGAACTCCTTTCCATGGGCGTCATTGATAGCTTACCGAATCAAATGGTACGTTTGCTTTCCACCCTACTATAAAAAACGGACACAGTTCTATGTGGAGTTTAAGTGTGGGAGAGCCATGCTTCGGCACGAATGGGTCGGCTCGACCGGAGTGATACCACGGCCTCACAGAAAACCGGCGTGAAACAACCACAGTGTTGTGTTTCGCCGTGTGAGTGAGGTTACCGGAGGCCCAATCCTTCCCCTTCCCTAATCCCTCCCCAGTTCCTAAATCTCCAAATCCCTAATCCCTAAATGGTCGGCAACGCACTCGTTACTCCTCCGTTGCGGGTGTCCATGGGCGGCGCTGATTGCTTATCAGGTAATCCGTCTGCTCATTTGCCGACAAATTACATTTAAAAAAAAATTACATACCTACTACACATACCCCTACCTACACATACCATCCTACACAAGATCACAGCTAAAATCCATTAAAGTACAAAACAAGAGATCAGTTACCTTACATATCGGCATCAATCGACCGTCCGTCTGTCATCAGCCGTGCATTAAACGTAGATATTTATAACAAATGTAACGAATCGACCATCAATGCGTATTGTTACGTAACAAATATAACAATAGTGTTTACTTGCAATGTTTCCCGGTAAGTACCGACTGGGATTTTTCTTACAAACTTCAAAAGAACCGATTGAAGGAAGCTCTCGTGCTTTGTTTATAGTAGATATGTTAAGATATATCGTTGCATAATTAGAACTTATACATATAATGCTACTTACTACTGATTTATTTAAAGGGAAAATTGTAGTTTAATCGATAATAATAATAGCAATTTTTCCCCACCCCCAATCCCTCCTCAATTCTTAATTCTCCAAATCCCTAATCCCTAAAAGGTCGGCAACGCACTCGTAACTCCTCCGTTGCGGGTGTCCATGGGCGGCGCTGATTACTTACCATCAGGTAATCCGCCTGCTCGTTTGCCGATCTATTAAATAAAAAAAATAATTATAAAAAAAAACTCGTAAGGTCGTGGTGGCCCGGAGGTTAGGGAGAACGCTTCTCATGAGGCATGAGGGTGTGGATTCGAAACCCGGCAAGTACCAATGTGACTTTTTCCGAGTTATATGTAGGTACTGGTATGATGATGCTATGATTATTTAGACACCACTGACATACGGTGAAGGTAAACATCGTGAGGAAACCTGGACTTATAATTTCTAATTATAAGTTTGAAATCGCCAACCCGCATTGAGCAAGCGTGGTGATTAATGCTCTTACCTTCTCCGTATGAAAAGAGGCCTTTGCTCAGCAGTAGGCACTAAAAGCCAGACGATGAGAAAAAAAACTAGTAATAACGACTGTGAATGAACTTTTCTCTAAATCTTAGAGATTTTCTCAGGTTAATCACGAGAGTAAGTCGTTTAGTTTCAAGCCACAACGGGACTCTTATTCATGAGCAGCGTGCGCGTCGCTGCGACTTCGCGAAGCCAATTCATAAATGAACTAGTAGAACTTATCTAAGTTCATTCACATGAGTAAGACGTTATCTATGCTAATATTATAAAATAAAATTTGTAAGTTTGTATGTAGGGGGTAATCTTTGGAATCGCTGGTCGGATTACCGAAATTCTTTCACTGATAGAATGTTCATGAGTGCTATAGGTTATAAAACATCACGATATGGTTAGATAAATAGAGCCGAGCAGCGGGTGAAACCGCGCGAGAGTAGCTAGTTTTTAATAAATTAAGTAAGTATATCTCACGATAGTTAGGTACTATTCAAAATTTCAAAATGTATAAAGAAGTAGACATAGGATCGTTTATTTTTTTATTTTTTATGTTGAAATCATTAGTTTCGTGTGAACACCATTTTAACACTAAAACTTTTATAAAGGAGTAACCATTCAGCTGGCATACAATTACCAATCATACCATATGTATAAGTCAAATACTGTAACCAAACCACGGTCACTCTAGATCAATATTTAACCATGGCTATCATCATAGCTTGATCTTCAAACTTGACCATCCAACCACTGAAGCAATTTCGCGGATAGAAACCCAAAGAAACGCTGCAGTGAAATTGATTCACAATACAGTACAGACAGACAAATCTATACATTTGCCTAAATACCAGACATAATGATAGTACATACAGTACTCGTCTCGCCGCCCCTGCGGTTGGGGTAAGCAGACATGTAGCTAGTACGCAGTACTGTGTTATCGTTATTAGAAGTATTGGGACGGGAGAATTGGGCAGTTTCCTAGGTCAAAAATAAATGAATTCGACGTTTCAATACAATAAAAAATTTCTACTTCGATATTTTTGATTCAAAAAATTTTTGCTAATTTTTAAGAAATAAGTATCTAAGCTTTAAGAAATATTTGGCGCAAAAAAACTATGACGTCATTATTTGGAGTTCCATACAAATTTCATTGAAAAAATACATTTTTGATATTTGTATAAAGTGTTGAATTTGACTAGTTGGAAACTGCCGTATTTTTTTTATTCTAATTTATAGGTACTGAATGATAGACCGGGTTAAAATGTTATAGGGACCGGGTTAGAATTATTTCAATGCAATTTTCTTCTTAGAGCAGACTGAATCGGTAGTTTAATATTAAAATTTGAATCTATACTAATATGCTAAAGTTGAAGTGTAGTACTATACTTATACTTTAACCCCTGCGAAAAAAAATCATATTTTAGGTCTTAAAATGTAATTGTCCGGGCGAACTTGAAGTCTAGATCTTTATCGATGCGCTATACCCGACTGAACTTAATGTTATTTCTATCTTAAAGTCAGACGCTTGAATTTAGAATGCAGTGACGTCAGCAACTCTGCATCTAGTCTATGATCAGACCATAAACAATCGCTCTGTGTTATGCAAATTTAGAATTAATTGACACTCGTTTTAATTAAAGTGCAGTTTAAATTTGGAATGCCTTATGAATCAATAGTCGATGACGATCAATTCCGAACGTAATTTCAAACAGATAAATTAAAAAAAGAACTTCTAAATATAAAATAAGGTTTCCTCTACTTAGGAATAAAATGAACCATAGAGTATTGACAGTTTTGCTTGGAATATCTAGGTATTTGGGATACAACGCGTGAAAATGTAGATAATGAATAGATAATAAGTACAAGTTAACTTGATAATATAACACGGCAGCAACATCACTCGGACTGATCTCCAAGTCACAGATTTATAACAAAACCGGATTTCATTAATACGATTACAGAATGATCACTTGTCGACCAAATTAATTACCAAGATGTTCTCAGTGAATATGAGATTTTATTGAGCCTGTCCAATTTATCCACTAATCTTTTTATATCATTTATTTTAATGCTACTAAAGATGTAATAAATGATTGAACTAATTTCCTGTTGTAAACTTGTTTGGTATATCTTCGAAGTGACATGGAGTGAGTACCTACAGAGTAGGGACGGCGCGGTTGAAGCGAAAGTTCTTCCAGCAATAAATTGCGGGCGCACGCGGATTGGGCGTCGAGATGGCACGCGTCGCAGCGATGACGTCCTGAAACATCCATGTTTCATCGGCGTCCGGCGTCCGGCGTACGTCCGGCATCGTCCGCGAAGTCCGCGCGTCCGGCAGCCGTGGGCGGCCGCTGTGGGCGTGCAGCCGCTGCACCGCCCCGCCCCCCGCGCGCCCCACGCTGTTTATTCTCGGCCCGAGTGGCGGGGCGCGCGACAGTCGCCCGCGTGACGCGCTCCCGAACGCACGCGTGCGTCAGGTAGATACCGGACACGGTCGGCCGAGCGGTGCATCCTATACCGGACATCACAAAAAATACGTTTGTCAACATTTTCGGATAAATTCGAGTTACTACGGTGACGGAAACGCGAGAAGGGTGTAGGGCGGTGGAATCGCGGAAAATGCATTTCCCGTGTGCATGGCGCAGGCGGTGCGGGCCGGGGGGTGGGTGCATGCGATGATGGACATCGTATTGATTTCTATCTGCCCGCTCCTCCCTTATTGTGGCGGTGCAGGGCGCGCCATCGATCGTTGCACCGGCCCTTCACATTAGCACCACCACCCGATGGACACAGCACCACACGAGGACTGCTCGTAATATATATTGTACACCGGACAGCGGTGCAGTGCCGTGCGTGAACTTGTGCGAATTCAGTTTTATGTTTTATTGCGTCACGTGGATGCCAGTACGTGAGTTACTCACACTATTGCAATTACTCCTAATTACATTTTAATGAAAATAAATGTCATTTACTGTGAATACACCATGTCAAAAAATTGTACTTACAGTTAGTTTTAATAGTGCTTTAAGTTACTTAATTATCAGCTGATAAATTAATTGATTGCGTTATTTTTATTTTTATTAACAAGTGTAGTTTACAAATGTTCTAGTTTAGTGAATAGAAATGTCTAATGATAGTTATTTGTTACGCGTAATTGCAAAATGGCATAAAGTGATTAAAGTTCGACAATTTAAATTAAATTTCACCGCAAAGCGAACAAACTTCCGCTTCGAGTAAATTATAAATATTTATCATCGCTCCTCCACCCTTCTCGCCGCACACAAACATAAATTAAACGCGAATTACAATATAATAAAGTGGATGTCACCGCTCGACCTGCCGGCACAGCGTGAATATATTCATATCTAACGTTCACGAAACTAATGTGGAAACATTTTTCAGAACAAAACATCCAATAATCGCAATACTCACAAACAATCAAGCTTTAAACAAACTTCCAATTTTTTAATTGACGCCTAAGTTGTATCGGATCAAGCAAGAGAGGGAGCGGGCGGTCGTGCGTGGAGCACGATACGGTGATAGTTTTCAGTGCGAAGATTTACGGAAGGCATTACGGTGGCGGCGGTATTGGGGGGCAGGCTGGAATGCGCCGGATTGGACACGTTTAGCGCGCGCGCACGCTCCGACATCGTGCCGCCTTCCGAACACCCGGCCATGGCGACCGAGACCGGTGAGTACCTGCACATCTTCTCTAACTACCTTAACACCTTCCCATTCATACCCACAATACTACGGATTCAATAATCTACAACGTACTGAACAGCTTTTATAATCACATCTAGCAAAAACCAAAAATCTATCCCAATATCGTAGTGGCAAACTATACCTACTAATATGCCATAAAAAAAGTTTCGTCTCTTTAGATTTAGATAATGTTTTTATTCATTTGAATATGAAATGTTTCGATATTTTCTAGCATTATTTCCAGAGGTCTTCCACCTCTCCGAATCTAAATTCGAAACTTAAATTTCAAATGATTAAGAATTAAATTAGCATCGCATTTAAAAAAATATTCTTGCTAAAGTCATAGGCAAAAAAAAACTTAAAAAAGTATTCATGACTTTAAGATGGAGACATTATGTTTAAGCAATCGACGTTATCTAAATTATTAAAGAAATGCTCATTCATTAAAATAAATTGTGCTTCAAAACATACCAGATCAAAATAAAATTGATTTGAAAAATATTAAAAAATCTTTAAAATGTTTTTAAATATTTTTTGCACTGCGCTCTGATGTCGTCAGTTTAATTTAATCAAACCAAATCTATCCAACAATTCTTAGTTTAAACTGTTCAGTTTGGATTCTAATCTGCCTAAACACAGCCATTTTCGGAGCCTCATACACAACACAAAGAAAGCCTTAGCCAAATCCAAAAAAAAGAGTAAAATTAAAAATGTAAAACGTCAATTGCAATGAGACGCAATTGTTTACCAACAGAATGTATACTATGGTACGTACGCGTGGCTACGTCACACGTCCGTATGAGTTCGTTGATATTCTCGCCCCCTCCCGCCCCGCCGTCCTGGCCCAGGATCAACCCCCGCAGGATCAGGGGGATGGGGTGGCCGTTCTTGTTTAATGACGTCGCTTCACTCGAGACCCGAGTTTTTCTTTTATTTGCGCCAAATGCATTTACAAATAATTGTTCGCGGTGAAATGTTTTCAATGTTTTGCTTTTATTTTTAGCTGCTTGTTTCGGTACAAATAGCGTTTTACCCGGCAAATTGCGTGTTTACTACCCGCTTTGTTTTTTGCTCATTGTTTAAGTAAAACGGAGTAACTTAGTAGGGATTGTTTTTAGAGTAATTTTAATTTTCGAAGTCAACACGTTTGAAAACCAAATACACAAATCCGAATTCAAATAAGGAAAATTAAAACGACATTATCCATAATTCATGTGAGTATGAGAGCGCACTATTGTATCCATTTGACTGCCATACCCCGTACTGCGACGCGATTTCCTAACGATTCATAGGGTTAATATAGCGCTGACTACAGATACACGCGTCATAAAACGTTCACTCCGACGCGTTCCGACTCTCACCCTTCCAGAGGGGTGGCAGGGACAAGGGATCAAAAGCCGTGCATTCACACTCAAAATATATCATGACCTTTTTGATATGAACCTTTTATGAACAGTGTGAATGGGTATTTAGAAACAGTTAAAGTGTATCGATTTTATCGCTCTCAAAAACGATTTAGATCTTTTTAGAAAAATTTAAAAATGTTTCTAGGAATCGTGTGTAGTGATTGATTCTAAAACCGTTACTTTTGAGAAAAATCGTTTAGTGTGTAGACTATTACTGTGACTCATTTTTCTTAGGAACTTAAAACGTCTTTTAATTTTTTAGATTATCCGCTTTTAGAAGATGGATCTGTTTTTCATATCTTTCGCATTTCGTTTACGAATATAAGTTTCATCAATCACAAATACCTATTTTTAATGTCGCCATTTTATTCCCGTCTATAAATAAATTGCGCGCTAACTAAGTAATAAATTCAATCCTTCAGTGTGACTCTCGACCGGATATTCTGAGATTAATTAGATCCTTAAATCTTTGTAACAGGACCACGACAATCTCAACAACGCTGGGTTACAAACTTCCATTAAAATTTTAAACTTCGCCGATAGACCCGAATAATTTTAATTTGAGTTAAGTTTTAAAAATTACACGATTTCTATGAATCATATTGAACAAATGGGTTTCATTGCTAAAACTAATTTAACAAGGCGATCGGAGCTTATCAGATTATAAACGGACAACAAAAGACCTTTGATACAATAGGTTAGGCACAAAAAAACGTTCCAAGGCTTTTGATGACACACAATTTGTGAACAAAAGAAGTTTATTTTGTTGATATTGTTGAGCACATATTTATAATAGACAAAGTTGTTAAGACTAAGGATTGATTGACAGAAAAACATATTCATACAGATTAAGCCACGAATAAAAGATATCAAATTGAATTCAATTGATCAAATAACTTCATTTTATATGGAAACACAACAAACATTGATCCCAAAAATAAAAATCCATTAAACATAAAGAAATTTAATCTTGGCAAAGGAAACTTGGGTGTTATTGACTCATGCAAAACGGTTAGCATTAATAGTAAGTACAATACATTATTTATGTCGATTTGGACATTCGTAAAAGACTCCATTTTAATTTTAAAAAACTCTCCCGTTGTTTCCAAGATGCGGTTGTGGGCGACCGTGAGCGAATTTCTAATATATGGAGCTGTGACCGAACATTTGTGTTCTCGAAACAAAATCAGGGAGTGAAATCAGATACAGATTCTTATAAATATTTTTTGTTACTTTTAATCAGTCTGGCTTTGTGATTTTAATTTCATCTTTCTCGCGTTACGTGCGATTTTATTTTTCTTTAATTTGAACTCTAATAGTTTCGTTTTAAGAATTCTGATAAGTTAACATTATAGTAATGATATTACCAATTCTGTGTCGCGTCATCGATGCTTCGTGAAGAAACATTAACTTTATTTTATACCTAATAATACTTATCGATTACTGATCGGAAAATTCCTAAAACATTGCACCTGTGTAAAACCCATTAGAGATCGTCAGCATAAAAGAAAAAATAAGGAAAACATTAAAATAATAAGTCTTAATATCACGTATGGAGCATTCAGATTTTACCTAAGTATTCGTCACTGGCCGTACCTACTGAGATCCTTGACATTTCTCATTATTTACTACCTGCTAGTGCTCACCTAATATAAATATATCATCACCAAACCTCATTATTACTTCAATACGATTTACCTGTATAATAAAATTCAAGTGTCACCAAAATAAAAATATTTTTACGACATCTTTAGGGTTCATTTTTAAATGAACGCCATCTTCGGGCCCTTAACATTTTCGAGTTGAGAATCGCGTTTTAGTAATGTGTTTTAAAATGGATTTAACTGATTATTGCACGTTTTATGTTTCAATTTTATTTTGATTTTGATATTCAAGTTTAAGTTTTAAGGGTTTTGTGGCCTTTTTAAATGTTGCAAACGAGGGTTGTTACCTACTGAGATTATTGAAAAATGATGTTGTTTTATGAAAACAAACTTGTTTAAAAAGCTTATCCAATAGAAATCCCCTGTTTACATACGTTTTCTCTTTCTACTTCAACCATATTTAGAGGTAATATGGATGGCACCTAGATAATAAAATTGATAGAAATAATTACGTTTACATCTTTCGTTGACATTTCAAAACTAGCGATGTCGAAATGAATAATGAATTTTACATATTTTTCTATAAACACAACAATAAATTAAATACATACATAATATGTTATATGTACGAGTAGCTAATTAAAAATCATTTTGGATCCTAAAAATGACTGGTGGCTTGTATTGCCAGTGATCATATACCACATTTTATTGCTTTTGTAAGTATTATATAACGGCTTGGAGATATTTATCAAATACATTAAAATTTAATCTATTGCTTCTTCCACGAACCAAGCAACCTCTTGTGAAATACTTTTTTATAAGATTTTTGACTTCTGTCCACACCGTTTTCACTTACGAATAAATCAAAATATAAGTACTACCTTATAGATGTTTTAAGTGATATCAAAAAATATGGTAAATATACCTATGGTTGACGTGTAAAAGTGTTGTTTTACGGCCTATTTGCAATGATAAATTCATTGTTTCAATGTTTAAGTGATTCGCGAACTTTATACCTTTAAAGAGTGCTAAGATCTAAGATCACTATCCAACATTAAACTGACTTTAATGTTAAATAGTGTAAAATCCGGAGAATATCCATTTTTAGTTTTTATTTTTTAAATAACTTTATCCTGAGATATAGATAGTACCTACCTACTTAAAGTTTTTCAGGCCATATCGGTATAGGTATTCAGTACCCGTGGTGATTTTTGAGAACTTTTCCATACTAAGCATATCTTACGGGCGGCGTTTCTAGTTCAGACATAAAAAATACTAAATACTTATACCTATTTGAGGCTCAACAAATTGGATTTGGTGAAAGGCAGGATATGTGCCTAGATTATGCAAATGTAATATAATTTGGTATCCTCCGTTATTGAACCCGACGACATTGCAATCATCCGCCAATTATGAAATAAATTATTACTACGTTATTTTAATTATTTTAATCTGGTATTTATTGAAATATTAATTAAAATTTTGTAGGTGTACCTATATTTTTTCGAATTTAATCAACTTTCAAAAAAGTCATTTTAATAATTTTGAATTTGAAACGCAAAGCCAGTTAAAATACGAAATAAGTTATAATAGCGTTGAAAGAAGTTTAATATTCAAATTAGTGTTAGTTACATTAGATTATTTATTAATTACTGAGAATGATAAGGAGATAGGAAATTCTTTTTTATATACCTAACTATGTATAAAGCATATATTTTACAACGAAATGAATTTGTAAGGTACACTGACCGCTCTGTATGGCGCAGGCGGCGCCGCGGCCGGCGGCGAGCAGCAATACTCACTGCGGTGGAACGACTTCCATTCGTCCATGGTGTCCTCCTTCAGGCGCCTGCGCGATGAGGAGGACTTTGTCGACGTCACGCTTGCGTGCGCCGGCGCCACTTTTACAGCGCACAAGGTAACAAAACTAAATTTTCAAGTATCAAAATCACTTTTAAATTGCAAACAGAAAATTGCAAGAAAGTACTTAAATATCAAGACCAATTTCCATGCTATGGGATTACCATAATATGTGATATAAAAATTTGATTTACAATTGGTATACATTATAGTGCACCTATTTCCAATAAATTATTTGCATATTTATTTAAATCTTGGAAGGGCTTGCCAGTGTCGCCCGTCGATACCTACCGCATGGGAATTGGTCTTGTTAAGAACTTTCTTGCAGTTTTCTTAGAAAATATCAAGAATTTTAATCACGGACTCAGAACCCACGGTTTTGACTTGTTTATTTTATTTCATTGAACTTTCACACGACGATTGTTGGAATAACTAACTTGTTTTGTTCAGGTGGTGTTATCTGCATGCAGTCCTTATTTCCGGAGACTTTTAAAAGCGAACCCTTGCCAACATCCTATTGTGATCCTGCGTGATGTCCACGACAAGGACATGGAGAGTCTTCTTCGGTAAGTCATAATTTAATTTCTAATATTAAAAATGACAGAACAAGTCTCGGTGTACAGCGTCAGCTATTCCAAGGAGTATCAGCGATTCTTATAAACTAGAGAACAATGAATAAAATATCACAAAATTTACTCAATCAGCTGCCAGCTATAAAATAGTGTATTTTCGCTCTATGCAGGTTTATGTACCAAGGCGAAGTGCACATCGGTCAAGAGCAGTTGAAAGAGTTCCTCAGGGCAGCCCAGCTACTACAAGTGCGTGGACTGACGGACGTCCCTGCTCCAGCACCGATGACCACTTTGGATCAGAAAGCTTCACCAGTAAGTTTATTGACATTTTACTAAACGCTAGTGTAGTCCCATGCTGGGCGCCAGAATTAAAATTGGCGCCCAGAGCGGCCCCAGATTCAGATTTGTTACAGGTCTGGTAATAAACAAAATTAAGTATTGTCAAAAACTAACATTCTTTTTATGTTAAAAAAAAAAACTAAATGGCAATCAATAATTACTAAACAGTCAGCCTCATCATGGACCGAAACTGGCAGTGCTGCATCTCGCGAAGGGAGAGAAGGAGGACAGCAGCGTGAAGGCAGGAGACCACGGAAACCAGACGATGGAGCAAACAACACACCACCACCGAAACGGGCCAGGTCTTCGGACCTGTACCAGGCGCAGTTGAAGTCCAGGTATTACGGAGCATTCCATGATTGCGTTATAACGAATAAACTAAAGCCATTATGATGATATAGACCGAAAAAGTTGATGTTAAAAGAGGATACCCACTTTTCTTATCCTTTTAATTCTTGAGAATGCCAAACACTTTTCTCAAAAGTCTTGCTTCTTCAATATGACCAAGAATACTACCGCTCGAATATTGATAAAGATCGACACAAGTCAGGAGTTTGTGGTGTTTATGATCGTTTCATATTATTGGTGTAGGACGGAACAGCTACTGTCGGCGCAGGGAGCAAGCCCTGAGCGACTGGGCACTAACGGGCACGAGCTAGCCTTATTTGGACAAGCCATGGACACGTCACAAAACCCTCACCTATCCGGAGTTTCAAATAATCTGGTAAGCTTTTAAAACCCTTATTGATAACTAAAAGACAGACATGTCAGCATTACAATTATTACCTTGATCAGAATGTTCACTAGTCAAACAATACCTTAATATTTTGCTTCTTCTAGTCTGGAGACGGTGAGGAATCATCATCGGACGCGGGCGCCAGCGACACGGAGGGAGAGACTCGCGCCAAACAGGAGCCCATTGACTACGACGACCCAGCTACCATGGCCAACACCAACGGAACCCTGCCGCACAACTTCCCCGGACTACTTAATCTACCAGGTATTAGAACAGATTTAGAAGCAGGCATACCTAAATGACTTACCAGTTAATAAAATTCAGCCTGAAAGGTCAGCCGAGCCTAGTTGTACCTTGTTTAGAAAAAGAAAAATAATGGATCTTATTCGCTTCATTTCCAGGCTTCCCCGGCTTACCAGGACCATCAGGAATACCCGACAATTACGGTAAGTGCATTCCTAACTCACACTAATTACTCTAATGATATATGACTCAATACCACACCGTCGCACTGTAATAATTGTCAAATTGCTCCAAATAATTAAATCGACTGGAATAATTTTCATGTCCAATCAACAATATTAATGATACTCAAAAGAACAAAGGAAACAAATCAAATCATTAATTGTACATTATTGAGTCATATACCTTTGCATGTAATAACACTAACAATTTAATAACGAGAACAACACCAAAGCGCTTAATTACTCCACTTTAATCGTTTCGATAAATAAAAACGTACTTTGCCCCCAAAACGTAAAACATAAATGCAGTTAGGAAAATTTTGGCAACCGTGGAAGTTACGTAGCGACCGACCGTCCTAGACGTGCCGTCGATTGTGAGACGAGTACCGAGTAGGAGTGCGCACTGACGGAGACCTCGTCTGCCCCAGGAGCGACCTGGCCGGGCGGCGGCGACCGGGCCGCGCCCGACGAGCGCTCCGAGCGGCCCCCGTACGCCGCGCTGGCCAACGGTGAGCCCGGCAGGCCCGCGTGCCCCGAGTGCGGCAAGCTGTACAGCAACAATAGCAACCTCAAGCAGCACATCCTCAACGTCCACGCGGCGCACGAGCTCGCGCACTCGTGCCCCGTCTGCGGCAAGGCCTTCAAGACGCGCCAGTACATGCAGATACACATGAACTCGATACACGGCGTGAAACAGAGGAGGCGCGACCCCGCCCCGTCCGCGGACCGCTGCGACCGATACACTCACCATAGCGCTTAACGATGTTGTACGGATCTGTGTCTAACCGCCGCCTCTGTGTTACAGGGGCGGCTCTCGCGGGCGGGGCGGCGATGGGCTACCGGCCGCAGTGTCCCCTGTGCGGCCGCGTGTACTCCTCAACCTCCAATCTGCGCCAGCATATGCTCAATGTGCACTCGCAGACCGACCGCGACCAGTGGTTCCCTTGCCAGCACTGCGGCAAGAAGTGCAAAACCAAGCACTACCTCATCAACCACCAACTGCAAGCTCACGGCATCCGCCAGCGACAGAACTCTTAGAGACGGCGCGAAGCCGAGCGACAACCGCCCGTCGCACAGCCACCGCTCGGCTCGCTCAACTCGCTCGGCTCGCTCGGCGCGTGGTGGTGATCGCCGGCGCCGCGATGCTTACTGTCATACGAATAGATGTGCCAAGGACCTACGTGAAGCGAAATCGGAACGGGATTGTTTATCGTATCTATATATTGTATTTAATAACATGACGTAATATTTTTAGAGAGTTTATTGCGTTCGGACGGATCGAAAGTCGAGGATAGGGTCGGGTTTGCCAACCGCTTTGCCCGTAGATAGTTTGTGTAACATGGTGCTGTCGGCATTGCAGATGCCGCGGCGCGACGCGCGTTGGCAAACCCGGTAAGTGATTCGGTGCCGAGTGAGGCGGGGGAGCGAGGGCACGAGTTGCTAAAGTTCCTGGAACAGAGCGAGTTGGTGTGGGCGGGCGAGCGGCTGCAGTGCCCGCTGTGCGCGGCGCGGCTGGGGTCGCTGGCGCAGGCGCGGCGCCACCTGGACGCGCACTACCCGCGCGACAGCCCCGTCTGCCCTGTCTCCTCCTGCGCGCGGTACTTCGCGCACCCCAACTCAGTGCGCAATCACATGCGGATCAAGCACCGCCGCCAGTGGGAGAAGATGAAAACGTTGAAGTGGAGTTGTGGCTGGGCTAACTGAGACCACACCGACCGCTGGGGGACGATACTCATTTGATATTCGGCTTTCTAAAGTTAATATAACGGCTGTGAAATGGAACTAAGTCGAGTGGGGCTCGTAATTAAACCAGAGAATATAATGATCTCCTGGATGCATTTTTTCATATAACGCTGTTCATAAAACATTGTATAAAGCAGTAGGAATAAATCGACTGAAAATTATTTTTGTAGTAGAATAGACTGATATTGTTTAAGTAAGGTTTATATTATAAGCGCATTATGACATGTGATGATTGGTGCCATTGATAGGATACGAAGTGCAACTAACGAATGTCGATCATTCTGATCACTTCCTGAACGTCTGTAACTTCCATTGTTGCTTCTACGGTTAGAGCCTTTCTGTTATAAGCGTGGCCTGGCGTCCCTATACTTAACTAACAACGCTACCTGTACTTCCTTAATGGTCTGCGACCTTCCCAGCCAGATCCAACTATACTGTCTCCGCTCTGGTGAAGCTGGGAGGATTCCGGGCCGTTTCGCGCTATTCGAGATACCTCGTAAATAGTCAGCTTTCGTATCAAAGCTTGTAAGTCCGACTGTGCCACATTTCGCTTGTCCAGACAACGCTTATAAGCGATTGGTATTGTTCTTCGATTAGCTGTTTGTCTTAGGCTCTGGTGTCCTGGTAATGAATGTAGCGTTAGTAGGTTCGATTCACGGTGGGTTCAAGTGGCCCCTCTAGACGGGACATCATTCTGCCACACTACTCCTTCTCAAACATAGCGGTGCAATAGTTTAACTAAGTAGTAAGGAGTTTTAGTTTTTACATTTGTTATTTTTACATTATAGTTTTTATTATTATTTACAAAAAGTTTGACGTATATACAAGGAGTACGTATTGCTTGTTTATGGTAAACGATTGCACCGGTGTGTGCTTACTCTACCTTACCTTACTTATATACTTTCGACCATAGATAAGACAATACGAAATAGATTGTAACGAAATGAATCTAATGCCTTTGAATGCAATAGTTAAGAATAAGTTCACTTCCAAAACATAGAGAATTTATTTTCTAAACGATGTTTGTTCGAGATGCTAGTACGTGAGTCGTGCACAATTTAAAACATATCTAGTCAGTGTAGACAACCGGAGGATTTATTTTAAAATGTACATAATAATCGACGATTCCATTCGCATATATTTTTGTAAACATAAAGGGAATACACCAAGATAAAGATTATTCTGTTATAGAGATATTATTGACATTTATTGCGCATGTTTTGATGCGCCCGCTGCTGAACGAAACATGAAATGCCTTGTTCATAGCAAACTGGGTAGTGTACGCACAGAGCGCGCCAGTGAGCTTGCCGCTACTGCCCGCCAATATATAACGTAGTAATCTCCTACATGAAACATTAGCCTTTAAGAAAGCAATAAAGTACTCGACAAATAGTACAATAGGCCTACGATGAAACTCGCACAATATACTTCACACACGAAGACATACGTTGCCTTAGCATAAAATATTAAGTAATTAGGAAACTCTCAAGTCCATTTCGTAAGCTCGTGTAAATATTAACGAAGATGCCTTCAAAATATATGCGATGGAAACGGATACATTACATAGATCTCCAGAACGAAAAAAAAATATTGGTTAATTAGCGAGTAGATGAAATTGTTCCTGACGCCTGAGAGGCAATGTCGTATATCTTAAACTAAAATTAAAAATAATAAAAAAAAAACATATTTTTAAGCGTAAATTTAGTCATTCAATAACCAAATGTTCAATGTGAGTAAACGATTCTAGTTGCGAATGTATTAGTGATACGATATATACGTAATAACTTAATTTTTACCAGAAGAAAGTGTCTGCTTATATAAATACATAAACAATAAAACTACCAAGTAGAATGTTTTCTTTTATTTCATTAATCATCGCACGGTAATTCACACCAAACTACTTTCTACTAACACTTCTTAACGTTATATAAAACAAGGTAAGAACTACTACTACTAAAAACGCGAATGTGAATTGTAAGCGTTGAAACATAAAGTGTGTTTTTGTATTACAGGAGGCTGTCGAAGGACTCAGGACTTGTTACGCGTGCGAGCGACGGACCCGCGGCCCTGCCCCAAGTGCGGCAAGATATATCGATCTGCGCACACGCTGAGGACACATCTCGAGGACAAACATACAGTCTGCCCAGGATATCGGTTAGTACATAGAGAGAATAATATTACATACAACAGAACATTAGGTACTCGGTCGGTAAGTCGGCAAAAAGACTTGACCGGATTCGCCTGAATTTTTATATAGGACTCCCATCTTCCCGTACCAACAAACTTAAGCACTGAAAAATTCTTGATTATCAAGTATAAATAAATCCATCGCCTTACTAAAATCGAGTCAACATGATCACAAAGAATGAGTCCTATATTCAAAGAACAATTATAAAAATCTTCAGTATAAAAACAGTTACAAGAAACAAACAAGCACAAATTGGTTTAATGTAAATTGATAAGCCCTTATACTGTACTAAAACCCAAAACATTATTTTCCTACAGTTGCGTGCTGTGCGGTACGGTGGCCAAATCAAGGAACTCGCTACACTCGCATATGTCGCGACAACACCGCGGTATCTCGACTAAGGACCTGCCAGTGCTGCAGATGCCCACCAGATTCGATCCTGAACTTGCTAGCCAGTAAGTATACTAACCTTGTGAAGACTACGTACAATACAAAATATTAAACAACTTTTGTGTACTATTTAAGTTACGTTCAGCAAAATTAAGCAATGGCATTATTAACAACGCCAAAAGATTGATCTTCAAAGGTAATCGCAATAAATTAGTCAAAAAAGTCAAAAATCATTTATTCCAATTAGACCTTTACAGGCACTTTTGAACGTCAAAAAAAATTTTGAAGATATGGTGTCAGTCTGTAGGTCAGTCCTCTTAGTGAAGCTATTTGCTCGTTCCAAAGTGTTCTTCGACTAAAAGCATAATCGAATTTATAGGTTACTGGCAAAAGCTGGTGTGAAGGTGTCACCAGAACAACTACGAGCTCGTGCTTCGCCAACTGGTCCTCGACGCTCAGACATCAAGCTGGATGCAAAGTCTGCTGCCTCGGAGAGCAGTTCTATATGTGGAGACAATGATAACGACGACCTCAGCCAATCACGATACCAGGACAGCATACCCGTCTCACCACCACGTAAGTTACCAGAATTTATTTAATTGGAAAAATAACAGCGAAAACTGGAGATGCTTGTACAAAACAATTGACGATGACACGCACTACTTACATTTAAACTTTTCACAAGCCAAACTAAATACAATGAAAAATAACTTCAAGAATTTCAGGATTCGATTTTCATAAAAGCAATTTTCTCCACAGATATAAACAATCTGGCCAACACGACTATCACAAAAGTTCCGGCAGTGCGCGCAGTGACCGCTAAGACAGTGGAGAACCTGCCGCACGGCCTGACTGCTGGCTTGAAGCATGATGACTACCCGCCGGGGTACGGAGGCAGCTCAGCATTGCTGGACACCTACCTGCAGTACATCGGAGAGAATATGTTTGGTAAGCAACAATAACAAAACATGAATCGAACAAAACTGCTTTACATCGTACAATTTTAGATTTTACAATATCATGTCTTCTTCAGCAGGAATGAACGCGAAACTAGCACATCTGAACGCTTTGCACACCGACCGGAAATCTTATGAAGAGCCGTCACCACAAATGGGATCCCTCCCGCCCCCACCGACGAACCTCGCCCACCAGCGCTATCTCAAACAGATGCAGCGGCAGTACACCGAAAACATGAACAAACCCGACATCATGCGAGACTCGGAAGAACCTCTGGATCTCGGGAAGGAGAGACAGCGGAACGATAGCATAAGCGAGACGGACACTGATAAACATGACCTGACGGACAAGGACAACGGCAAGGATTACTATAAAGATTATAATGAGGATGACCGAAGAGGGAACTCGGAGGACCCCGAGAACAACGGTCAGGACGAAGGAGACTACTCAGATGAAGAACACAACAAAAACTCATGAAATGAAGGCTAGTTAACTATAAGTGTGTTGAATTAGTCACGTAGACTACGTGTAACACAGATAGGACAATGTTTTGTTGAAATTATCAAAAGGTGCTTGAGTGTTATGTTTTGTGGTCATTAGCTTGATTCGTTTTTTGTAGTAACGGTTTTAATTGTTGACCCGTGGAATGTCGTTGGTGCCATTTCCGATATTAATGTAAATTTAAAGTTTTAGGATTAAATCGGTTGCAGCTAGGTTGAGTCTGGTTACTTTGCATAGAAGTCGCAAATCCGTATTGCTGGTGTAATGAATGAATATTTGATAGACGTTGCACGTTGCGCCGTGCGCCGTGCGCAACCATGCGCAAACATGCGCTACAATGCGCAAATCTGCGCTCTATATAACCTGTTAGTGAGACATTATTTTTATACCCGATGTGATAACACAGCCATAAATATTCACTTAGCATTTACCTGACACACTAGTTCAGATCAACTCGCCACATGATGTGAGATTGTTTTAGTAGTTAATGACTAGTGAGTAGTGTTTTTGTATTGTGTATGTAAAGGACCCGGTCACGTAGTAGGGCCTCTTACATAGTAATTCCATCCATCTACCTCAGCATTTGGGCCAATACGGCAAACGTTATAAAGTAAAAAAATATCCACACAAATTGTGAAATTCCATCCATCTACCTCACTTCAATAGATTTTATTTAATATTTTATACAATTTATAGATATAAATAACTGTTGTTTTATGCATTTTGCAGATTGCATTTATATATATACTATATAGAGTATATCGTAGGTAAATATATGCAAGTCATTAGGTCATTGTTAGTGCTGCCCGTAGGTACTTGTACTTAATACCGTTATTTTATAGAATGCGCACTCACTAGAGGAACTTTAGACTGTGTCACGACCGTAGCGAGTAATGGACAAAAACCTCTGATATCAATGAGCACACTAACTTTATACGATGAGAATTGTATACGAACAAATATAACAGAGCTTAAATCATACTATATTTAAAGTAAATATACATATATGTGCGTATACTGAATCGCGGACGGCCAAGTTATAACGCGGTAAGGAGCCGATGTGTAACGATTTACACAAGTAAGGTTGCACATTGCAAGTACTGCTGGACGGCCGACGAGGTCTGCCTTGAGACTGAGTACCATCCGAGGGATGAGCTGTTATCGCGTTATCACACTGCGCGCGATTCGTCAAAATGTTCAAATTTGACACTTAACAATATAATATTATGATAAGAGGATAAATAATGCATGTATATAAATTGAGGTGATATGTAAAGTACATATACTTAAATAAATAGTAACAAAAAGCAATAAATAAAGTATACCTTGACGTTGCCTTCGAATTTGTGTAAATACGTGGGTAGTGAACGGTTTGCGTTGGTATTGTGGAAATATGAACCTTATAGTGTACAAGTGAAGGTTTATTTTGTAGTAATGATGTGGGCTCGTTACTTATTATAACAATTACTGTGATTACAATCTCATGTTAGCCTTCAATACTTATACATATTTTTTAGAGTACAATGTTATAGTTATTTAGTATATTATAAGATATTCGTAAGCGAAGTCACAAAATTATATTTACTTCCCGCCCCTGAACGTTAGGATTCACGTTATTTAAGTACTTAGATCAATAGGTGAAAGCATTTAACCTTTTATATTTGAGAGACGTTACATTTATGGAGCGCTGGAGGTATCTCAGCCTGCCACCGGGGCTTGCATAGCTGTCTCGAGCTTGCGGCCGTGGGCACCGCAAGTAGATGCATAGAATATGTCTAGGGTAAGTTGTACGGGTTGATTCAAACATATTTTTGTTTAGTGTGTTAGTGAGAATTGATCATTAAGTCAGTTTGGTTTGCGCAAATATAACCTTGTTGACATTTAACAGTGTTGCCATAGTGAGTAATAATTTTCGACTGTATATAAATTAAGTTTTGTTTGTTTAGGAAATGAGTGCTTAATATTTGATTATTATGAATAGATGCAAGTATCGTTTTATTTAGATTACTCTGTCTACATTCTACTCAATTATAGATTCTTTTAGATGAATAGAGTTGATGCACGCTGTATTTAACATTTAACAATAGACAGTTACCAGATTGTGATTAAGGAAAGTATATATTTTTTCAACACACGCCATTTAAAATACAGATTATAAATAAAGGGGGGCTTATGTGGTTACTTACAGACGAGATGTTAAGTCCTCCAATGATTCGTGTGACGTAAGCCCCTCCTCCCCCTCCGCACTGTACAGTTGTTGACAACGCAGAATATTATAAAACCAGTGAGGGATAATGAATATATAGGACTATAAGTCAACGATATGCTCTCGATGTATGAATACTTACGTTTAGTTACCTTGTGAACTGCAAGTTCGACATTCGTTTTTCTTTCTTTATGTTTGGTTATACTAATATACCTCAGTAGCATGAGTTATCATGTAAAACTTTTATTAGTTAAACGCACAGTTTAATGTTGATTTATGTAACTGTTCGAGTTTTGCGCAATTTACGATAACCGTAGGAAATAATAATGAAGCCAGATTACAGAGTACAAAATAATGAATTGATGTAGTACAGAAATATAAATATTCTTGCAAAATGTTGTTTCTATGTTAATAGATGTGTATGTTGTCGTGAATTGTCGCGACCGGCTCGAACGGGTGTTAGCTGTCGAGTAGCGAGCACAAGATATTAAGTTTTATTGACACGTGACCGTGTGACGTCACCGCGTCACAGTACCAAGTAGTCTTTATATCCCTTCTATATTAGAAGTCGTTGGAATCAATAGGTATATTAAAATATTTAATTACATTTCAATTTAACTGTATAATAATGATTCAATTATTGGAATAGTAACTATCGTGATACATACTTAATTAATTGAAAATAACGACTACTCACTTGAATTAACTGTGATAAGCTCTACTAGGTTCAAGTCAAACCAATCGGTTTCGCGAAGCACCTCATTAACTAGAGCCCCGTAGTGACTTGAAGCTAGTAGAGCTTTTCTTAGCCAATTCACCTGAGTCGTTATTTTTAATTCATTCAATTATTCCTTCATTATGTAATGTTTAAGTACATTTTATTTCAATTTATAATTCTACAAACCTTTTAAATATTACTTATTTAGTCATATTTCCAATACAATCTGCAGTTACTTTATTGTCTTTGTGGCTTCAGGTACCAGAGGCCTGGCCCATATGGTCCCAACTACCTCCATTTCTTTCTATCATTAGCTATAGCTACACCCGTCTTCAACCCCACCCCAGAACATTACAAATTTATCAAGTAGGTACCTACTAGAATTTAAAAGTTTTTTCTCGTATATTTATTGATTCCAAGCGACGCCAATTCTGCCAACATTAAGTTCCGTTTTTTATTACAAGGTGGCGCAACTGTATACGACCGCTGCAATAAGCAAAGCCACCAACCCTTATTTTCAACTCTATTGCTGTTATAATTAGGTGTATTTTTCAAAATCATTTGACTTACATATGGTTAAGTATTTATGCAATAATTAATTAAGGTACTATGGGGATGACGGGTACAAGCCGCCATATTGTATCGTGACGTCACTCCTCAGTAATCGCCATGTGAAATGGATATGTCAGTATTGTTATGGTTTTTAGAGATATACCTAATTAAGGCAGGAGATATAATTTTACGTATATTTTTATAGTTGGAACCACGCCTGAGCCATTGTACATTAGAGTACTAGTTGTACGCTGCTTCATTACATTACTATATACAAGAATAATAAAAATAATTGTTTTGAAGATGTTGTTTCATTATTATTTTAGTAACACCTTCCTTAGAAAGTGTGCATTGGTGTTTTAAGATGGACAATATTGAATTGGTTCACCAAGTTTTAATAACAGAAAGGATGCAATGCTGCTCGTAAATACGAGCCCTTAGCACGGCTTGAAAGTAGTCGAGTATCACACTGAAGAGAATAAGTTTGTTTTAAACAGATAATCTTTTAGAGGGGAGCCAGTGGATTCGGCGTAGAGAGCTAAGAGCCTTTGTCCAGCAGTGGACGTCTTCCGGCTAATGATGATAAATGTTTTGGAATTTTGTAGCACGATATTAGTGTGTTGTTGTTAACTTAAGTCAGATGATATAAGAATACAGTTTTTTACACTCGCAACATTAAATAGGTAATAAATATCTAACAAAGGGTTTCGTAAAATAGTACAAAAATTTGTAACCAAAACAGAAAAGTGTATTTATTTAATGGAATCGCATTGACAAACGTTTACTCCTTCAGTATTGTAATCATTCCTTACATATAAAATAATACCTAAATCTAGAGAAATAAATACAGTACATATTTATTATTATATTATTACATAGTAGGTACATACATTCCACGCTACTTTCAATATATTACTCTTAAAAAAATCTATACTACTTAATCAAAAAACCACACAGTATTCTTTTTTTAAATCTAAAAGCGTTTGACATTTTTAATTTTCGGAACTAAACATCATGGATGAATATTTGTACATAGATAATAAAGAATAACACTAAGCCTCGTGAGTTTTTTTTTAAGAATGTCATTAAAACCTCGTTCGTCTAATCCTCTTTGAGTTGCTTCTTCTTAAAGAGGTAATGAGCGCCAAACAGAGCGCTCATTCTGTAACAATATGTTGGAGTATTATTTTTATGAATAATTATTTGTCGTGGAGATGAGATCTTCTATTTTAATTCAATAACAAGTGTAACAAAGTTCAAACATTGAAAATAAAGCTACATGTTCCCCTGTGCATAGGTATTTCAATAAAATAATGATATATTTTACAGATATTATAGATTCGCCCTTTACCGTATGAGACTGCATCGGAAGTCAATCTTTCGTAGTTTCGACTGCCGAACTAGACGTCTCTGTTTCGACTCTAGGGTCGTGCAAAACTTTATTGTGTTTTTCTTAGTTTAACGTAAAATTCTCAGTAATAGCACAGCGGCTGTAATCGTTTTAAACTAAAATGTAGATAATATATTGTACAATCCTGCCCACATTTACCTTCAGACGACATGTTAAAACAATTATTTTAAACACACATAAACAAAAAACGCGTCACGGTAAACACAATCGATTTTTACAAAACTTCATGTTGTATTTAATTTATTAGCGAAAGTTATTCCCTTAAGCCGCACAAGGCCCGTAGTGATAAGGGCGGCGTGTATTGTTAGATCGCGTGCAAACTGCTCGTAAAACTTAAATAGAAATCGAGCGACTTGGATACAGCTGGGACCTACGTTCTAAACGTTTCAAGTTTAAGGCGAAACCACTTCAGTTTTACTGCATTAAATGTGTTGAATATAATTGTTTTTGTTAAAGGTAATAGGTAGTTGCAACAATTAATAAAAAATTAGAAATAAGTACTCTTTTAACTATGTAAATTCTAGCCTTTCCTCAGACTATTTAGAAGACAATGTTCAAACCTAAAATAACAGAGAATGAACAGAGCAACTAAATATTCGTAAAAAATATCTATTAAAAATATGCGCCTTTGGTTATTTAAATTCCACTAGGGATTTTTAGTAATGCTATATACTTAATAGATTCAACTGATCTCATCGCCACAGACAAGACGAAAATAACAAAACATTATCTATTACTAAAAGTTTTTTTATCTATCTAAACTCTATATTCTATGATGATATAGTAACATACTCACAAAATGGCCAAATGCTATTTCTTGCTGGCCAGTGCTATGCCGAGGCCGACGATGCCCCCGATGGCCAGCACGGCGCCGCTCGCCACTGCGATACCGATCAGACCTTCTTTCTCCATTCGCTTGTTGATTTGACGCTGAAAAATTTAAATAGCACTTTAAAAAGTGGATTTTTCTTAAAAAAAAAGTTGTCGATGTTCTCATTGTAATAGTATAAATAATATACACCTAAAACAAACGGACTACTTAAATCGTCTAGGTTACAAGAGGCCCAATCCTTCCCCTACCTCATCCCACCGCGATCCCTAAATCTGTGAAGCCCTAATCCGTGTTGCGGCTGTCCATTCCCAGCGCTGATTGCTTACCGTCGGGTAATCAGTCTGCACATGTATCACATAAAAAATACTATATTTTTACAAAAAACATACACTGGAACTGTTCGACATAACTTTGAGTAATAACTATTGTTCATACAACACACTGCCCACATTTGCTTTGTATTATCTATACTAATTATAATTTTCCGCGTTAATACCCGCGTAAATATAATGTTCTTAAGATGAAACGCGAAAGTTTAAAAGTTAGTATCTATACTAATATTATAAAGAGGTAAAATTTGTAAATTTGTACGTAGGGGGTAATCTTTGGAACCACTGGTCGGATTTCCAAAATTCTTTCACTTATTGATAGCTACAATATTCCCGAGTGCTATAGGCTATAAAACATCACGCTACAATACGGTAGTTTCCAACAAGTCAAATTCAATACTTTTATCCAAACGTCAAAAACGATAATTTTCTATGAAATTTGTATGAAAAACTGAGCTATGACGTCATAACTTTTTTGCGTCAAATAGCTTACTTATTTCTTAATAATTAGCTAAAAAAAACTAAAAATTAGTATATCGATCGATCGATGAATAAAAGTATAGTTAATTTTCAATATGTTATTGTATTGAAACGTCAAAATAATTTATTTTTGACCTAGGAAACTACCCAATTAAATGGAGCTGAGAAGCGAGTGAAACCGCGCGGGAGTAGCTAGTTTTTAATAAACTTGCAATACAACGAGTACAACGTGGTTTGCTGATAAAACGATAACAACAAAAATAGATTGCTTAATATTAGTCATTATAACTATGCTAGATAGATAATCTATAAAATTAATACAGTAGGCAGACTGATAAAAAAAGTAATATACCAGTGTTCAAATTTTTGACTGTGAAACAAATAAATAGCTTATTGCCTCAAAAATTTCACACAAATATATGGTTATTATTTAGGTATAATATACTTTAATATATTTTTAGTTAATTCTCACACATCACTTCCTTAGACATTTGTTAAACCATGACAAAGTCTGCATATATGCATGTAGTAGATAAATATGAATATAGAAAGTTTTTTGAGCACTATATTATATGTCTATCAGGCACTTATAAATACATACACATACATATGTAAAGAAAGTAAAATAGGTGCTTCAAATAAAAATTATCATTTTCATTGTGACTAAGATTTTAGACAATTCCAAGCCATCTTGAGCAAACATGGTTAATGCCATAATGAAAAATGTTAAGGAGTAGAGCAGTTCAATTACATGTTGATAATGATTGAATGGCTAGACACATACAGAAGGAGCTTTATCACATAAAATAATATTATATTCAAGACCTATCAATACAATGAAAACACAACATACCTCTAAAGCCAACACTTGCTGGTTGGCGGGCTCAATCTCTAGGAAGGACTTGACATAGTGGAGAGCTTTGTTGTACTCCTTGATTCTTGCATTGCCAATAGCAAGGTAGAACAGGTAATCCCTTTTGCCATCAGGGTGTGAATTGAACAACTCCTTTAGGAGCAATATACCCTGGAATATTAAAACACACATCTTTACCAATATTTTTGTCATAAAATATTAAATAGAAATAATGTATGCACCTAGTAATAAAAAAATGCCTTTATTCAAAATATGGAAAAAAAAGCTTATATGCTAGTAAGAAAACTTAAAGTTGCCCATTCTATGTCCAATTACATTATCATCTGAGCAAGTTTCTTATAGAGCAATTTCTTATAGAATTAGTAGACATATTTTTAATATATATTGAAATAACAAAGCACTTAACATTATTTATAAATGTTTGTTGTTACATTACTGATCTATGAATGGAAAGGTTTAACTGATAACAATGACAATTTATTAAATACAAATAAAAATATTTACTGACCAAAGTCCTAGTCAAAGTCAGAATCAAACCATATATTATTCATTTGTTAGACAGTTTTATGTAAATAATTTCCAATAAGATCACTCTACAGGAATGATTCAAAAGATTAAGTCATTGACTGCCAACAGATTGCTGTTGAAGCTAAATCCTCCGCTAGCATGGCCCACATGTTATCCCCCGTGGCGCCCAACGGGTTAATAGTCATTTGAAATGAACCCAACTTATTTAGTTACGGATTAATAGTCATTTGAAATGAACCCAACTTATTTAGTTACTATGAACAGGCTAAGTGATGAAACCAAGTTTATGTTATAACATAAGTTACTCTCCATAGTAAATTGAGTACCTTTAATAGTGGTCTTTTACAATTGAGGACAATGGCTAAGTCATGATTTGATTACTTTTCCAATAAAGTTATTTTTATACAACTCATTATTTACATCAACAAAGCATCATTAGGTACTGTCAAGCAGACATTTTGTTTATGTTTTGCATGACTTTCTTGCAAGTATATGTAGGTAATGCAGAATTACATTCAATTTTATTTTTAGATAAAGGAAGACATGATCTTAATGTCCTCAAGACCTTTAATGCTCTCACTTGGCACTCTCGCGTGGATAAGTTTTTGTAAAGGCTGAATGTTATTTCTTTGTAATGTGTCTATTGTTACAAAGATCTCAAATATGAATTGATACACTTTATTTCTTTAAGCGAATGACGTCAACATTCAGTCATCGTTATTTTTTTAAGCCAATATCAATATAAACTATATTGTGATCTTCGAGGTACCTTTCGTATGTCGGTGGGATATTTGCTCCGTACTAGGCACCAAGCGTACTCGAACTGTGCCTTGTGGGTCACGTTGCCCTGGTGCAGCTGCTCGTGGAACACTTTCTCGAACTTCTACATCACAAATTTAAAATAATGAGTATTACATTCAATGACTCACAAATACAACGTTGCACAAGTTTTCGCATTACTTGCAAATCTTCCGAAGATACTATCTCGTCCAAAACGTCCTCCATTGTTATTCAGTTATATAAACTCTATGTAGAATCCAATCGTATCACAATTTATTCTCCGTGAAGACAAAATAACATTATTTCGCGTTATCAATAATGAAAATTGGAAAATCAAAGTTTTGACGAACTTGACGTTACACAGCGTTTAGTGACAACTGTCATTTGAGATGGAACATGAAGCGTAATAAAATTATGATCCAAATGAAATTAACTTGTACTTTTAGAATAGTATTTTTATATAAATAAGATGAAAATAAAATTCTTAATTTTCTGTGTATAGTTAAAAATAAAAGCTATATTTTAACACGAATGAATAGTGATCGAAGCTTCTTTTTTAGCACAGCTCTATTTCAAGAACAAATGATCAATCAAATGTTGGCTTAAAAGACTCGTATCCAGGCCATAAACTCCAAAAAAAAAAAAAAAAACAATCAAATGTCAATGTCAATTTACCAGTGTCAAACAAATCAAGTACCTACCTACCGTGTCCTACAGTTTTGTGGATTTCATTGTCGATTTTATTATAACGAAACTCTTGTAATTTTAATAGGATATTTATTGGAATTCAGTGAGCACGGCGCTAAAATGCAGAGTGTAATAAACACTGTAAAAGGAACTGCGTTAGGGGTAGCCGGTTATCTTACACCGGTATTGAAGGTAATATCTATCACCTTTGTTACATTAACTTTTATCACTGTTTACAGTTAATTTAACACTGTTCTAAAAATTTATATGCACACTCATCATGTATTCATTGTCGGTAGTCAAAACTACAGATGAACTTTTTTACGCTTCGTTTGTAGTAGAATTATTTATTTACGAACAAAACTAGCTTTATTGTAATATTTTGCGGTCTTATCTCTGGTAATTACTCATTGTCTCACATTTGTAAATAAACGTAATATATATTCTCGTTACAACACGATAGAACTGCCTCCATACACCCACTTATAAATATATCTGAGGTATTCTTATTAATTTTTTATTTATAGGAGTCGAAGTTTCAAGAAACTGGAGTCCTTACTCCTGAAGAGTTTGTAGCTGCTGGAGACCACTTGGTCCACCACTGCCCCACCTGGCAATGGGCAAAGGGTGAAGAGGCCAAGATCAGGCCATACTTACCAGCTGATAAGCAGTTCCTTATAACTAGGAATGTCCCTTGCTATAGGAGGTGCAAACAGGTATTTTTTGATATACCTACTACCTACTTAGTTTTCCACATAAAGAAAGTATTGCGTAACTAAGATTATATTTAATTATTTTTGTAATAAATAATATTATTCCAAATATTATATTGTTTACTCTTATACTAAAAATAAAAATAACATAATTATATTTTTCAATAGAAAATCCAAAACAGTAACGGACAGTTTAAATGTTGTCATAAATAAAAATTTAAAAATAAAAAACATCTACCTACTTTATCATTAACATTATGTAATTACGAAATGAGTTTCTATATCACAATTCTCCTCTTTGCAGATAGAATATTGTGAAGACAAAGAAAAAGTGATAGAGGATGAACATGATGCGGACGGAGGGTGGGTAGACACACATCACTATGACAACGCTGGATCTCCCACAGTTGAGGAAAAGGTAAATATAACAAAGTAACAATAAATCAATAAAAATAAAAATATCTGCTATCTGTTAAATCATTATTTACTTCATCAAAAATGCAAGATGCATTTCTAACATATAAAAAATGCCCTTCAGTCTGACTGTCAGAAAAGCTAGGTGCTCCATACAAACATGTTATATCTTATATCATGGTATGTTTATAAGTAGTTAGAACTTCGGAGCACACTTGAACATAATTGGGAAAGGTCATAAAAATGCCATCATCAAAAATTACTGTCAAATACTGAAAGACCTTCTTTGTCATATTATTATTTACATAACTATAGGATAATTAATTTATAGTGTAAGTGAACTTATATCTAAAATTAAAAGCTGACTTATTGATTCAATTGCTGTTTTGTTTGTTTGCTGAATTTGGGTCACAGCTATTAACTGTTTTATTGAGGCAGTCTGTTGTATGAGTCATTACACCATTATATTCTTTATGGGCAAGAAAGTATCCTATTACGTTAATTTGAAATATATCAATGCAAATTTTATACCAATAAGGGCTATTAGTGTACTATGGTAGTGTGGGTAGATCTATAAATGTTTTAATTTTATTATTTAAAATGCTGCCCAACATTTAGATTCTTCTGTGTTGTGGATGTATTTTTAAGCATATAAACTTTATAACATATACACATCACATACAGACCCGAAAAAACAATTTAGGCATCACACAAGGTGTTCTAGTTGTGTAAGTGACACATTTCCTGTCATTCGGTTGCTTGCCACAGCGCCAGCAGGGTAGTGGTTAGGGCAACGCGCTCTTTAGTCCTGTTGCCGCGACGCATGTTCCCCATGTACAAGAACCTATTTATAACTTGAAACAAGTAAAGCTTTCCAAGTTTAATGAACGTGAGGAATTTATTTTCCTAAAATTAAAAATACCAATTTTTTAAATTCTTCCCTCAGGTATGTGAGATGACACTAGAAGCAGCTGACACCGGCGAAAGTGACGGTGAGGGGGCCGCGGGTGACCGTGATGACGATGATGATGAGGAAGATGACGAGGATGGAGAGGCTGAAGACATGGAACAGTTCCAAGAGTCTGGACTTTTAGATGAAGTGGACCCAGTAAGTTTTTATTTAACTGTAATTACCTGATTAATTTTATGATCAAGTAACGGCCGTCGCGATTTCGCATAGGTGGTGGGCATAAGTTCTTTTTGTTTTTTTTTTTTTTTGCAATAAATAAATTTATGTAACCTAATTCCTATTGTTACGAGCCTGACGTCACTTTCCTTTCTATGCGGGCTTGGGTTACGGGATTGGATGAAATTAAACACTAATACCGGTTTTAAGACTTTCTATTGCACTTAAGTGACAGCGTCCACGGAGTTAAGTTATCGGCGTTCCTCTCCAGCAGAGTCCGGCCGACTGACACAACTTTGTCGTTCACTGTTCACCCTGACTTAACTCACTTAACTAACTGCACTTCACTATTTCACTGTACTTCACTATTTCACTCACTTTTCTTCTTTTCACTTCTTCATTTTCTTCCGAATCGCTTTGGACTTAGAACTCAACTGCCAGCGGTGAGCCGCAGTTCCGCTTATATACCCCCGGTTAGGTTCTGGAACATTCAATTTCGTTATTCTTTTTGATCGTCATGCCTTCAGAACCTTTCAATAATTTCGTTATTCATTTTTATTTATTCTCCTTCTCGCTCTTTAATTTTTCATTTCTTTCACACAAAAGCTTCCAGATAGTTCCATAAAAACTTCCATCAAATATAAAACTTCATGCTTACGGCGGGACTCGAACTCGGGGTCTCTCTGGTGTAATCCACACGCCTTACCGATTACACCAACTCGTGTTGACAATTCACGACGAAATTTACAATCTCTAGGCAACGTTTGACAACCGTCCATTGACGTCATGATGTCAAAGAGTTTGAACCACTTTTCCGTCACACTATGTTACTAAGGGTGAATGTAACTTCTTAATGGCGATTTAATTTTAGTTTTGAAATGTGTTTATATAATATTACATTGTAAGATATGTGTTAATAAAAGATTTGCTGAAGAGAAATTATAATATTTGTTGGATTAACCACAGTAATAAGTAACACATACTATTAAATCGATAAACTCTTTAATACCCTATTTAAAATAAAATAGTTTAAAGGTAACACAACATGTAAAACCCTTGATATAAAATGACCCTGCTATCTAGTCGCCGTGGACACTATCTGAATATGTATTGCGATTACTGCACTAATTAAAAGTTACAATGTTGCGCTGCCTTCGTTTGTTTCCATTTATCAATTTTATACCTATGTTTAAGTTCATATATTTTAGTTCTAGATCTTTTACTTGTAAATCCATGTATTTTTATGAAAAAAATTTTGAAATTTAACGGAGAGGCTTCGACGTAATTACGACGTAAATATAGAATGTCTATGGGCCCGTTTCGTCCCTTATACAAGTCTCCGATAAACTTATGTGGCACATAATTCATACTAATTACGTGTTATATTTAAATCTTTCCGGTGCTTAGCTGCTATGCTGCTATTCAGACAATATAACATATATAGCTTTAAAAAAATAGTTTTACCGTCTAGAAAAGCGATAATTCCAAATGCTTATGCTTACATTGATGACTTCACAAACTACCTAAGCTTTTTTGTAAGGGGAAAATCATCAAATTACTTCTTTTGCCCAGGATAAAGTGAGAGGGAGTGTTAGACTCTTTCTGACTAATAACCTCCGTTCCTTCTCCTGCTTTAGGCCGAGGCCAAAGTGCCTTGTCGCGCTTGTCCCGCAACCAAGGCTGTCAGAAACTACGCTTGACAATTTAATCATGATGTCAGCAACTATGTTCTATGCTGATCAAAATATGTTTTTTCCCCAGTCAACAGACCTAGCACAGCGCAAGGAACCCAAAGCGAAGCCGGAGAAGAAGGCGAAGTCTGATGGAGACGAGATCGTTCGCACGAGGACCTACGACCTCCACATCACGTACGACAAGTACTACCAAACCCCTAGGCTCTGGCTCATTGGGTATGACGAGGTGAGTTCTAGAACTATATCATCATGAGCCAGTTTCATTCCATTGCTTCATCTTCAACTTGTCCTTTGCTATCCTGGAATACATACATACTTAAAGTCAAAACTTTTTCCAATGGGGGTAGGCAAAAGCTCGAGGATGTTATACTTTTTTAACATTCGTAGATATTATTATGATCAAACAAAATTACCAGTTATGAAGCTTTTTTATGTGATATATGATTTTTATGTGATGGCATACCGTTGATCAGAAATCGGTGCCACCCATACACACTCGCAACACCACAGCATTAACGAGGGCGTTGCTGACCTTTTGGGATCCGGAATTTGGGGTTTGGGGATGGGCAAACGGGAAGGACTGGACCTGCAGCAACCTTTACACACAACGCTGTGGCTGCTTCACGCTGGTTTTTTGGCCGGAGTATAACTCCGGCAAAGCCTATACGTCATCAAAACCCATTCGTCCATTTATGCCGAATTATACCACTTACGCACTTAAATCCACATTCTTAATTCTTGATCAAATCTTCATACCAAATCATTCCTTTTAGCATTTAATTAACGATTAAGCTTCTTTCCGCGTTCTCATTATACACTGCGATTACATTATTCAACAATAAATAACCACTACTGTAACGACCTTGGTTTTATGACTTATTTACCTGCATAACAATGAACTGAATACACATAAAAACAAGATTTAACATCTTGTTTTCATGTGAACTAGACCTACAAGGTGTTTGTTAAGACTTAGACAACACAACCTTAATTTAAGATGGCGGCAGAAAGGAAATACCTGGAAACATAGTTTCTACTAAAAATATGAATTGGCAATGTATAAACTTTGGTTTTTTAATTAATACATAGTTACTGGTGACTTTTTCTGAGTTTTATGTGCTTCCTATGATTATTTACGCACCACTGACATACGGCAAAGGAAAAAATCGTGAGGAAATCTGGACTAATAATAATGACTAATTATAGGTTTTTAACCGCCAATCCGCTTTGAACAAGCGTGGTGGTTAATGCTCAAATCTTCTCCGTGTGAAAAGAGGCCTTTGCTCAGTGGGCACTTATAGGCTGATGATGTGATATATAGGACTATATGTATTTGTTGCCAGGACCGCACTCTACTGAGCGTGGAGCAGATGTACGAGGACGTGTCCCAGGACCACGCTAAGAAGACAGTCACCATGGAGTCCCACCCACACCTTTCTGGACCTAGCATGGCATCCGTTCATCCGTGCCGGTAAGTAATGTATAGCAATAATTATGTAGAATTTACATTATTTAGGTAATACGGCTTAGGGTTTTTTACTAAATTTTGCCCTGTGTCGTGAGTATCCCGCCCGGACCAATTTTAAGATCCTAGAAAGAATTTTCCTGTTCTGAGAACCGATGGCCGATGGTGAAATAAATTTCAATTTTCGATATTAAAGACGTAGGTTGTAGTGAATAACGCCTATATTAAAATGTTATTCTAACATGAAACTTCTCAATTCCAGGCACGCAGAAGTAATGAAGAAAATAATAGAGACTGTGACGGAGAGTGGAGGGGAAATGGGAGTGCACTCGTACCTCATAGTGTTCCTCAAGTTCGTGCAAACCGTCATACCGACTATTGAGTACGATTTCACACAAAATTTCGCCATGAATTAGACTAGCTTCTTAGTAGCTTTTGTAACGCGGCTCGCGGCGTAGCTTCACTGTGGGTTTTAAATGTTTTTAATCGATAGTCTATAAAAATAACTGATTAAATGGCACGGCGGTACGACTGTTGATTTCGACGATATTGCCTTGTTTGGTCCTAGTACCTAATTTACAGTTTTTACAAAACACAATAAATCGCATGTCACAAACTTGCAGACAAAATCGCTAGAAAAATCTTCAAAAACAAATGTCTCACTTGCGCATCATTGCGCTTAACTCTTGCGCATAATTGCGCTGAACTGTTGCACATAACTAAAGAGCTGGCCATGTGAACTTATACGTCACTATTTATGCAAGTTGAACTTTATGTTTAGAGATTTTACCGTCGTATTTCCAGTGTCCCTACGCAATTCTTATAAACACCGCTTTCGTCGTTTCGCCGCGTTTTTATATAGTACAGTAGTGTAGGCCATTTTAATAAATATTTTGCGATTCATATTACTGTGGTGTGGCCCTCGCAATATGAATGTTTATTAATAATTCGGAAATGTGTTATTCAAATATTTTTATAGGTGTTATTAATAATGAAATTGTTTAATAGCAGTGAATATGTTACTGAGCCTGTGCAATGCAAATAAATATGAATTAAATAGCTTTAATTGCAGCATTTTTATGTTACAAAAGTTTTTTTAAGACCTTTTTCCTTATACCTTGCCAGAGACAACTTATAAATAAGGTTTTTTTACTAAACAGATTACAACAAAATATTAATTTTTGATTAAATAGTATGTAGTTTTAGCTTTGATTTGGATTCATTCCATATGAACGCCATACTATAGTTTAGAAACACAATTTAATTGTTTTTTATAGTATTTTAGTTATTTCGTTTATTTTTGTAGCTTTTTTATTGGTAATAAAACTTTATTGATCGCAGCTTTTTACGAATTTATTATGTTTCATAAACTTCAATAGATAATTATACAGTTCGAGTTTAGTTTCACTTTGCCATCTTCCAGTTACGGTTTTAAAAACCTTAATTTGACATTTGCACCTGTCAAATGTCGAATAAATAAATGAAACCTACTTTACTATCCTTTTTGGTTTCATCTGACGCACATACAAACAATATGAATCTTTTCGCCAAATCAACGATGTTAAGTAAAGTTTTTAAATTATTCGAGTTTTTGTTGGAATTATAATTGGTAACTATTGAATATTGTTTTTATATGTTAAGTTATATATTATTATAATAGATACATACATATTATTGTTAGTTTAATACTCCTATGTTATCTTACTCGTAAATGCACCGTTTGGTTTATTTTTGTAATAAAAAATATAATATTTTGCCTTATTAGCTTTGTTTGTTTTATTACCTTCAATAACAGTAATAACAGTCAGTATACCTAATGGCTTTTTAGTACCATCAGCCTATAAGCACCTACTGCTGTTCAGAGGCCTTTTGTTACATGGAAAAAGTAACACTTGCTCAAAGTGGATTAGCGATTTAAAACTTACACTTCCTCGCGATGATTCCGGTATCCGCAGGAACCTGATGTTCCTATGGTTGGTGTCAATTAATTATATCGTCGTCTCATATCTGTCATTACAGTGTTATACAACTCTATACAATGTATACCTGTTCCTATGGTAGGAGGATGTCTATTTTTGAATTAAACTTTAATGTTATAAGGATATTATGTTTTGAAATGGAAGACCAAAATAAATGGTATCCCTATTTCTGTCAGACTTTTTGTGGCTTGAAGTTGAGAGCCGGTTCATGTGTTTTTGCTCTGGCGGCCAATTAATAATGTCAATATCTCTTACCTGTGTCCAATTTTCACTACTAGACTGTACCAGAAAATCATAGTTTCATAGTTTAGTTTGCTCAATCTCCCTCGTTCCCCTTTCCAGCCCATTGGCTTCGTAAGAAATCATGGGCTGGGAAGCCAATGGCCAACGGGCTTCTTATGGACTGGATCTTGCAGCCTAAGGTTAACTCGTAACTAATACCTAGTCATTAAACCAAAGTGTAGACCATAAAAGCCTGGTTGCACTATCATAAACACACGCATTTACTTTCGCATTTCGTTACGTCAAAATATTTGACCACAAAATAATTTGCGCCACTTTTTATTGTCTGCTCGGATACTGACTGAGGGTGATCTCTTTTACCTCATTATAAAAGGTTGCAAGTATAGGAATAAAACAAAAAAATAAATTCTAATAATAATTTATTGATATTTATCACATACAATATGTACAAATCACCATGCGATAATAAAATATAATCAGTACTATGCAACAAAGCCCTCTGAACCTAACCTCTACCGCTATTATACAAAATAATACAACTGCCTCCGAATACACCTTGTATATATATATACAGCAATACATAGAACCATTTGTATCAACATAATATATTGCATAGTCATTGGGTAAAACATCGGTTTTAATAATAATATTATATGACAATAGGTATAAAGTGAATCAACAAACATTTAAAAACTGGGCGATATCATACTGGGCTGAAAGTCATACCAATGATAACGACATGAATTCAAAATTTTGCAAAAAGTTAAATTTCTATATGTCAATTGTACACCCGGTTTCCGAAAGGCTGATCAATGTTAAAATCAATTTAATCTCTTGTCAAGTCATCTGATTGGTTGACTGAATTATCAACAACCAATCAGATGACTTGACAAGAGATTTGACACCTAGTTAGTTGATTTTAACATTGATCGGCCTTTCGGAAACCAGGCATAAAAAGTTACTAATACATTTTCAACCTGCTGTACTGGTAATAAGGTAATAATTCATTAATAAAATAACTAACATAGTCCGTTTCTGTCGTCACCAGAGTATTGACTTCCATTCTCGATAACTACTTCTTAAATAAAAAGCTGCCATATTTTAATATTCTGTATAAAAAACTTGAATGTTCGCCCTGTCATTTATTATGCAAAAACTTAAAAGCCAATTATTTTTATGAAATTATAATTATGAAGCTTTTTAATGATTCTTATAACGTATAAATAACATATTTTATACACGATCTATTTATATAAATATAAACTTAATATCGTAATATATAACATACATAATTATAACGATTTACATTAACTATGCTCTAGATGATTTCTTTGGAAATGTGTCGACGGGCTCAGAATTACAATGCTGTTTACCTACGCTACAATTTATAGAATTATATGAATTTTATAAAAAAAATGTTTTATCAAAATCTACCTTTATACATAACGGTATCTCAATACAAACTATCCAACTTGTGGAGTTGGATAGTTTGTATTGATTTTCGTAACTTTTTTTGTTTAGTTAGTGAGCAACAAAAGCTACAGCTCCGATTTTTTTATAAGTTGTTTTTCGAAATTCTACCAATACAAATAACTACAGAAAATGTTATAGATAGAGCTTTGAATGTCCCTTGAAAAATTTGTTCATAAGGAGTTATAGCTCGTTTGCCAATTAAGGTATCGATTAGTAAAAAAATCACAATCAAATAAAACCAAAGCAACCAATAACAGTCCTCTTTGTGACGAAAAGAGGACTGTTAGGTTACAAACTACTTGTAGTTCTTCCACTACATTGAGTACAATTGACACATTTACCAAAGAACCCACCTCAAAACACAAGACAGGAGGAGCTTATAAATCAACAAATAAAAAATGTTTCAGGTACGCTAATGGCGCTACCGATCCTAATATAAAACAGAGGCGTTATAAGCCACCGAAACTTAATTCTAACTGCATTCACAATAATCACAGAATATACCCACCTTCTACATATAACTAAAGTGTGATGGAACATGATTTGGTTGCAAATTATAACTAAAGGAAAATTATAATTATATGTGGACGTGCGCTGCGCTTATAACGAAATGCTTTCACTACTATCACTAATTTCTTCCTTATTACAGTGTATATTGAGTTAAAATTTGTTTGTGACCGAATCTTTGTTAGATAGAGAGTAATTTAGACAAGAATAATAATTTAATTTAAAATTTTTACAATAAAAAATTTCGCTAACTATACAAATGTTAATAAATTGATTATAGGAAATTTCCCGTGGCAGTTAATTTCAGTATATTGTACTTTCTTTCGTTTTTATAAATAAAGGGAATGCTACAAAAGTATTTTTACTATAAATAATAATAATTTTTAGATCTCATTAACTTTAGTATCGAAATATTCTCCTAGCTACTTCTGTAAGCAGTGTCGAACATTTAGTAGGCAGCCGAAAATCTCGGAATATATTAATATCATTGCTTATACAACCGCACACCAGTACTAACAGTAAAAAATAGCAAAAATGACCCTTATTGCTTTGGTAATAAAAATTATAATGGACAGTGTTGTTTTCGTATTTCAATTGTTACTACTGACAAACGGTTGTTTTATTAAAATTATGTTTAAAAATAATCTCATTCTTACTCATATTCATTCGCCCTCGAGTTTTTAAACTCCCCACAATAATTGTCTACTATACATCGAAGAATAATATACTCTTTTTGTTTTAATTTCGACTAATTTTATATATTTATTAAGAATATGCGTAGTAAAAACTGTAATCCTCTACATTTATACTAGAATTACACACCAAAGGCCATCATCGTTTCCGTATTACTATTATTTTGTTTTTCGATCCCTCAACCTCAAACTAATTCATTCAATATTCAACCTTATTCTTTCGATTATAGAGTCCTTTCTAAGTTTAGGAATGTTTGATTGTCGAATTATAAAATTTTATTCCTCGGACATATTTAATTGTTATTGAATTTCGTCAGCGCTAGGTTTTTCAAGCCTAAAGCGCTTTGATAATTTGTATACTTATGTAGTTCGTTTAATAAATCGCTCGATTGTCGGTTCCTGTCAATATTCTAAAACCACGTTGGACAATATGTGACATTACATCAGTAATTAACTCATGTTTGTGTTAAAAATCAATGATTAAAAATAATATCAGTACCTTGATATCTTCATCGACGGTCATTATAATTAGAGTCGTATACTCTGGGCGTAAAGTTTACTATCACTTGTGTGGCACGATGGCGACAAGGCGAAGTAGTACGAGTGAGAGAAGTTTGTCGAGAGGGTCGAGGGTCCCTCTCTGCAGCCACTTGGGTATGGTGGTGCGAGCGTGGCTGAAGCCCAGTTTCTGCAGGATGTAGTCCACTCCGTACGGCTCGATGGACTTACCAGCCCAGGATAATAGTCTAGAAGAAAAAAAAAAAGTTTAAGAATGTTGTACTTGATAACAATCGAACGAATTAGTAGATCTTTTTTGTAATTAAATATTTACAACGGCCGTGATTTTTCGAAGTGAGTTGATTAGTTTCCAGCTGTACCGGGGCTTATAACCATTAGTTGTCTGAGTAACAAACGATGTTGTTTTTGCGACAAATATTAACAAACAAAATAAAAAAAGTCAGATTGATCAATCTTTCCAAAAGTCATTCCAATATTTCTGCATACTTTACAAATACAGGACGAGAAATAAATGATTTTTTTTTCAGCCTTTTTTTAAATTTTATCCAACAATACGATTTTTTCGTACATCGTATCGACGGAGTGGATGTCGGAGATGCGTTTACCAACTTACGATTTCACATACACATCACACACAGATTCGGAACAACAATTTGTGGATCACACCCTCCGCGGCAACCGTGCAGTCAAAACGATTTTTATATTATGTGTTGTGTTATAAAGTAAGTAGTTACCTGACGGTAGGCTCCAAGTGCCAGGTGACGCAGCGATAGTCCCGGTAGTCCTCGGGGCGCGGCCGCGGCGTCCCGCTGGGGCCCGCGCCCGTACTGTCCGCCCACGCGCCCCGCGTCGCGCCCGGCATCTGGGTACACCACATTATACTTAAGAAACATCTAGATAATCTATGATAATACTGAACTATATTTAAATCATTGTCAGTGAACATTTTATCCACAAAACAGTCATCGTGTCTGCCTTTTGCTTCGACACTCTTTCATGGTAAAGATTTTATCGCTTACAATACAAGGTTTCAGGTCATGTCGTTTGCGCATGTTCTGAGTTTAAAGACATGTTCATCCCATTAAATTACATGGCATTGAGAGAAACTGCACAATTTTAAGTGCCTACCATATTTTGTAAGTTTTCTAATTAGTTCTAGGAAAATAATTCTTTTTTTTATATGATACGGAGGGTAACGAGCACACGGATTACTTAATGGTAAGCAATCGGAGCTGCCCATAGACACCCGCAACACCAAAGGAATTGCAAGTGATTTGGCTGCCTTTGGAGGTTAAGGGGTTTTAGGGATTAGGGAGGTTTGGGGGAGAAAGATTTGGTACCCTCAAATTAAACGCGAAACACAACGCTATGGTTTATGGTGGTGGAATTTTAGTTAATTTAGTTAACGCTATGGTTGTTTCACGCTGGATTTCTGTAAGGCCCTGGTATTACTCCCTTTATTGTGCCCGGCCCATTTGTGCATGGTTCTCTTCTATTTAATTTCAAAACAACTTACCACTCTGTCCTTCTCCTTGATGTAAGAAGATATAAGGTCGTGTAAGAACAAGAACGCCTCCGCGTCCACCGACACGAATATATGGTCCTCGAACTCTGTGATGAAGCTGCATTCCACTACAGGTTTCTCATCTAAAGAAGAAAATAAAAAAAATCTAATTGAAAATATAGTAAAGAAAGGCATTTGTGAAAATTATGCGCTATTTTGCGCAAAGTAAAATAACAATTTGCGCAATTAATGCTTTACAGTATTCGGTAAAAAACTATCAGATATATCTACATATTCATCAATGTAATAGATTTACTCATTCGTCGGCTTTCAATCAGTGCCCAATAGATATTGAAACAAGCCACAAGTAGTTTAATGCAAAACGTACAAGCAAATCTCGATGTAAACATACAGCTTTTTTTGTCAGGGGAAAATCATCAAATGACTTCTCCCGCCCAGGGTAAGCCAAAAGAGAGTATCAGACTCTTACTGACTGAAAACTCCCCCGTTCCTTCTCCTGCTTTTTAAGTTCATTTAACACGTGTAGGTATAAAGGTCCTTAATAGTGCACACGACTTTTTAAAGACTTGTGTTCAACTTGAACAGCAACGACAACAAGTATATTGTGTTTTTAAAATATTAGTTGACTACCGTACCTCATATTTAGACTATATTCATGTAAGTAAATACATAAATAAGTTATCACGTACCGGTCTCAGTGGGCGGCGTGTTGGCCTGCAGGTGGTGAGTACGTAGGTGCAGTTGCAGCGACGGTAGCGCGAAGATCACCTCCCGCACGTGCTTGTCGGCCGCCGGCTTGCGCTCCGACCCCGCGGGGCCAGGGGCTGCTTCTCGTTCGAGGGATGGGAATAGCTCGATTGCTGGAGAAAAATATTTAGAATTGGTAGAAATATTTAATGACAATTGGCATAAAACATGACAGAAAATGCTTTTAGCAAAGATAACTATACATTACACACTACAACTCTATATAAAGAATAATTAAATAATTGTCAATAGCGCTTTTTTGTGTGGGAAAAATCATGAAACTCTTTCACCCACCCTGGGTGGGGCAGGAGACAGTCAGATTTTTACAGAGTAACCTGTCTTTCCTTCTCCTGCTATAGGCCGAAGCCGTGGTGCCTTATTTTGCTTACCTCCCAACTCCGGCTGAACATCAGCCCCATAGGGCCTCGTCTGTGGCTAATAGCGCTTTAAAGTAGGTTTGTTTAAACATAATAAATTCACTATTTATCTTCACTCTTATTGCATGACATTGTCACACGTTTGTGAGTATCATCATTTTACCTCGCTGGCATAATAAAAATACTATTTAGGTAGGATGCTTGGTACGTACCGTCAATCTCGCTGTTAGCGAAGGCGTATTGGAACCACTCGCGCAGCGTCTTGAACTGCGGCGGGAAGAGCAGCGCGCGCGTCATGCGGCAGACGGTGGCCATGGACAGGTGCGCCCGCGCCGCCGCGCCCGCGCCCTCCGCGCCGCCCGCGCCCAGGCTCGCCGTCAGGCTCTGCACCACGTGCACCTCCAGCGGGCCTGCGACAACCCTACATCTAACGTCTGCACCACGTGCACCTCCAGCGGGCCTGCGACAACCCTACATCTAACGTCTGCACCACGTGCACCTCCAGCGGGCCTGCGACAACCCTACATCTAACGTCTGCACCACGTGCACCTCCAGCGGGCCTGCGACAACCCTACATCTAACGTCTGCACCACGTGCACCTCCAGCGGGCCTGCGACAACCCTACATCTAACGTCTGCACCACGTGCACCTCCAGCGGGCCTGCGACAACCCTACATCTAACGTCTGCACCACGTGCACCTCCAGCGGGCCTGCGACAACCCTACATCTAACGTCTGCACCACGTGCACCTCCAGCGGGCCTGCGACAACCCTACATCTAACGTCTGCACCACGTGCACCTCCAGCGGGCCTGCGACAACCCTACATCTAACGTCTGCACCACGTGCACCTCCAGCGGGCCTGCGACAACCCTACATCTAACGTCTGCACCACGTGCACCTCCAGCGGGCCTGCGACAACCCTACATCTAACGTCTGCACCACGTGCACCTCCAGCGGGCCTGCGACAACCCTACATCTAACGTCTGCACCGTACCGGCTCCAGTCACCGAACGCGTTTTGTTTCGGGTGCGTAAAGTTCCTGAAGTTCCACCGATAGTCGTGGTGGCTCGGAGGTTAAAGCGCATAAGGGTGCGGATTTGAAACGTAACAAATACCAATGTAACTTTTTCTAGTTAAATGTACTGTCTATGGTTATTTAGATACCACTGAAATACGGTGAAGGAAAACATCTCGAAGAAACCTGGACTTGTGAATCGCCAATCCGCCTTAAGTAAACGTGGTTAAAGCTCAAACCATCTCCGTATGACTTTACTCAGCAATTACTTATAGGCTGACTAGCTTTTGCCCACGATTCCGTTCGCGTGGAATAGTAACTTCCGGCAACTTTTTGGTATAAAAACTCCATACCATGTCCTTTCTCGAGTTCCAAACTAAGTCTGTACCAAATTTCTCAGAAATCGGTTCAGTAATTTAGGAGTGAAAAAAAGACAGACAGACTGAGTTACTTTTGTATTTATACTAATAACAATGAAACAAACAATGAAACAATGAATTTATTTTTGCAAATAGGCCTTAAAACGGCACTTTTACACGTCAAATTATATGTGAAAAACTAGATGAAGCCGGCATTTCCTATCTGACTACTCTGAGAAGAAATGCCGAAACAAACTCAGAGGTCAGTCTCTTTTCAAGTCCAGACAATATAAAATAACATAATGTGAGAGAACCGTGCAAGTTCATTCTGTAGTGGTCTTTTGAGGAAAGAACCACACCAGTTTAAGTGGACCCGTTCTGAAGACAGGCACGCAAGTGTCAGTTTGCAACCATATAGCTAGTGCTGTTGAGTTGTCCGACGAACAATACCGATCAAAAGAACATTTGGGTGGGTCGCGCAAGTACTCAAACTGTCAGAACGCAGATGACTGGTGATAAAAAAGCACGACAAGTCTCACACGGTCCTTACACTAACAATAATATAAAATAATAAAATTGTCAACAAATAAATAAAAAAAAAATGTCAAATAAAAAATAAAAATATCACAATAGGTGATCATGTCATTGTATAAAAAAAATAAACGTAATGTCAAATTGTATATAAAAGTGGAACTTATGTTACAAACATGTCAACATGACCTGTGCAGACATTACAGCGGCTCATTCCCAAGCCTGACTATCCTCCGCGCGCGTCTACAGTTTGCGCGCAGACGCGCGTCGCCGGGGCGAGGATCCTCTGCCGCGCCAAATTAGTGCGTGGCGGAATGAGCTCCGGCGAGATCTCATGGCTGAGTGGAAGCAGCGACTGTCGCAACCGAGGGCCGGGCACGCTACTATAGCAGCGGTAAGACCCCTCTTTGAGGAGTGGCTTGAGAGACGCCACGGCGTCCTCACCTTCCGCCTGACGCAGGTGCTTACCGGGCACGGCAGCTTTGGTAGGTTCCTGTTTCGGATCCAGCGGGAGGAAACGCCCGAGTGTCGTCATTGTGAGGATCACCTGGAGGACACGGTGGAGCATACAGTGGCGGAGTGCCCTGCTTGGGCTGAGCACCGCCGTGTTCTCAGGGAAGTGATCGGCGGCGGCGACCTCTCGCGCCCGGCCTTAATCGAGGCCATGGTGCAGCGTGAGAGGAACTGGGAAGCTATCTCCTCCTTCTGCGAAGCAGTTATGCTCGCAAAGGAGGAGGCGGAGCGCGTGAGGGAACTATCCTCCTCGCGCCCCAGCCGCCGCAGAAGGCGACATTCCGGACGTCGGGGATCGAGAGATGATCTCCGGCCACCGTAAGCGCGGGTCTGCGGACGGCGAGTAAGGGTAGCTCGCCGCCCGACCAGAACCGGACCCGAGCGTACGGCGCGTAGCGTTCCGCGCGCGCCTCAAAGAGCCAATAGACCACCACAGTCGGGGCCCTAAAGGGCTGATGTTTAGCCGGGGCTGCGGGGTAAGCGCAATGAGGCACCGCGACCTCGGCCCAGAGCAGGAGAAGGAACGGGGGGGTTTTTAGTCAGTAAGAGTCTGACACTCTCTCTCGCCTTACCCTGGGCGGGAGAAGTCATTGGATGATTTTCCCCTGACAAAAAAAAAAAAAAAAAAAAAAAAAAGCCTGACTATCCTCTAAGTAGTCTTTTATTTTATAAAATGCTTTACAGCAAAGTTTAGCCTTTATTACACTTTTAAATTTATTGAGGCTCAAATTTTAAATATCGCTAGGAATTTTATTGTAAAAGCGTATACATTGACACCTAAACGAACTACTTATTTTCTCAAGCCTGGAGGCAGGCACAACATATTTGTTTTTCCCCCTCGTGTTGATATTATGTATATCACTATATTTCTTAAATAAGCTTTTGTTTTTATGAGCGTGAATTACATTTTCATAAATATATTGAGAGGCAACTGTCATTATTTTAGATTCCTTAAATAATTCTCTGAGCGAATGCCTCGGACTAAGATTATAGATTGATCGAATAGCCCTTTTCTGCAGAACAAAAATAGACTGGATGTCAGCAGCATTCCCCCACAACAAAATACCGTATGACATGATGCTGTGGAAATAACCAAAATAAACTAACCGCGCTGTATCTATATCTGTTAATCTGTTAATATTAGTTTGGATTATGTATACGATGTGAAAATTCCTGAAGACTCATCTCTCCGTCTCCACAAAAGGCTGGCAATGTACTTGTGTTGCGAGCATCCATGGACGGGAGCGATTGCTTACCATCAGGTATTTCAACTACACGTTTGTCGAAGTAACTCGGGAAGAAAATTTAAAATGTTTCAAACATCATAAAGAAGTGCTGGTCTCACCATCCTCACTGGCGACTTGCTGAGCTTCAGTCGCGAAGCTGATGCTGGGGTCCTTTAAGCTGAACAGCGCCCAGGATTTAGCCTTGAAGCTGTTCCCGTGGAAGCAGGCCAGCGAGATGTTGGTACCGTGCAGCTCCATCGTGCCGCCAAGTACTGTGCCTAGAATATTAAAGAAATTGATGAGCATGTAAAATATTAAACTGATTTGTAATTGTCATATTGATACATTTTTGTTTAATTCCAAAATTGTACATTTTCTGGTTCTAGTTTAATCTTATTTACCGAAAAATAATTTCTGGATATGTCAATTCCTCCAAGGCAGATTGTAGGACTTATCCATGTTTCCGATTAGCGATATACGATTTTAGTGTACAGAATTAAAAAAATAGCATAAACTTTTCCCATTTCTAGAAAAAAGCTCAGCAATCTCCTTATTTTCACATCCTATCTGTTCGAAAGTATTGATTCTAGACAGCAAATTGATGCAGTCTACACTGATTTTCAGAAAGCATTTGACAAAATTGATCACGAATTGCTACTTAATAAAATCGCTTACAATGGAATTAGGGGGGATCTTCTGCGATGGTTTGTATCTTATATAACTAATAGAACACAAAAAGTTGTGATGAATGGCTTCAAGTCCAACTGTATTCCGGTCACGTCAGGTGTTCCTCAAGGGTCCATTCTAGGTCCCTTACTCTTCATTATATTTATCAATGATATAAAATTCTGTTTTCAACATTCTAAGTTTCTTCTGTATGCAGATGATTTAAAAGTCTATAAAGTCATTAGTAATAAGCAAGATTGTCTCAATCTACAGCATGATTTAAATCGTTTTTCCAATTATTGCTTCTCCAATAAGCTTTTTCTTAGTCTTCCCAAGTGTCACATTATGACATTTACCAAAAAGAAAAATAAAACAGAATTTGATTACTGCCTTGCTAATACATCCCTAAGCAAAGTTAATTCTCTTCGTGATCTTGGGGTTCAGTTGGATTTGAAGCTCCAGTTGCATGTTCATATAGATGGGATAGTTTCTAAAGCTTATCAAATGTTTGGTTTCGTTATGAGGGCTTCTCGGGAGTTTCGTCGACCTTCCACCTTTTTACATTTATACAGATCCATAATCAGACCTCAATTGGAGTTTGCAGTACCTATATGGAATCCTCTGTACAAGAAATATAGTGATACTCTCGAAATGGTACAACGCAAGTATCTTCGTACAGTTAGCTATCGATGTATTCGCAGAAAATCCTCATACTACCTATTACTCAAGGAGTATAATTTTCTAACGTTACAGTCAAGACGAATGCTCCTGGACGTTATGACTCTGTTTAATGTGTGTCGTAACGGGTTCGATTGTCCTGACTTGGTCAAGAGTATATACTATCTGGTTCCTCGCACAGCTTATATACGTGAGGTGCGCGATCGGCGTTTATTTGCTACTAACTATTGCAGATCCAATGCCGGCTCACGATCGCCTCTTCATCGCATGGTTGAGACTTACAACCGTGAATTCAACGGGATCGACATACATTTTCTAAGTAAAAACGTTTTTAAAAAGCAAATTAGGACAACGCTTCGGGATCGGCAGTCTGCCTGTGATGCAATGTGTGTACGAAATTGTAACTTGTAAAAATTGTTAAACAAATCATTTAAATATTATTTGTTATCACATTAGAATTAGAATTTATGTAAGCTGCTGCCTTGTTCTAAATAAGTTAGTCTATTTGAAAATGTACTTATGTTTGTGTCACTCTAGATCGTAAAATATTAAAAGTAATCTGTGGAAAACGTAGTGGGTAACATATTTGCCAAGTGTAATATGTAAGTTTGAATTATGTATATTTCGTAATGTGTTACTGTTTGTTTTTCCTCAAAATAAAATAAATAAATAAAGCATTTTGGTGCAAAAGTCACAAAATTCATCACACATAATTATTATTATAATACGACATAATCGAAAAATATCGAAGCTCTTCTTAAAATGGATGGATTAACAGAATGTTTAATTAAGACAAAGAAACTTCGTCCAGTGGGTAGAAGAGTTACCATTAGCAGGTAGCGGCGTGGAGAGCGTGGAGAGTTGCATCCCGGAGACGAGAAGCAGCACCTTCTGCCAGTGCCGGTGGTGGCGGAGCTCCGACTGGGCCCCCGCCGCCTCGCCCGCGCCGCCGCTCGCTGCCTGCGCCGCTGCTGCGGGGGCGGGACATATTATATGTTACTCTTGACATTCAAAGATGGTTTATACCTTTTTTGGTGGCAAAAATTACAAATTATGTAGATACTCTACCAGGAGTATCAGACTCTTTTCTATCGGAATGTTTCTGCGATACATTATTGGGCTTGCAATCCTGGATTAAATAAATGGTATCATGAAATGTTACGCCAAAATGACTGAAGCGATTTTACTGAAATCCAGTAAAAAACACAAATAGTCTTTACTCTGGAATGTCTTAAGATTTTTATAATGATTCTTTTACGTGGAAATAATGCATCATCGAAGATACGTTGATTACAACACACCGGGTATGTTCGTACGAAAGTATTTGGAATTTTATTACGCAACCTAATCCACGAACTACAATCCTGGTCGACGAATATGAACGACGACGAAACGAACGACGCATAAAAACTACTGAAAAAACCTACATGAAATTTATCACTCAGGCACTGTACACGAAGCCGCTAGAAAAAACTAGCAACTTAATAAACCACTTACGTTCACGCCTGTCACGTCTCGCATTTGTATAATTCGGATGTAGAGAGCTGAATACTCGTTTGCTAGACTTGAACTGCTGCGTGAAGAACTCTTCAAGTTTCAGCTGCATCTTCAGGAGATCTGGCGTCGTACTTCGAGACATAAGGATTTGTAGTTGATGCCAACTCAGCTTCCCATGAGTCAGGATAATTGCCGGCCTGTCGAGGAGTAAAAAAAGGTTTAGAGAGAGCAGATCAGTAAGCGCAAGTTTGCGCAATATAATCTTACCCGTTATCCTCTTCGTGAGAGCTATGAGAATTCGTGCTGGTTAGTTTGCGCATTAAACAGTTTATTAGTGCATTAATAAAATTAGTCTATTAGCAGTCCTATTTTATGGGGGTGGTTGATACGGGTATTCGGAGTTTGCGCATTTTTTTTAGCTCTGACTACACTACGTTTTTTTGCGCAAGCTAATTTTAAAACCACAACACAGACAATAATTAGCGTGTGTAAAATTAAGGCAAATTTCGATTGGCATATTTTTGCAGTTTAGAAGCCATCAAGGTATTCCGTAATGCAGTCTGAGTATTTAATGAAATGATATTGGGAATGCTAAATAATTTTTTTATGCAAAAACTGAACAATGTACTATGTAGGTATTCTAAAGTAGCCTAGTAAAGTTCGCATTGCAATTATGGTATAGGTATTCAATTATGTCGGTGTAATACGAAATACAGCAACTGAACTGAATTTTAAATTATAAACCCTAAAAAATTTGAAATAAACAAGGAGTTGTCCCGTGCGAGAATCGAACTCACAGCAGGCGGCAGTCACTGCATCAACTGTTCAAATTTAATCGAATAGCGACTAGCCTAAATGTATAACATTTCTTTGAAATATAAAAATATTATACAAGCTTACGTCAAGCACGTACATACAATGACTTATCTCGTTTGTTTGGAGTTTATGTTACTTATCAAGGGAAGGAAGGGGAATGGCGTGGATTTGGAACTATGTGATGAAAGTGACGTAATGAAGGGGGTGAGATAGCAGTGACCAATACCAGTTCTATGATAACATGGATATGAGTTTGCTATGTTGGAAAGCAGTCTAGTTCGGCGATCTTAGATACCAAGATGGCGGTCAAGGTTGGCATCCTGAAGGGGGGTTGGAGGGGGATAATGTGGTAGGTAGGTACCCTTTTGCACACTTGTAGGTACAGATAGTACGGTGGTGGGTAGGTACCTGGAGGTGGGCGGGTGGGGCCGCGGGCGCGGGGCGCGGGCGCGCGCCAGCCACTCGTCGGTGGCGCGGGCGCGCAGGGCGGAGACGGTAGGGGTACAGATAGTGCGGTGGTGGGTAGGTACCTGGAGGTGGGCGGGTGGGGCCGCGGGCGCGGGGCGCGGGCGCGCGCCAGCCACTCGTCGGTGGCGCGGGCGCGCAGGGCGGAGACGGTAGGGGTACAGATAGTGCGGTGGTGGGTAGGTACCTGGAGGTGGGCGGGTGGGGCCGCGGGCGCGGGGCGCGGGCGCGCGCCAGCCACTCGTCGGTGGCGCGGGCGCGCAGGGCGGAGACGGTAGGGGTACAGATAGTGCGGTGGTGGGTAGGTACCTGGAGGTGGGCGGGTGGGGCCGCGGGCGCGGGGCGCGGGCGCGCGCCAGCCACTCGTCGGTGGCGCGGGCGCGCAGGGCGGAGACGGTAGGGGTACAGATAGTGCGGTGGTGGGTAGGTACCTGGAGGTGGGCGGGTGGGGCCGCGGGCGCGGGGCGCGGGCGCGCGCCAGCCACTCGTCGGTGGCGCGGGCGCGCAGGGCGGAGACGGTAGGGGTACAGATAGTGCGGTGGTGGGTAGGTACCTGGAGGTGGGCGGGTGGGGCCGCGGGCGCGGGGCGCGGGCGCGCGCCAGCCACTCGTCGGTGGCGCGGGCGCGCAGGGCGGAGACGGTAGGGGTACAGATAGTGCGGTGGTGGGTAGGTACCTGGAGGTGGGCGGGTGGGGCCGCGGGCGCGGGGCGCGGGCGCGCGCCAGCCACTCGTCGGTGGCGCGGGCGCGCAGGGCGGAGACGGTAGGGGTACAGATAGTGCGGTGGTGGGTAGGTACCTGGAGGTGGGCGGGTGGGGCCGCGGGCGCGGGGCGCGGGCGCGCGCCAGCCACTCGTCGGTGGCGCGGGCGCGCAGGGCGGAGACGGTAGGGGTACAGATAGTGCGGTGGTGGGTAGGTACCTGGAGGTGGGCGGGTGGGGCCGCGGGCGCGGGGCGCGGGCGCGCGCCAGCCACTCGTCGGTGGCGCGGGCGCGCAGGGCGGAGACGGTAGGGGTACAGATAGTGCGGTGGTGGGTAGGTACCTGGAGGTGGGCGGGTGGGGCCGCGGGCGCGGGGCGCGGGCGCGCGCCAGCCACTCGTCGGTGGCGCGGGCGCGCAGGGCGGAGACGGTAGGGGTACAGATAGTGCGGTGGTGGGTAGGTACCTGGAGGTGGGCGGGTGGGGCCGCGGGCGCGGGGCGCGGGCGCGCGCCAGCCACTCGTCGGTGGCGCGGGCGCGCAGGGCGGAGACGGTAGGGGTACAGATAGTGCGGTGGTGGGTAGGTACCTGGAGGTGGGCGGGTGGGGCCGCGGGCGCGGGGCGCGGGCGCGCGCCAGCCACTCGTCGGTGGCGCGGGCGCGCAGGGCGGAGACGGTAGGGGTACAGATAGTGCGGTGGTGGGTAGGTACCTGGAGGTGGGCGGGTGGGGCCGCGGGCGCGGGGCGCGGGCGCGCGCCAGCCACTCGTCGGTGGCGCGGGCGCGCAGGGCGGAGACGGTAGGGGTACAGATAGTGCGGTGGTGGGTAGGTACCTGGAGGTGGGCGGGTGGGGCCGCGGGCGCGGGGCGCGGGCGCGCGCCAGCCACTCGTCGGTGGCGCGGGCGCGCAGGGCGGAGACGCGCGCGAGCAGGACGGGCGTGCCCATGTACTCGAGGCGCAGCTCGAGCGCGGCGAGGCGGACGCCGCACACGTGCCCGGGGTTGCAGCCCGCCTCCTCCTCGATGTGCACTGCACGGGACATAACCTTTCATTTTAAAAGTGGGCAAACGGCGCCACGCCTGTACAATAACAGACATTATGAGGATTGAAGTATTTGAGGAGCGGGGTGTAGATTGGACCTCTGATAACAAACCGATGTGAAACAACGCTTTGCATAGTATTACGCCGTATCTAAGATTACCATAGGTCCGCCCCTTTCCCCATCCCCAATGTCTGGTGTGGCTAGTATCCTTAGTTCGCGTCGATTGCTTACCATCAGGCGATTCACAGGCTGATCCGTTTACCGACCAATACCCTTAAAATTTACAACAAAGAAGAAATGATGTGATACCATAAGTATCAATAGAAGAGAGACAGATGGCCCCGCCGACGATGCCGCCGCGCGCGTCGAGCTCGGAGCCGGCGAGCGCGACGCCGACCAGCATGTTGCGGTGCCCCGTGCTGCCGATACTCAGCCGGCCCGTGCAGTTGAAGTCACGGCTCTGCCAACTGTTACAAAACATTATAAATTGTCAATCAACATTTTCAACAAAGAATATTTAACGAAAAATGACAATAGAAGTAAAACAAGTAACTGACCTGACATTCCCCATAACGTTCCCCATGTTCATGTGGACGTTAAGTTTTGTAAAGTTAACAGCGAACAGTACGAGGGTCTCCCACGCCGCGCCCACTGACGCCGCCCCCTGTACACCCGACTTAGTGCTCTCTGTGCCGGCTAAACAGATATTAAAAACATATTACATAAATATTGAATACACAAATAACATTTGGTTTAAATCAGTAATGCATTTTAAAAGAAAACAAGCATAAAATGAGCTGAGGGTAAGCAATCAGTGCAGCGTCCTTGTCCATGGACATCAGAAATATCAGAGGAGTTACGAGTGAATTGCCGGCCTTTTGGGGATGAAGGTTCCAGATATTTAGGGATTGATGAGAACTACGGGAAGGGGAAAGACTGCGGCGACACAACGCTGTGATTGTTTCAGGGCGGTCAGCGGTAGGGTATCAGTACAGTTGAGCCGACACATTCGAAGATTGTCGAAGCATAAATCTCTCTCAAATTATTTATATTTCATACTATAATTTTGCGCAAAGGTCGATTATTTGCGCAAAATTTAATATTTTGCGCAATGAAAGTTTGTTTAACAACAATAGTAGGTTGGCGCGGTGGCTGGACAACTGGCTGCCGCGCAACGTGTCGCGGGTTCGATTCCCGCACGGAACAACTCTTTGTGTGATTTACAGATTGTTGTTCCGGGTCTGGGTGTTATGTGCATGTGAAATTGTATGTTTGTAAACGCACCCACGACACAGGAGAAAATCCTAATGTGGGGCAACGTTTTTTTAAAAAAGTAAAAAAAAAAAAAAAAAAAAAAAAAATAGGACAAGCTAATACACTTTAAATTTGTAACCTTACCTTTGGGTTTCTGGTGATCAACAGTCTTAGTTTTCTCTCTCTGAGGTAGAACAGGAGATACGGGAGCGTTACTGCTTGATGGCCTACTAATAAGAATAAAAATACAAATTAATGTTGTGAGGCGTATTTTTTTTAATAACAATTTACTCGCTTACGGTAACTATGAAAAACTCTACTAGGTTCAAGTCACACTGTCTCCGTTAATTCAAGTTTGTAGGTCGTTATTTAATCTCAATTATATAATAAACTTACAATACTTAATTTTAATGGTACTTACCCATGATCCCTAGTGTCGTGTAGACTAAGGTCGCCGAGGAACATACGCCTTACTATGGTACGCCTGTACCAGGCCTTCGGGAAGGCCAAGATTTCTCCTAGCCGACGCATATCATACTTGAACGACGCCGAACCAACATCCACGATCGCTAATGGAGCAAACATGACAATTATAATAACCAATAATATACAAAGTATTTTGAAGGATTTGAAGTAATTTTTTCTACAAGACTTGGGTCTGATTTTTCAATGGTAAGATAAAAATTATCTGGGGAATAATTACGATGCTGTCGCCTCAGGATGTTTATATAAGACAGTGACAGCAACAATTTTATTCCTCAGATAACATTTATATGCCCTTAATGATAATAATCCGATAGTTCCCAACTAGTCAAATACAATAGTTATTATTGAAATGTCAAAAACGATATCTACTTTTCTATGTATTTTGTATGAGATCCCAAAATCACAAATCATAATTTATAACGTCAAACAGCATACTTATTTTTTTTAAGTAAGGTAGAATACATCTAAAATGAAGAGTCTAATATCAAATCAATGAATGAATGTGTGATTATATTTTAATAATTCATGGAATTGAAAAGTCAAAATAATTTATTTTTGACCTAGGAAACTACCCAATTATGTAAAAGACACTGTATGAATGCGAATGATAAGGCAGTCTGTAGTTTCAGACTTTACTTTTAAAGAATAAAAATCTGGGTATAATATATTATATCAATAAAATAAAACACTTTCCCAAAGACGAAAATTGCAACCACCTCGAACTTTTACACATTCAGCATCTACAAAACAAAACAATAATAATAATACAAAGAACTCACTTGAGAATCTGACAGTAGCTTTAGACTGATCCTGATCAGTTTGGAAGTCAAGTTTCCTGGACCTGGAGAGGTGGAACTTCACAAACTCGACGTTGATGCTGAGGGAGTCCTTCCGCTCTGTGTCAGAGAGGGGAGACCATTGTGCCTCTTTTAAGCTAGACTTCTTCCCTCCATACGGATGGAACATGTTGACTGAGAAATCTGCGAGGCACCCTGTCACGCTCAACCCGCCCATCGCTACTGCTGGTTCTGACATTTCCCTGTGAAACAAGAGTATGAGCTTCAAGTATTAACAAGAGTACGATTATGAATGAATAAACGGCAGATATACGTTTATACGAGTATTTTATTACCCGGCAAGTAAGTTTGCGCATTGTATATTTTCTCTTAATTTTAACTATACACACAAATTCTTTACTTGAATATTGTTCTTGCATTAAATTTAGGTTTTCAATAAGCATGATTTAAATTAAAACTAAACTAAATTATGGTATATAATATAACCATTACGAAAAATATTAAACAACGCGCAAATTTATCTGCAGCACGACAAAAGTTTGAATCGGATTTGATTTAAGTGTTGTAAACAACAGTTAGTATATTTTTTTTTATGATTAAGCTGAGTAATTATACTATTGAAGTAGGTAATGATGAAGCACTATAGTGCTGGTAGGCAGGTAAAACATAGGCAAGTTTTTTTGTGGCCATAGGGCGCGGAGTATATAGAGTACAAGCGGTCGCCAGCGGATCCGCCCGCGTGGATGTTGATTTTAGACTTTTTCAAAAAAAATCTCTACGTATATATCTTCTCTGGACTTCCACGAATAATTAAAGACTTCAAAATTAGCCAAATCGGTAAAGGCATTGTTGAGTTATAACATAACAAGGAAAAGTGGCATTGATTTATATATAGATATAGACTGACTCGTCGCTGGCGCGCTTGGAGCTGAAGACGATCTGCAGCGTGGGCAGCTGCAGCATGCACTCGACGCGCGAGGCGGGCAGGCAGCTGAAGCGGAACGTGCTCGGCTGCATGTGGAAGTGCACGATCACGTCCACCGGGAACGACGCGTACACGTACTGACCGTACGACGCGCCCTCCGCAGAACGGGAACGGGACCCGCTCTCCGCTTCTGCACGACAAAAAGCAAAAAATCGCTCTAATTCCTTATTTTCAATGAATACTAAAAGCCTCCTTTGGAGATTTGGTTTTCAGTCCACAAGGAAAAAACTGACAACTTGAACACTAATAGATGTACCAGCTTATTGAATTATTTAGTTCAAAGCTCTTATAAACCTTTTCTATCTTTAATAAGGTTATAAACTTATGATGACATATTGAGGTAGCGTTGATGTGTAAATATATTTACCGAATTTATATTTATGAAAGTAAATCAACAGTTGTTACAATATACAACATTAGTTATAAGATTGTCCTAAATTATTATACTTACAATTTTTATAGGTACAAAGCACACTTTATTTTTCAAGCTTCCATTGCCAAGACAAAATTTAATCAATCAATCACAACTAACGACTGAAAATATAAAACTATTGCAGAAAAGGCACCTAATAAAATAAGATTCAGAAAAGGACAACGATATCATATTTTTTCCTAAACTTAAATAGCCTTATTACAAAACCCTTGTTTTAAGCCACTTTTCTATTTTGAATCGAAGGTAGGTGAAAACAAGATTCAAAATTCAAAACCTGACTCAATTTTAAACCTAGACTAAAAATAAATTTTATTTTGTAATAAGGGGAACAAAATCTACAGTTTACTCACCAGGTGTAGGTGTAGAGAATGAAGCCTTAGTAGGTATAGGTTCCAAGGTTTGCTCCAAGAACTCCAATATATGAGGACTGATGATGGTCTCCTCAGGGATACTCTGCACTGTAATCCAGGCGAAGAGGGCCGCCTTCTTGATGCCCACCTTACGAGGTCCCACGTTTAGAGGGGGGAGAGAAGGAACCGTTTGGGGGGATGTCGATTCTTCTGGTAGAGTTTTGGATTCGTAGTGGACCTGTGGGTAAATATTTCATGATGAAAAGGCACTTAAGTATTAGAGGATTAAGTATATGAATAAAACGTCTTATGTTCCTCTATCTACTTGAAGTCTGTCTAGTAAGAATCCAGAATTTATTCTATTACTTAATAAGAAAGAATTAATAAAATAAAATAATAAATACAATTTTCTAAAATTAAAAATCACACGAGACTCCTCACTCGGCATTAACAAAATTATCTATTTTATACATTACGTGTTCACTTCGATGTACATCACTGTATTTGAGTGTGAATGACTTCGTGAGAATCAAGAGTAGATTAACGTATTTAAAGCACCTTTTTTGTGAGGGGAAAATCATCAAATGACTGCTCCCGGCCAGCGCCCGCGGGAGCGAGTGTCAGACGCTTACTGACTAAAAACCTCCCCGTTCCTTCTACTGCTTCAGGGCCGAGGCCCCGGTGCCTCATTGCGCTTGTTCCGCAACCCCGGCTGAACATCAGCCCTATAAGGGCCCGTCTGTGGTGGGAACGCTCGGGATATACTGTACCTTGAGGTCGAGGCCGGGCACGCGGAACACGGTGAGGTCGAGCACGGGCAGGTGGCGCGCATGCGCAGGCTTGCGGCGTAGGTCGGGATATACTGTACCTTGAGGTCGAGGCCGGGCACGCGGAACACGGTGAGGTCGAGCACGGGCAGGTGGCGCGCATGCGCAGGCTTGCGGCGTAGGTCGGGATATACTGTACCTTGAGGTCGAGGCCGGGCACGCGGAACACGGTGAGGTCGAGCACGGGCAGGTGGCGCGCATGCGCAGGCTTGCGGCGTAGGTCGGGATATACTGTACCTTGAGGTCGAGGCCGGGCACGCGGAACACGGTGAGGTCGAGCACGGGCAGGTGGCGCGCATGCGCAGGCTTGCGGCGTAGGTCGGGATATACTGTACCTTGAGGTCGAGGCCGGGCACGCGGAACACGGTGAGGTCGAGCACGGGCAGGTGGCGCGCATGCGCAGGCTTGCGGCGTAGGTCGGGATATACTGTACCTTGAGGTCGAGGCCGGGCACGCGGAACACGGTGAGGTCGAGCACGGGCAGGTGGCGCGCATGCGCAGGCTTGCGGCGTAGGTCGGGATATACTGTACCTTGAGGTCGAGGCCGGGCACGCGGAACACGGTGAGGTCGAGCACGGGCAGGTGGCGCGCATGCGCAGGCTTGCGGCGTAGGTCGGGATATACTGTACCTTGAGGTCGAGGCCGGGCACGCGGAACACGGTGAGGTCGAGCACGGGCAGGTGGCGCGCATGCGCAGGCTTGCGGCGTAGGTCGGGATATACTGTACCTTGAGGTCGAGGCCGGGCACGCGGAACACGGTGAGGTCGAGCACGGGCAGGTGGCGCGCATGCGCAGGCTTGCGTCGTGCCCCGGGCGGGGAGCTGCCCCCGGCGCCGCTGCCGGCCCCCGGCGCCGCGCCCTCCGCCAGCCCGCCCGACGCTGACCGCCCCACACGCATGCGACCACTGAAACGAACATGATTCCAATTATATTGTACATTTTAAACAATGCAACCTATACTGTATGGGAAACTGGAAAAAAACGCAATTGTAGAGGAATTTAACTTGATAAATATACTGTAACCAAATTACAACGTCTGTACTGTCAATAAGTTTACCTGCGAATCTCAATTTTATAATCTATGTCCTAGTTTCGTTTTATATTATCTGTGATCTGCAACTAGGACTAGGACTGATAAAATAACCATATTAATTATGCAAGTTTCCATCAATATCAACTTGGCAACGCACTCGTAACTCCACCGTTGCGAGTGTCCATGGGCGGCGCTGATTGCTTACCATCAGGTAATCCGTCTGCTCGTTTGCCGACCTATTACATAAAAAAAAAAACAAAAAAAAAAACTACCCATTACAAAAATCAACAGACTTTTAAGTGCAATTCAAATCAAATACAGTCACCTAACTACTCAAAAATAGTTTTCAATTTTAGATTACACTTATCTACAAATAGATAAACTAAACTCACATCTTAATACTATCATCCTCCTTGCTGGGCTCCTTGGTATGTAGCACGCACTTCCCACTATTGATGTACACCTTCACGTCCAACTCGAAGTCTATGTTTGGTTCCGCAGTCTTCGCCTTATTCGCCTTGCCTTCCGAGCTGAGGCCTTCCGATTGCTGGACGTTTCTGTGGAAAATATTATATCATTTGTACTTGTAATCAGTAAGAGTCTGACACTCCTTCTCGCCCCACCTGCGCCAAGAGAAGATTTTTTAAGACGATCTCCCTTAAAAAAAACTTGACTCACATGTCGGGCTTCCTCCTCAGCTCGACCCCGTCGAGTTCGTCGGGCCAGTGGTCGGGGTGCGCGGGCAACGAGCTCTGTCGCTGCACGCCAGGCGTCGCCAGCGCACGCGCACTGCCCGCGCCCAGCCGCGGACCGCGCAGCGACGCTGACCGGGACGGACCTGCGCAGATGAGATGCTTAACCATGCATGAACTCATAAATATTTATTGCTTTTGCTTCACTTTAGTATTTTCTGCAGTATCGTGAGAGCGTTAACAAACATACAATTACACATCACACCCAAACCGGAACAACAGCTTGATGATCACACAAAGAGCTTTTTGTGCGAGAATCGGACAAGCGACACTTTCCGCGGCAACCAGTTGCCCAGCAACCGCGCCATCCGTGCATTTAATAAAACTTTTAAATTCCCATGAACTTATATACCTTTAAATACTGAGTTAAACAAAGACATTCTAATATTATACGAATATAAAAATATATACTTTTGAAACAAACCAGCAATCTTTGGATAGGATTTTACTATTTTGCTAGAAACCAGTGACTTTTTACACGTCACGTGATATAATAAAATTAAAACTCTTGAACTATCGCAAGAACTTCATTCATCAAATTAACAATTAAGAAATTTCCCTAATACTGTAATCTTCGCACTAAATAAACAACAGTCTAAAAACTCACCAGTAAGCGGCTCGCTCTCCATGGAACTCCAGCTTCCCCCCTCAATTATATCAGCGAGCCTGTTGTCCTCGTCTCCCAGGAGTAGCGTCTCTCCAGAGTCACCCACACCCGGAGACATGGTCAGGTTCGGTTCGATAGCACTAGAAACACCAAATGCACAATTTTATTTTTTCTGTTTCAATGAATTTTGTCGCTTATTATGAACGAGAAAATCGCCCCTTAACCAAAAAAAAAATTAATAGAAATAAGAACTTATACATTTTTGGTGCCATCATAATATAGGAAAAGTTTAACTAAACTCTACGAACAATTCATACGTCTATCATTAAGATTAATTACACTCAATTTAATGACATTGCAAAATACGAATAACTAAACCGTTCATATTAGTGGTAATGCTTTAAGAAAGGCCGAAGTTCAGCAGTGGAAGAAAACAAGCTGATGATCGTCATAATGCTAATAGTACATACCTCTCAAAGTCCTTTCTCTCCTGTGGTGGCGATGGTACTACGAAAGACTTGCTCCTGTTGGAACCTAGTCCCAGTTTACCCTTTGTAATAGAACTAGCCCGAACGCTCTGACGGCGCAGCTTCTGAATCATATCCCTGTAAAAAAATAAATAAAATATTAAATTGCGCTAATTTGCACAACTTGCGCATCTTGCGCAAAAATAAAATGCAATATTTTATTTTGCATACTGTAAAATGAATTACTTGAGGAAATATTAAATACAAACTCTATCTCACAAAACATACCGTCTAAAGTCCTTAAACACGAGCGCCTCTAAGTCATGCAGCCTCTTCATTTCATATTCAATGGTTGTATGGCTGGCGCCCAAAGTGCGAAGGTCGTTGATGATCTTGGCTTGTTCATTCATCTCCTTCTCAATGAGTTTGGACCTCTTTTTAGCATCGATACTGGTATCAAAGACGAATGCTGGAAGGTGGTCTGTGTACTTACGACGGAGGATGATGCTCTCCTAGTGGGTAGAATGACAAAATTATTATTAGAATTAATCTAAGAACTTCTAAAAATATTAATAACTATTTGAAAGTTCGTAGTTATATTCTTACCTGAGAGTCTTTACTATTATCAGCCTCATCGTCTAGATCACTTTCGTAATCCATTTTGAGGGGATCTTCCTCTTCATAGCCTGAAATAAATAATCATTATATTATAAAACTATTAGTTGACTAGGCAAACGTCGTTGAGCCATAAAAATGATTTCGAAAAAAGGTTAATGATGAACAACCCTTATCACGAATCGTATGAAAAATACCCAGCAGCGGATTTTCAGCCCAACTGAATATGCATATAAAATCTGACAGATGATGCTGATGTTACCTGTTAGCATGGTGAGCGTGTGTCCCAAAGCAGACAACTGCTTCCCAACGTTCACGTCCAGGTGTATGTCCACGCCCTCCATTTGCCAAGACACGTTTAGGAACCATTTGGCATTCTCTGAAAAATTAAGAGCAAATATTAACTATCGGGCGCCGTCGATTGGGACTGGTCAGCTCCGGACTGTCTATTGTCCCAAAAACCTGTACTTAAGTGAAACTGATTTAAAAAGACTAACCATGGCGTTTCTTGCTTGTTCTTTTCCATTCGAATCTACACTTCGGTATAAGTAAAAAGCTTAACTAAGAGGAATGACCGACAGACTGACACTTCTTATCTTTAAGCTTTATTTGGCGTCCAAAAGTACCTGTAAGGGTCTGATTGAAATAAATGATTATCGAATCATTCTATTTTCAACTCGACAGGTATCACGGGTACTTATCGGCTAGTATATTCTTCATCTATTTGTTTTAACGGACTAATAATGATAATGGAATAAAATATTTTGTATTACCGTTATGCTTAGCAGCGGTAGTTCTGCTGCAGACTTCGTAAGTTCCTTCGGAGACACAGCAGACGTTGAGGCTTGGTTCATCCGCACGAGGTTTCCAATCATCCAGAGAAGCTTCAAAGTCGTCTGCGAAGCGTAGGCAGAGGCCTACGAAGCGGCCTTTAGAGACCAGAGCCCCGGAGGAGCAGGCCCCGATGTGTGTAGACTCCAGGGTGACCACGACGGCGCCGCGGGCCTCACCTTCTCCACACCACGCGCCCCAAGCACCGCGCCCTAACCCCCAGCGGGCCTGTACACACGGACACCGTCAATAATACTGCTGGATTTGCGCAAAAGTAGAACCGGTTACTAAGTGTCGCAAAATAGATAGAATATAATAATAAAAATGAAAAAATACCAGAGAAAATGTTGAGCGATGTTACAAAAATAAAATTATACACACGGATGCATAATTTGATCACTAGTTCGAGTAGTATTTTTTATTTTCATCTTAAATTACGTCTTAAATGAAACTTACCATAGGCGGTTGATTTAGCGGCAAACATATTCCGATATCGTCTACATTGAGCTGCAAGAACAATGTACTCAGATGCGGCGTAGTAATCTGGGATGTAAGTTGTACCTGTAATCAACAATTATTTATTTATTTATAATGCCATTTGTTTCCAATAGATTTTGTTCTCCCCAATACGGTAGTTTCCAACTAGTCAATTTTTCCAATCCAAAAATTCAATCCTTTTATTCAAATGTCAAAACGATACTTTTTTATGAATTTTGTGTGAAACTCCAAATTATGACTTCATAGTATTTTACCGTCAAAAAGCGTACTAATTTCTTAAAATTTGCTAAAATGTATCGAAAATTTAGCGTATCGACAGATTGACGAACAAAAGAATAGTTATTTATCAATATTTTTATTGTATTGAAACGTCGAATTAATTTATTTTTGACAAAGGAAACCACCCAATTAGAATATTAAATACTTACCTACTTGTAAGTACTGAGTATTTACAAGTAGGTAAGTATATTAAAAAGTATATAACATCTAATGATAAAATTTACATACCTTCTCAAAAACTTGTTGCGTAGCTGTCAGTACTTCTTTATTCAGATTCAGTCTCTTCTCATTCCAGTACTCATAGGCATTCTTATAATTAAGCCAGACGAGTATAGCTTTATCTACAGCTACCGGCTGTATGTATATCAGAGGTCGTTTCAAGTTGATCAGAACTACTTCCTTATCATCACCGCACACCATCTCATCTTGGAAAGCGTTGCGCATGGCTGGAAAGGATGCGCAAATTATTGAAAAGTTAGCGCAAAAAAGCGCAACTATGAAATTATTTGTTTTGTTGATATTTATAATTACTATTGAAGTCGTAACTTACATATCCTTGTATTGAAGAAAGCGTACTGTTGGAATTCTGGCTCTGCTTCTTCGAACATCGCGTTTCTGATTAACTGTCCTAAGCTAAGGTTGACGTCGACCTATATACAAACAAACAAAATCAGATTCTTACTAAAGATATGAAAATAAAGATTAATAAGTAAAAAAATATTCAACGAACGAAGTTCATACGAACCTGTGCTCTGGCGAATAGCCTGACTTCGTGTGGCTCAGTGGGTTGTTGGACGTTCTGTACGCGGTTCGATATCTCGAACTCTACTGCGCCTGTTTCTAGCCGCACCGCCGAGTTACTAGGAGTCGTCGCTGTCAGTTGTATACGCTAAGGCAAAAAAAGTATACTGTAAGAAGTTTTTACTCATACAAGATTTTACTTGACTAACCTTTCAATCGTGATAATTCGAGACTAAAATCGTGATAAAAAGAATAGGTGCGCGAACGCCGGAGTTTGCTTGGGTTTGATGAATTAATAATCGACGATAAAATGGTAAAAGAGCTTATGTAGCTTAGTAATATGATTTGAAATGATTCAAATTCCATTATCTGTTTTGTCGATTATTTAAACAAGTTTTGTATATGATAAATATTAGTAAGAAACGTACCTTTAACTAAAAATCGCGGGTTACTCACGTGTAAATATTGAGAAAAGCTCTACTAGTTTCGAACCACAGAGGGGTTCTTCCTCATGAGCAGCGTGCGCGGACGCGGCGACGTCGCGCAGCCTACCAGTAGGCTCGAAACTAGTAGAGCTTTTCTCAATATTTACACGTGAGTAATCCGCGATTTTTAGTCAATTTAGTATGTCTCACGATAGTTATTATAAAAACAAACGTACCTTTATTCTGATAGTCAGTGAGAATAGAATCCTGCTTAGAGCTGATGTAGACGCTTCTTCTTCGTTCCATAGAGGCACTGGCTTTTCACCGCCGTATACTTTTTGAACTACTTCATTCACTTCCTAGAAAATAAAGTGATGAATGATGTTCTCAGTATTGATTAAAAAGATTGTATGCTTGCATGCCGTTACCTCAGCTACCATGCAATGTATCATGGGTTTTCCGTGGGTGGGAATCCCGTGCGAAATTATTATATTATTATTATACTTATGAGTTATTATACGATTACTTAATCGAGTTTTTTGTGAGTGCAAAGTCAAAATTGTTGAGTAAGGGCGGACATGGTTCGTACCTTCATGAAGACCTTCTGCACGAAGACGAGGTGATTGAGCAGGTCGGTGGAGAGCGTGTGCTCGAAGAGGCCGATGTCTGCGGAGGCGGCGACGTACCGGCCCGCGCGCAGCACGGCCCCGCCGCGTCGCGCCGCACCGCGCTGCTCCAGCACGCGCCCCGCCACGTGCACGCCCGGCAGCCACACCGCCGCCTCCGCAGGCAGCTGCGCCGCGCCCGCCTCCGCCATCTACACACACACTCTAACATCAACCACACCGCCGCCTCCGCAGGCAGCTGCGCCGCGCCCGCCTCCGCCATCTACACACACACTCTAACATCAACCACACCGCCGCCTCCGCAGGCAGCTGCGCCGCGCCCGCCTCCGCCATCTACACACACACTCTAACATCAACCACACCGCCGCCTCCGCGGGCAGCTGCGCCGCGCCCGCCTCCGCCATCTACACACACACTCTAACATCAACCACACCGCCGCCTCCGCAGGCAGCTGCGCCGCGCCCGCCTCCGCCATCTACACACACACTCTAACATCAACCACACCGCCGCCTCCGCAGGCAGCTGCGCCGCGCCCGCCTCCGCCATCTACACACACACTCTAACATCAACCACACCGCCGCCTCCGCGGGCAGCTGCGCCGCGCCCGCCTCCGCCATCTACACACACACTCTAACATCAACCACACCGCCGCCTCCGCGGGCAGCTGCGCCGCGCCCGCCTCCGCCATCTACACACACACTCTAACATCAACCACACCGCCGCCTCCGCAGGCAGCTGCGCCGCGCCCGCCTCCGCCATCTACACACACACTCTAACATCAACCACACCGCCGCCTCCGCGGGCAGCTGCGCCGCGCCCGCCTCCGCCATCTACACACACACTCTAACATCAACCACACCGCCGCCTCCGCAGGCAGCTGCGCCGCGCCCGCCTCCGCCATCTACACACACACTCTAACATCAACCACACCGCCGCCTCCGCGGGCAGCTGCGCCGCGCCCGCCTCCGCCATCTACACACACACTCTAACATCAACCACACCGCCGCCTCCGCAGGCAGCTGCGCCGCGCCCGCCTCCGCCATCTACACACACACTCTAACATCAACCACACCGCCGCCTCCGCAGGCAGCTGCGCCGCGCCCGCCTCCGCCATCTACACACACACTCTAACATCAACCACACCGCCGCCTCCGCAGGCAGCTGCGCCGCGCCCGCCTCCGCCATCTACACACACACTCTAACATCAACCACACCGCCGCCTCCGCAGGCAGCTGCGCCGCGCCCGCCTCCGCCATCTACACACACACTCTAACATCAACCACACCGCCGCCTCCGCGGGCAGCTGCGCCGCGCCCGCCTCCGCCATCTACACACACACTCTAACATCAACCACACCGCCGCCTCCGCAGGCAGCTGCGCCGCGCCCGCCTCCGCCATCTACACACACACTCTAACATCAACCACACCGCCGCCTCCGCGGGCAGCTGCGCCGCGCCCGCCTCCGCCATCTACACACACACTCTAACATCAACCACACCGCCGCCTCCGCAGGCAGCTGCGCCGCGCCCGCCTCCGCCATCTACACACACACTCTAACATCAACCACACCGCCGCCTCCGCAGGCAGCTGCGCCGCGCCCGCCTCCGCCATCTACACACACACTCTAACATCAACCACACCGCCGCCTCCGCAGGCAGCTGCGCCGCGCTCGCCTCCGCCATCTCGCAGCTGGCTATACCGCATCACAGATCCGCTGCGTTTAGGGGTAGTTTCAAGTATGCGGCGTCGAAGTGCTGGAACAATATCCCTCCGCCAATCAGAAATCTACAAAGTTTGAGTACTTTTAGAAGAAAGCTCAAAGAGTTTGTGCTTACTAACCAAATAAATAGCGCCGAAATAAATATTAACCTGTCTTTTATTTAATTTTATTGTTTAACTATTTTGTTTTGTTTTTTACCGATTATAACTAGAAGAAGAAGAAGAAGAAGAAGAAGAAATAATTTTATTTGCACAACCTGGACACGGATACAAAAGTAGATAAAAAAAAAACAGTAAAAAATTAATCAAAACAAAAATAATAATAAAAAAAAAACAGTGATGTGTGTCTCAGCGTTGGACAAATAGGCCCAGTTCAGCTAATTTTCTACCTATCACTAACCTTTTCTAACTATCACTAATTTTCTAATTAAAACATATTTAGTCACACATTTTACATTTTTTACATTTTATATTATCTATAAATAATCTGTCTACTCAATTTTATATTATTATGTAATTATATATATTTAATAAATTAAAGACTCACCCCGTCACGGCTCGATTTTTCAATCACACAATAACATCGCGACGTGGGTATACGGATCCACGGACAAATGAGCGCTGAACCGCGCAGCAGTATGTAACCGACGCGACACCCTGATTACCCACAACTTCTGAGTTTACTACTGCGATTTCATGGTGTTTTTATATTGCAAATACCCCACGGTACATTTCAATTATAATATCCTCATATTACAAAATGTTTTTTTTTTTTTTTTCCTAGTTTGTTTTTGATATATTCTGGTATTATTTTTTCATGTTTCTTTTCTTCATTTGAACTTGATCTTTGCTCTTATAATTTATATTTAATTTAATTTCTTTCTTATATTATAATCTGAACGTACTCGTTATGCGTTGCTTTCGTCCGTGCGTCACTGCAGGGGTGCCAACTGAAAATCAGTGTTGGGTGCTCAGTGTGCCCAGCTTTTTGCTGAGTTGGCGACCCGTTCGGTTTAGACATGTCTGCCAACCCTGTAGAACACTGTCAACACTGTGTGTTCTGCTGTCTGCCAAAACTGTATATTTAGCGTATTTTTGTTTTTTTTTTGTCTTTTTAACCTTTTTATTGTTTTTTGTGTTGTATTTTTGTTTTTTTTTTCTGGCTTTCATGTCTGATGCCGAATAAATGTATTTTCTTTCTTTCTTCTTTCTTTCTATCTACACACACACTCTAACATCAACCACACCGCCGCCTCCGCAGGCAGCTGCGCCGCGCCCGCCTCCGCCATCTACACACACACTCTAACATCAACCACACCGCCGCCTCCGCAGGCAGCTGCGCCGCGCCCGCCTCCGCCATCTACACACACACTCTAACATCAACCACACCGCCGCCTCCGCAGGAAGCTGCGCCGCGCCCGCCTCCGCCATCTACACACACACTCTAACATCAACCACACCGCCGCCTCCGCGGGCAGCTGCGCCGCGCCCGCCTCCGCCATCTACACACACACTCTAACATCAACCACACCGCCGCCTCCGCAGGAAGCTGCGCCGCGCCCGCCTCCGCCATCTACACACACACTCTAACATCAACCACACCGCCGCCTCCGCAGGCAGCTGCGCCGCGCCCGCCTCCGCCATCTACACACACACTCTAACATCAACCACACCGCCGCCTCCGCAGGCAGCTGCGCCGCGCCCGCCTCCGCCATCTACACACACACTCTAACATCAACCACACCGCCGCCTCCGCGGGCAGCTGCGCCGCGCCCGCCTCCGCCATCTACACACACACTCTAACATCAACCACACCGCCGCCTCCGCAGGCAGCTGCGCCGCGCCCGCCTCCGCCATCTACACACACACTCTAACATCAACCACACCGCCGCCTCCGCAGGCAGCTGCGCCGCGCCCGCCTCCGCCATCTACACACACACTCTAACATCAACCACACCGCCGCCTCCGCGGGCAGCTGCGCCGCGCCCGCCTCCGCCATCTACACACACACTCTAACATCAACCACACCGCCGCCTCCGCAGGCAGCTGCGCCGCGCCCGCCTCCGCCATCTACACACACACTCTAACATCAACCACACCGCCGCCTCCGCAGGCAGCTGCGCCGCGCCCGCCTCCGCCATCTACACACACACTCTAACATCAACCACACCGCCGCCTCCGCGGGCAGCTGCGCCGCGCCCGCCTCCGCCATCTACACACACACTCTAACATCAACCACACCGCCGCCTCCGCAGGCAGCTGCGCCGCGCCCGCCTCCGCCATCTACACACACACTCTAACATCAACCACACCGCCGCCTCCGCGGGCAGCTGCGCCGCGCCCGCCTCCGCCATCTACACACACACTCTAACATCAACCACACCGCCGCCTCCGCAGGCAGCTGCGCCGCGCCCGCCTCCGCCATCTACACACACACTCTAACATCAACCACACCGCCGCCTCCGCAGGCAGCTGCGCCGCGCCCGCCTCCGCCATCTACACACACACTCTAACATCAACCACACCGCCGCCTCCGCAGGGAGCTGCGCCGCGCCCGCCTCCGCCATCTACACACACACTCTAACATCAACCACACCGCCGCCTCCGCGGGCAGCTGCGCCGCGCCCGCCTCCGCCATCTACACACACACTCTAACATCAACCACACCGCCGCCTCCGCAGGCAGCTGCGCCGCGCCCGCCTCCGCCATCTACACACACACTCTAACATCAACCACACCGCCGCCTCCGCGGGCAGCTGCGCCGCGCCCGCCTCCGCCATCTACACACACACTCTAACATCAACCACACCGCCGCCTCCGCAGGCAGCTGCGCCGCGCCCGCCTCCGCCATCTACACACACACTCTAACATCAACCACACCGCCGCCTCCGCAGGCAGCTGCGCCGCGCCCGCCTCCGCCATCTACACACACACTCTAACATCAACCACACCGCCGCCTCCGCAGGGAGCTGCGCCGCGCCCGCCTCCGCCATCTACACACACACTCTAACATCAACCACACCGCCGCCTCCGCGGGCAGCTGCGCCGCGCCCGCCTCCGCCATCTACACACACACTCTAACATCAACCACACCGCCGCCTCCGCAGGCAGCTGCGCCGCGCCCGCCTCCGCCATCTACACACACACTCTAACATCAACCACACCGCCGCCTCCGCAGGGAGCTGCGCCGCGCCCGCCTCCGCCATCTACACACACACTCTAACATCAACCACACCGCCGCCTCCGCAGGCAGCTGCGCCGCGCCCGCCTCCGCCATCTACACACACACTCTAACATCAACCACACCGCCGCCTCCGCAGGCAGCTGCGCCGCGCCCGCCTCCGCCATCTACACACACACTCTAACATCAACCACACCGCCGCCTCCGCAGGGAGCTGCGCCGCGCCCGCCTCCGCCATCTACACACACACTCTAACATCAACCACACCGCCGCCTCCGCAGGCAGCTGCGCCGCGCCCGCCTCCGCCATCTACACACACACTCTAACATCAACCACACCGCCGCCTCCGCAGGCAGCTGCGCCGCGCCCGCCTCCGCCATCTACACACACACTCTAACATCAACCACACCGCCGCCTCCGCAGGCAGCTGCGCCGCGCCCGCCTCCGCCATCTACACACACACTCTAACATCAACCACACCGCCGCCTCCGCAGGGAGCTGCGCCGCGCCCGCCTCCGCCATCTACACACACACTCTAACATCAACCACACCGCCGCCTCCGCAGGCAGCTGCGCCGCGCCCGCCTCCGCCATCTACACACACACTCTAACATCAACCACACCGCCGCCTCTAGTATCGTAGTAATACTAGAGGCGGCGGCGCGAGCGGCGGGAGCGCCATGACTTACCACCAGATTATTTGATAAGACATTCATCACCAATGATGTATAAATCTATAGATACGTTGTCCGCGCTCTAAAATGGCAACATGAAATGAAGGCAATTTGACAACATCGCGCTTAGTCACGCACCAACCTCCCGCGCGACGCTACGTTTGTTATAATTTATATCGTGTGTGTAAACCTGTGCGAAACTAAAGAAAGCATGCCGTCGTGTGTGTTCAGAGGATGTACAAATTATACTCTAAAAGTTAAATACAAAAATGTGTCATTTCATGCGTAAGTTCACCAAACAACCTATTTTTATTTTATTTATTTCGACGCCGGCGCCCGCCATCTTATGGCGGCCGGCGCATGAAGGTATAGTCACGTGCCGTCGGCATAACTGAAGATGTATATTTATCTCACTCTAGCAAAGGCATTCCACTATACGAAGTCATATTTTCTTCCCTTTCTTTACTCGTAGAAGTAGTTATCTAGTATTTTCGCCGTTTTTAAGCGCCGCGATGTTGGTTCATGACGTGTCTATATATAATACGTCATTGTTCATCACCCGTAAAAAATTAAAACCTGCTTAAAAATAAGCAATTTCTAAGACTCCTTAGTTAAAAATGTATATCTTAATATTATAGATGTAGATCAATAGATCGATATAGATGTTGATTGATTGGTAGGAAAAACAAATGAATTAAATTACATACGGCATAAGCTATTTAAAAAAAAAGTTCGGCGCAATCAGTTAAAGAAAAATTCGAGTGCAAAATTCTACACTTTACAGAATCCTTTCATTCACAAAAGACATCCACATACATTGAAAATTAAATAAAAACTAGTAATACATCTTCTCTTTACATTATCAAAAGACAAACACAGACCATTCAAACATCAAACTGCTTTATATGGTACTAGCGGTAGCGGTACACATACATACATTTTCATGGTTTTATAAATATTTATCTACGTACAAACCTTTTCTGGACTTCCAGGAATAATTCAAGAGCAAAATTAGCCAAATAAAGGCATTGTTGACTTATAACATTACAATAAAAAGTGGCATTGATTTTTACACATATAGATGTATTAAAACCCCTCCGGCTAGGTACCTGCAGCTTGGTGACGAAGCTGAGCGAGTGTTGCTGCAGGTCGACGGTGAACTGCGCCTTGTTCCCCGTGACGCCCGAGCTCTGCACCTGCTCCATCTTGTACTGCGCCTGCAGCGACGGCAGCAGCGCCGCCGTCACGCTCAGGCTCTACGACAACATATACATTATTTACTCGCCAAACCTACTGACACTTTGTACAAACACTACCTACTCTCGCGAGGTTTCACCTGCTTCATATAAATCGTAATGTTATGTTTTATATCCTATCCGCCTTCCTCGATAAATGGACTAACAAATACAAAAAGAGTTATTCAATTCGAACCAGTAGTTTCGGAGAATAGCGCTTCAAACAAACAAACAAATTTTACTTCTTTATAATATTAGTATAGAGTATAGATAAGATTATTTACTCGCCATACTGCTTAAAAAAACATAATCGCGTCTCGATGTGACGTGTATGTCAAATTGTGTGTTTGTAAATGTACCCACGACACAGGATAAAATCATAGCGTAAGGCAATGATTGAAAAAAATATTCTGACTCTTTTTTTTTTTTTGAAGAGCACAATCATTCTATTCTGCTGTTGCTAGGGAAGAGAGTCAGACTGTTACTGACTAAAAACTATCCCGTTCATTCTCCTGCTACAGCCGGCCTGCGTTACATTATTGCGCTTCTGCCCCCAACCCCATCCAGGGGTTTGGTATGTGTGAATTTGTATATTTATAAACTCCATTTATATATATAAAAAAAAATTATATCTATATCCTCCTGTTTTGTCTACTGGTAGCATTATACAGAGTTTTAGAGATCTGATTCTGAAGACATAATATTTTCGATTTGCGAATAAATGTATCTTTTTTTAAAGATTTTCTTACAGTTCGTTTCAATCATCAAATGTATCAAATATTAAACACAAAACTTACTTGCAAAACGATAGAGAAGTGTAGATGCAATGGATTTAGCAAGGGATGCGCAGGCGGCGGCCTGGGTACACGAGGCGGGCGGGGCGCGGGGGCGGGGGACCCTTCGGATGATGAACCCGACCCACCGGCACCACCACTCGTACCTGTGGGACCTGATGATGGACCACTGGGACCCGTGCGGGACAGGCGAGACGATGTACGGGTCACACCTAGTTCCTGTAGAAAAAAGAAGAAACAAAGAAGTTACCACCTAAGTTCACATTGTGGAATGCAATAAATATATTAAGTACCTATTGAGTATTGAAGTTAATTTTTATGTAAAAATTTGTGCCTCTTTATGATTTTTCTTGGTGCCTTTTCTTTGAATATCAACTAGAATGAAACTCCATCCAAATCCAACGCCAATCCGCCAATCCTCGATAACCAACGGTTCCGTCGGGCAACGCACTTGTAACAGCGACGATTGCTTACCATGAGGTAATCGACCAGCGTATTTGCGAATCTCTCAAATAAAAAAATATGACAATATTTCAGCATAACTTCTATTGCCTATTAAAACTACTAAGTAAGGGCATTATTACACTATTTTATGGTAGGATACATTTTCAGTTTTTTTTTTATCTTCTTTTCATTATTCATACCTGTAGCGTGGAGGAGAGTTGCCTGCTGGACCGTGTCATGACCCCATGGAGTGCCACAGGGTGCTGTGGCAGGTCCACCCTGACCCCGCCCACACTCAGCAGGGCGGTGGCACCAGGCCTACCTGCCTCCCATCCGTATAACGCCTGAGACTTGCCCACACTCACACGGACAACAGTCCTAAAACCACAAGAATAAAATATTATGAAAAACACTTCAAATACCAAGTATATAGATAAGTTGTTCATAGGTATCTTCCATGGTTTCCTGGTTTTGCAAACGCCAACTTATTTATTATTAAAAAGAAACATTAAGTACGTGCAAAGGTACAAAAGTAATAGAATCATTATATAACTTGCGTAAATGTAATAAAATCTTTGCGCTACTTGCGCAAACGTAATAACATATTTGCGCAATTTGTGCAACATAGAATAATACTCACTGATGATTTGGCGCAACTCCTTCAAGCAGTACAATCATGGTCCTTCCCAGGTTACCAGTGAGTGACCACTGACGTGACCGTGACGCTGATAAAGAAGCCTGGAGAGACGTTATCTCCGCTTCTAGTTTTAGACCAGATAGAGATGCGAGAAGACGAGTGCGATGTATCCTGGCAGAAGAAAGGAGATTGATTTAAAAAATTTAAATAAATATGCAAGACTTAGATAAGAGTTATGTTAAACAAAATATATATATATATATTTTTAGGTACTTCTTTTTTTAATGCGAAACCATAACAACCTCCCGAAACCGTTGCAACTCCTGTAAGCCAGCATGTACAGTAGATACAACAATGAGGTATGTACCTGGCGACTCCAACGACGACCATGCCCATGTTGGCGGCGCTGGAGGAGGAGTTGCTGGTGTTCTGCTCCCGCGAGCTGGGCCGCTGCGGGCGGCTGTGCCGGTACTGCTCCGGGAGGTCCGTCGTCACTGAGAACCTGCAACACGGACACAAACATACTTAAACCTTTACAAACTTTCTCATTTTACGAGTCTCTAGACATTTATAAATATTAAAATAGGAACTTAGTTTGAAAAAAGCTGTAAAGTATTTATTTTTTTCAGGTGTCTTTCTAATAAAGTACAAATTCACTTATCTATGATGATTAATACCATACCTGTGCGTAATAGTCTCTGCATCAGGCATGTTAGCGTAGAGGTCCAGCAGTAGGTAGACAGTTCTCCAGCAGCGCGGGGCCAGCTTGCCGTCGGCCGCGTCAGCCGACGGGGAGCTCAGCTCGGGGGGCGGGCCCCCGCCCGGGCTGGGGCCCACGCTGGGTCCCGTCCCGGGGCCCGGGCTGCTCGCACCCAGCGAGCTACGTGTCGCGGCGTACATCGGCGTGTGGGCGCCTTCGTTCAGTGAACTGTAGCCTGGATACAGAGAGTAATTTATTGATTAAATTGGTTACGTTTGTACATTATTATTCGTATGGTTTTTATCTAATGCCTTTTCCCGTCCATCGTAGATGAAATGAGAGTGTCAGACCTTTATTGACAAAAAACCATCCCATTCCTTCTTCTACTCCAAGCCGAATATATAAGTATCTTATTAGGTTTGCATCAATAACCTAGACTGATTATATTGAAATGCTAAGCTGTCGATTGAATAAAATTATGACGCACATAGTTGAATGCTGCAACTGATTTTTCCTTCCTTCTTCTAATTTTAAAAACAAACCGTTACATGGCATACGTCGGTCAAATAGTACTAAAAAAAATAACTCACCTAGCTTTCCTTTAACACTCTTGCCAGTAGATCTAAGTTTTTGCGCAAAGGACTGCGGTCGTGGCCTAGTGGGCTGGGCCAGCTTCTGTTGGCTCAGGGATTGGGGCACGGCTGCAGCCAGCTCGGGAGTCAGGGTGGGGGCCATCAAGTCCCATTTAGGTTCTAAAGTGGCGTATTGAACTTCTTTCTCCAAGGAGGATACGCTTACTAGGTTCTCTCTGAAGTCTGATACTAGAAGAAACAAATGTTTTAAGGTTATAAATAAATTGTTAATATTAGAATATGTATCCAAAATTGTGCATTTTAATGTTGTTAGATCACTGACACTGTATAAGTACACAGTACACAACTTAATAAGTATTTTTATAAAAAAAAACGTTGCCACAGAAGAAAAATCCTGGTGGAGTGGGGCGGCGGCACTAGGATAGAAATACACATCACACCAATACCCGAAACACCAATTATTTGGATCACACAATTGTTTCGTACCGTCAATTGCCCAAACAATACACTATTCCTATTGATACCCTGCCGTTTTCAATGACGACCAAAGCATTTATTTTTAATCAGAAAAATACATAGGCTCTAGCAAGAAATAAAATAATATGTCCTCCATCTACAGACATTCAATTAATTAACTCACCAGAAGAAGAGGTGTGTTTATTCTGCCGATGCGATATCTTGGTCTGCGTGCGCAGTTCTATCTGCGTGTCCTTCACGTTCTGGTACATGTTGCTGATCTGATGCAGCAGGCGGAGGAGGGGCATGTTCACCTGGAGACAGATAACAGACCATTATCCGTGGTGAGGTTATATTTGATAGTCAACACTTCATAAATAATTATGAGGAAAATTTTGTATGTTTTATATGTATATGTTTGTGGTGAATTAACGCCAAAAACTGAAAAATATATAGGTAACTAGCTACTCCCGCGTCGTTTCACTCGCTGCTCGGCTCCAATTGATTGTAGCGTGATGTTTTATAGCCTATAGCACTCTGGAACATTGTAGCTATCTTTCAGTGAAATAATTTTGGGAATCCGAACAGTGGTTCCAAAGATTACCCCCTACATACAAACTTACAAACATAAAAATTTTACCTCTTTATAATATTAGTATAGATAGTATGAATATTCAATGGTAGGAAAGGTTAGGGATCCGTACTACAATTTATGTGTTTCATGATGTTCATCACCAACCTATAAGTGACCGATATATCTCATACGAAGATGATTAAAGCATTATTCGCAATGCTTGTTCAAGGCGATTTTTTTTCCTGTGTCGTGGGTGCATTTTTAAACAATTACACATACACATCACACCCAGACCCACCCAGAAACATTTGTAGATCACACAGAGTCGTTCCATGCGGGAATACACCCTGGCAATTTCAAACTTATAATAAGAAATTGTAAGCCTACGTTTCCTAGAGCCAAAGTAATCCTAGAAGGTACATATAACTAGGAAAAAGTTATTTTAGCACTTGTCAGGTTAAGAACCCTCATTCATATGAAGCGGGCGCCTGAACCTCCGGCCACCACGACATAAACAAACATTAATAATGTTTCAAATGTGTGTATTATTACGTACCTGTTGCGATATAAACCGTATGCTGATGTTGAAGTTGAGCATAGTACTAATGTGCTTCTTGAGCTGTCCTCTGGATATATACAGCACGTTCTGTCGCTGGATGAGGTCGTCTACTGCAACGTCGGCCACCTTTTTCAGGTCCACGTCGATAGACACCTTCTCACATAGAAAGGCTGGAGTCTCTGATGGAATTGCACCGTGGCTTTGTGGACCTGGAAATTTGGACAAAGGATAAAAAAAAATAAAAAAAAACGTTGCCCCACACTAAGATTTTTCCTGTATCGTGGGTGCTTTTACAAACACACAATTTGACATACACATTACTCCCATCGGGAATCGAACTCGCGACACATTGCGTCGCAGCCAGTTGCCCGCAGTCAACTTAAAATTGGTATAAAACTCTTTGTTTTTTATAAACCCAGACTAAGAAAGAAGAAAGTTTAAAGTGATATTTGGCATTAGTGCATAAAATGCTATGAAATTGATTATTTAAGTCAGATATTAGCATGTCAAGCTGTTTTAGCGCAAATTGTTACCTTAAGAAAAACAACATATGGATCAAAATAAATATAATTGAAAATGAGCTTACTCTTTCCCTTTCCAGTGTGTCGCCGGTCCCGGGTGGCGAGGTCGCTGACGACGATGTCGATACGGAACATGTCCATCCAAGCCACTAGAGATAGTTTGGACCCTAGTGAGTCCAACGCGGGAGGACCTGAGTTCACGCCCTCACCCGAACCACTCTTGTTCTTTGATTCTCCTAGAGAAATACAAGCCATAAGAGTAAATAAGGAGGGCTGAGAAATAAAATAAAATATTTGATATTTGTTGATTTCATTTGACGATATTTTAGACATTAGTGACACTTCATATTGTGGATATTTATTGAATTAATTATTCTTTTTTTAAAGTCATTGTTCCACACAAGATTTTTCACTTGGGTCATGGGTGCGTTTACCAACATACACATCACACCCAGACTCGAAACAACAATTTGAGGATCACACAAAGAGCTGTTTCTTGCGAGAATCGAAACTGCGTCTCGTTGCGCTGCAGTCGGTTGCCTAGCCATCGCGCCAACCTCCCAGCCAACTTTACGATTTTGTTGTCGAAAAAAATAATATTTTTTTATTTTCTCCGTGCACTAATCAAGGTCAATCATTGACCCACTTTTAGGAGGATTATAAAAATTGTAGACATACCCTGAGTGACTTGGTGCGGCGAGACCCCGAGCGCGGCGAGGAAGGGCTGGAAGACGAGGTGCGCGTCCAGCAACATGAGCGAGCCCTGCAGCGGGTACAGGCTGCATGCAGGCATCGCCGCCGCCACCGCGCGGGGGTTCATCTTCGAAGGAGGAATTATTGGCTTCTTGCTTTTTGGTTCCTGTTAGTACATGATTCGTGTTAAACTCTAGTAATGGGGTGTTTATTGTGCGTGCTGATGAGACGAGCCTGTCATGATACGCGTGACATAGATCCGCTGCGTGAGTATTAGTTGCGTGCTCGTTGTGCTAGATTGTGGGTGGTTAAGCTACGTTAATAAAATAATAGGAATAATAACTTATATTTTACATACATCTTATAGATCAATTCATAATATTAGACGCGTATTTTTTTTATTTCTTACGGAATCAAATACTTTTGGCGACAGTTTGATTTGAATTACCGATTGAAATCATAACTCAATACGTTTTATACTGAGCGGTGACGTAATAATGAAACAATGGAATATGAAGCGAACAACTCTTAAACTTAAAATCGTTTTGTGTAAGAAATGTTTTTTATTACGATAAAATAAAAAAATACGTGCCTAATATTTATCTAACTGATGGATTTATTGGATTAATTGATCTTTATACTCTGACATCATCTGTATTTACTGGTACAGTACACAATACAACATTGACTGTTAAAATATAATCTAATAAAGAAAAATCTAAAAAAAAACAATAAAAGCCATATCAAATAAAGCCTTGTATCAAGTCTTTGTCTAGTAGACTTGGAACCTTATTTCAGTAGAATAAGACACAAAGTACTTTGAACCCTCCCCAAGCCATGCAATCTATATGATTGTACATTTTAATATTACTTACCACTTTTATGGGTTCCTGTTTGGCCATCCATTGGTATAAGTCTTCCCTGGCGCGATCATTCTTGATGTTTTCATCGCTTCCGTGCGGAGAGTACAGCGATGGGTTAGACCCTACTGTTGGTAGGTCTTCTTTCAATGTTCCGTAATCAACTGGAGTGGGGAGGTAAGAGGGACGCAATTAATTTTTTGCATTGAAATTAGAAAGTTTCATACTTTCAAAATAATTAAACTAATTTCGACGTCAATATGGATCTACTTATTTGTATGTGTTCTTCTTTTCCTTTTAAGTAGAAATTGAATATAGGAATCTTCTTACAGAAGCCTTTAAACCCACCTATCAACTCAAAATTGTGTGATGCTGTTACATAAAAATAAAATATCATAGGTAAGTACTCACATATTTTCATACAACAACATTACATTGATGGTTTTCTATTACATTTAATAACAAACTCAGGAACGAAACTAGCAATGTATCTACTCACTAGCGATGGCGTCGTCATTGAAGACTGGTTTCCTCGTGGAGAATGGCAGCGAGGGGAACACGAGGCTCGCTCGACTGCTTTGGGCTCCCCGCACTGTTCGGGACACGGGATTAGCACATCACTAGTGTGGGCGGGGCGTTAAATGATACAGGGTGGTGCAAAAGTGTGAATAGTGTTTTTTATGAAACGAATAGGTTGGTTAAAAATGCTATCATTAAAATAATTGTTTGTTTGTGAATAATATTCGCTTATGCAAAACATAAGGTTGTTTTAAGGCTGATAACTGAACATTGGAACTTATATTAACAACTGTTATTTAACTTTTGCTTCATTGAAGTCATCTTTAGTTTCGTTGTTTGCAATTAAGACTTTATAATGTATTTTTTTTAACAATTGAACTTGTAACTACCTTATACATTTAAGAAAGTTGCAAAAAAAATCTCTTTTTAATGATAGCATTTTAATGAGCTCTAAAATATGTGAACAGGAAAGATGCGATTAAGTTTCACAAATAAACCAAACTTTTCGACACTGTCATGCGAAACTCTAACGAACAGAATAACATGTAAGTAGACAGAATATACGTAACAAAAATATGTTTGATGTGAGTTGAAATCATAGACATAGTCAACTTTCTCTCATAGGTTGTTAGTTAATAATTTATTTCTTTCTTCTAAGGTGAATATAAACACTCAGTCATACAGGCTATAAATCTGTCAGTTAAGGATATTTTATTACAAAGTATTAACGTTTACATATGACAGTAAGATAAGCGTATCTACCGGGGATTTCAAGAAGTCCCTAAACCCCAGAAATATCACGAATTCCTTGTTAGTTGGTAGTTATTGAATGTCCTTGTTACTTTATAACATTATACAATAACAATCAGCTTCATGTTTTGTATACCATATAAACAATTACGAATTATTATATAGATTAGCATATACCTACAGCGCATTTACTACGAACAGCAGTGCTTGAACAGTGATTAATATAAATAGCAGTAAAATTAATATCTCTACACAGTTATCCAGTTTGCAAATAGGAAAAATAACATTGACTTAACATAGAGACAGTAACCATTGTCGGCCATTAAACCTATTAATGGTTACAAAAGACCAAACTATACAATTTAGTAGACCAATAGATTCTGTCTCTTCTTATTTGCATATTAAATAACTATGCAGAACTACATGTAGGTACATAAGCGAAGCAACATGAAAACTCAAAATAAATATTCTTATAAGCTTGTAAATATGAATATTTATATATTATATACAATAATTAAGGGGATAAGTAACTCAACTAAAATATTACTAGAACGTAAATAGTCAAGGTTAGGGAAGATAGGTTACACAGATATTTCGAATGTTCAAACGACACTTTTTTGTGTTTCCAAATATTAATTTAGAAGAAGAAGCAAACGAAGTGAGGTAGTTGTAAAATTCTTGTTTTTAGGTAAAAATGTTTTGGCTGCTATGCCAACTTAAGAACATTTTGTTTTAGTAGTTTTTAGTATACTACCTATGGTAGACATAACAACCGTCTGATAATAAATTCCATTCCCTATGTACAGTACGGTTATCTGAATTAGGAAAAAATGAGATTTATATTCACGGCAAACGACTGAGAAACGCTTAACTCGCCACGACGCACGTCTCGCAGCCGACTGACGCGTCCACCTCTGCTCATAAATAAGATACCAGTTGTGACTTGAAACTATGTAGTAGAGCTTTCCTCACTTAATTCATGTGAGTAAGTCGTTATTTTCTAATGCTAACAGATTCTTATGTATCTGCGGAAGTGCAGACCTAGTCCAGAAGAGAATATGTTTCTTTGCGAGAAATGTCTAGTAGCCTCTAGTAAGACCAAGTTTGGCAGAAGTAAGTGGCAAAGAAAGACATATAATTGACAAAAAAGGGTGTCTGAATATACGAACTAAATAAGGGTGATTGTCATTATAACAACAAGGATGAAACATCAAGTTATAGAAGGGAAGGGCCACACGAGTTACATTCACTCCATGCTGTCAACAGACGAACAAACAGACAAGACAACAAAAGCGTAACGCTGTGAAGTCGTTTGTATTTGAAATAACATGTTAAATATTTCCGAATAGTGCAATAGATACAGTATCTTATTTCAATGCAGGTAAGGTATTATTTTGTGCCATCCATGGGCTATTAGGCCATGGTTTATTCAATTTTACATTATGTCATACACGAACCAATATGGTTTTGTTTTAGAAAAGTACCAGCTAAGAGGTATTACAATTTGAAATCTTGAATTTAATAATTTTGAGATAACATAACAAACGACCTCTTTTTCTAGGACTTGTGGACCTTATTAATAAACAAACTTAGCAACTCCAGTAGTTTCCAACTGGTCAAATTCCCAATACCTTTACTAAATTTTCAAATATTTTTTATGGATTTCGTATAAAATCACATACTAATTTCTGAGATACTTGCTAGGAAAAACGTGGAATTAGGTAATGCAATCAATGAACAAAAATATGTTTAACTATTTATAATTTACTTTAATTTAAAATCATTACATATTTTTGTAACCTTGCTATCATTCAATGGAAATTGGACTTTATTGCTGTATAGTTTCAAAAGGAAAAGCGACTCTAATAGAATGGGTATAAAGTCGACAAGTCCTAAGCAGCAGTGAGTGTAATTGTACGAACCGGAGGGCGGCGTGGAGGGGAAGGAGTGAGGGCGCGGGCTAGCCGCCGCGCCGCCCGCTTCACCCATACAGGAACGTCATTAGTGGACTTATATGTATATTATATTATTTATAGATTATGTACTATGCATATATATATGGTTAGTGTATCTTTGTTTTACGGATTATAATTTATACTAAAACTGACAATCTTTTGGCTGTAGGAGTCGTCATGTACTTAAGTCATGAATATGAATCCCAGTATAGCTCGAAAGTAATCGAGGATTTAAAGTTAAGTTTTATACAAAATTGGATAGTTATTTTTCATGAAATATTTCTGAGATCTCTCATCCAATTGGGAAATATATTTTTTTCATTTTTAAAAGAATATAAGTTGGAACTAAACTAAACTTTATGATGTGAGCCTGTTTAAAATAGCCAAGACCATTTTATAACAATTATAATCCGTAAAAACAATAACACTTCATTTATTTAAATAATAATAAAAATATAAATGTTTAAAAATCAAATTGCAAATTACTGTGAACTTAGCTGTATTTATATTTTAATAGCTGTGATTAAGAGTATCTGGATAATTTATAAATAAAACAAAACTATACTTTATTAAAAAAAGCAATAAGGACTATCATTCTTAACTTTCTATTAGATCAAAACTTCAAAGTCCTTTTTTTAAATTATCATTATAATTATAATAAAAATTATAAATAATAACCGAATAACACACTTCTTTGAAATTAGACCTTAACTTCTTGAGTTTAAGGTTTATTTTACGTTGTATATCGATTCTATGAAATACAGGTTGTACTCACCAGGTACGTTGACTTTATCGACGTCCATGTTGAGAAGGAGACAGTTCTCATCCAATGCCTCTGTCTCCAGAGGATACTCTTGCCAACCTTCTACTGAATCCTGTAATGAGGATCATTGGAAATATTATAAGATAAAATATTAATGAATTCCGTTATTATTGTTACTTGTTCTTTAAGTTGTTTTTCTTGATTCCTTTACAAGGGCGACTTTTGTGTGCGTAATCCGATTTTGATGAGATATTCGATTTCAAATCCTCAGTGACTGCGAAGTTTTATGGCGTTTGGCGGTAAGTTCCGCTCATTTTTATGACAGATTACTAATACATATAACTGATGGGTTTCACATTTGCTTGTTCACAATTCACAATCTTAAGGTAAAAAGAATCTCTGACAAAACAGATGACACATTACTCAAATTTTAAACGAACTACTGAAAGATTTGAAGTAACCATGACAATTCTAGTACTACTAGCATAATGACAATGAAATAATGATAATCATTTGTTAATACAACTTCCTAAATGAACTGAACCCCACCCAACATAAAGCTGTATGACGAAAGCAGTGTAGACCCCGCATGACCCCAGAAAGACCCCGGATAGACCCCAGCCCCTCACCTCTAGTAGATCAGGTAAAGCGAAGGTAACATTAAGTGGCTTCATCACTTTGCTCTTATAGTTATGTTCCAGTAACAACGGCGTATACAGGATGTTCTTCCATTGCCGACTCAGCACAATCACACCCTGGAAAAAAATTTAAACAAAATTTAGAACTTACGTTCAAAAATGTTTTATGTAGAAATTACTGACAACACCATGACAAATATTAAATGTTGTATAATTCATTATCAATAACAATACGGAAACGAACGGACAATAATTTGGCGGTACGATATCACCTGTCACGAATTCAAATCACGGATTTGATTCCCGGTTCTATTTCGAAACTAATCGAGCATATAGAAAAAAAGTTAAATGTTTACGATTATTCAAATTACCTGTCTCAAAGTAGACAATGAGGGCAGATGTCTCTCGGCGAGGTCCGCCTGCACGGCGGCGGCGTCAGCTTGCAGCGCGTACCGCAGCAGGACGGCGCACAGCTGCAGCGACGGCTCTTCGCGTAACTGCTTCGCCATCGGCGTGTGGCGCCCGTACCGACTCTGTCACGACAATATTATGTTGCTTCTAAACATTGATTTGTGACACATAGGAAGTAAATGTAGGAGCCACACTTGACCGGAGTAATAGGACTATTACTCCGGTCAAGTGTCCACAGGCTCACAGAATCCCGGCGTTTCGTCGTAAGCTAGGTTAGCCATACCCAATCTCCATCATCCTCAAATCCCCACTCTCATACCTCTAAATCCCGAAAGGGTGTCCATAATGAGGCCCAATTGTTTTTTCGCCGGTAGAAAACATTACCGTAAAAAATATATTTTGGTAGATTTCTAAACCATTATTGCTGGTACTATTGTGAAATTTTTTAATGCACTGAGGAGGAATAACAAGATGAAATACAGAATTTTTATGTTATATATTTACTTTAAATACAGAAACGTCATTGTATCGACAAAAAAAGTTACTTAAATACTACATCTTCATTATTAAACATTGCATTACATAAAGTTAGGAAAAACTATATAAACAAACCTTGGGCAGTGTATGGTGAGGAGCGAGGTCCAGTGCTGCAGCCATAAGACTGGCAGCAGTTGCGGTGAGACGCCTGGCGTAGGCGCGGTACAGTGCTACTACGCGGATACCCAAACGGTTGCATGGGTTCATCCATGCATTGATTGCCGGAGACGCTGTGCTTAACAGGTTCCAGTCCAGCCTGGAATAAAATGGATTATTGTGACTTAGAGCAATCTAAACCGCGAATTTTATTCGAAGACTAAAAAACTTCATGTAGGTCATTAAGAAGTTGTTTTGTAAATATCAAAGAATGTAACAGAGAATACTCTACCTTGTATAGTCAATCTTCTTCGTGATAGGTGTCCGCGGTGGCGCGGCGAAGTTGAACCAAACCACCTTCAAGTCGATAGCACAAGACGAAGTATTCCCATTGTCTTTGAGAGGCACCACAGTAGCTGTACTATCGTTGTTCGAAGGCTCATCAGGTCCCGGAGTTGAAGGTTCAGGAGGAGGAGGAACTGGAGGCGGCTGAGCTGTTCCAAGGTTCGGAGTACTAGGCTTAGAGCTGGAATCCCTCTTTCTAAACAAGTCTTCAATCCCCGAGGTCCTGCTTTTAGTACTCTTGTCTTTATCAGGTTTCGACTCTTCAGCAGACTTAACAGATTCTCGACAGCTCTCATTATCTGGTCTCAGAGGTTTCTTCTCCTCAGCTTGTGCCTGTGGCTTGTGTGATTGTGAGTGTTTCGACACTTTTATAGAGATACCTTCAAGACCACATTCAAACATGATGAAACCTATAGGATTATCCTTCGGACCCTCAGTTGCAGTTCCATTTTGGCAACACTGAAAAATATTATAGATAGTTTCAATATAAAACCTTATGTTTATAAGCTCAAGACTAAAGTTGCACTGAATATCGTAGCATACCATTGACTCGCATCCTTTAGCACAAGAATCGACGCGAATGAATTTGAAGGACACTTTGGAATGTTGGCACGGTATACCCGTGATCGTTACGTCCTTTAGTTGCGACGATTCGTTGCGTATGCGACGAAGTTGACCATGAACTTTACCTATAAACACAAGGAGGTTAATAAAATTAAAATAAAGCGACCATAAAAGTAAGAAAGTATAAAGATTATTTTTTATGTTTACTCACCAACATTCAAAGTTATCGTGGTATCTTCGCACTGTTGCTGCGAAGCTTCAATGTAAACCGGCTCGCCTCTCTCCGGCCCTCGTCTCTTCCCTGAAGTCTGTGCAGATATCAACGCACGTGGACCCTTCATTATTCCAAAAGACTTTTTACTTCCCAAAGCCCTTAGAGTTGGTCTGTAGTACAACTGCACAGACTCCAGATTTTTCCTCGTGCTGACGTATTTCGCGATTATGTTTTCGATAGATACTCCGAACAATGATACGCAGGTCAAGTCTTGTATGTTGTCCAAAGCTGAGAACGATATCATGTCCTCCACTACAGAAGACTGTATGAAAATCATGTTTACCTTTGGAACGGTCACCGTCGCTTGTAACGACTCACAAATGGTCTCTTCATACACGTTGGAATGGGGTATAGTGGCTAGTTTACACTTGTCGTCCTTATCTGACACCAGGTTTGACTGGCTTCGGTCTTGCATCTGCGGCAACCAGTTCTGAACATACTGCTTTTGTTTTAGCACGTTAGCACTGGATACAGTCGATATACAAAGAAGACGCAAGTGATTTATCACAGTTATGGGATGTATATTCGCTAACACTGGTGTGAGAGACTCGACGAATTTTTGCGTACTTTCCAAAACTAGGGGTGTCAACATGATATCAATTTCACCTCGAAGTTTTACAAACAATCCACTCTTGGAGTCGCTTGTGGTCGTTATAGTTGATGCGGAGCTCTTCTCCGTTGTGTTCTCTTGGCTGTCTTGCATAGTTTGTTGCACGTCCCACCATCCTTGTGGGTAAGGATGTGCTTTCACTTGCGAATTAAAATGTGGAGGCAGGTTAGAGTAAGGCCCATGTTGATTTTGATTGTTATGATCTTTCTTTGATATCAATCTGAGGATGTTAATTTTTCCAAGTGGTTCAAAACTAGGCAGATATTTTTGCCCGACGTAAACTAAAGTACCGTCATCAGCTCTTTTAAACAACGGCAAGGTGAACACGTCGCTTCCACTAGGCAAGGAGCACGTACCCCAGTTGGAACATTTGTATTGAGGCAAATTGTGCATGTAACTGGCCATTAGAAGAGGGGAGTCCACAATGGGCTTGTTTGTCTGCATGTGTAGATTTACAAGCGTCATATCTTCCTGTGAAGAGATCGCGGAAATAAAAGACGTTGACGATACAGAGCCACTTTCAGAATCTGGTTGCACGCCTGTGCTCAAATTACTTATAGTATCTGGAATGTCTACTGGCTCCGATTTAGGCGCCGACCACTTTTCATTAGTTATGTCGTTGATGCCGAACGAACTTTTGTCTCTGGGATTACTGTGGCGACTGCCAAATGAATGCTTCAAACTTGAGGATCGGCTTGGGAACATGTCCTCGTCAGCGGAAAAGAAAGCTTCGGAATGATTCTCGCTTGTTATAGACATAGTCCTTTGCACTTCTTGGGGAAGGGTATCTTCAGGTGGTACTTGTGAATTCAAAGAATAGTGTGACTCTGACACTGCTACGTGTCTCATTGGTACCTTTGGTACAGAAAACGTTTCAGCTTCTGTTGGAACAGGCTTTTTCGAGTCTTTCACCCCACAGCTGAGCGCCAACTTGGAATCAGAAACACTACTCTCCATTTGAGGTACATTTAATATACTCTTATTGAGTTTTGAATCGCTGTCAATCTTGGTGCTGCCCAGAGGTATGGACGAATCTACTAAGCGAGCGTAAGGCACATCGCTTTTAGTGCTGGAAACCAAAAGGTTGTTACTTCCTTTGCTCATACTTGTATATGAGAATCTTCTGGTAAGGCTTCGACGTTCCGCACTTTGAGGAGACTTGTTCAGGCTCTGTGGCAGTGGCGATGGTATTAATGTTGCCACATTGGTTGGCTGCAGGCAGACGTTCAAACTGTTATATGGTGGGGTATGGAACACGAGCTGACCCGAGTGCAATAAACTCTGGCCGTACCCGTATTCTCCCGGTGTCGTTTCTATTATATTAAACATAGCCACGTTGATACCGTCGTTAAGGTCATTTGGATTTGGCTTTAAGAAGTTAGGCCCATTCCTATTGGAACCAAAGAACGCACAGCCACCTGTACAACCACACTGCGAACTCTTTCCTTCAACAGGCCACAGGAACCAAAGCCTTTTTGTTTTGTCATCGTGCAATTTCAAGAACTTCTGTTGAACTAAGTGAAGATTTTTCGGTGTCTGTGGCAGGGACGAGGCAGCTTCGATCAACAGAGGGCCTAAAGCAACCGAGCCAACTCCAACCCAATTGTCACTTTCAGGCGGTTTATTTTGGCTATTGTTGCTTCCGTTAGAATGATGATGAGTATTTGTTTGCATGTTAGTTTGCGTGTAGAGAGCTAATTTTATATTTGGCAGTAAACCAGTAACACCAGTGCCGAAACCCGAGCCGTGTAAATTACAAAAGCTGAGTCTGACAGGCGATATCCACGACTGTAGTGTGGTGTTAGAATCTGCGATATAAATGTCAATGAGATCGATCGCGACTCGTATCATCTTGTATTTGATTTCATTTGCCGTTGGGCATCTGTATTTCAAAGTGAGGTCTGTTTCCTGACACATCACGTTATTCAGTCCGTGGTGGCATTGTTTAGCAGGGTTAGGCGGAACTAATTCATTTTCGCTATCACAAATGAGTAGTAGAAACGTTTCTAAGGAAGATATGATTTGATACAGTTGGGGCAACGTTAGACGCCCTGTTAGCTGACCGAGCTGAAGTTCCATCATCCAAGCATACTCAACAGTATCTTCCTCGACGTTCCTATTCGTATCACTGAAGAAACCGTTCCCTCGTAGCTGGAAGGATGAGAGCATCAAGTGACCTTGATACAAGGCCCCTGAGTTCATAGGATTGGATCGCGACAAGTTATTGGCCGACACTAATATGGAAGGACTTAGTAGTAATTGTAGCTTGGTCTCCCTAAAGCTTTTGTCCATTTCAAATCCAAATCGTTCTATCAGAATGACAGGACACGGAGGCTCATTTTCGCTGCAATTTTTAACTAAATGCGCTTGAATGTCATGGATTATAATAGATACCGTTACGTCCAAGGGTCTGTAGTGTCGTGGGTCAAAGGGACCTTTACTTGAGTCAGTGGAATCATCTATCGATATTTCATTATGTTGATTGACACTACTTTTGTCATTAACCTTTGCATTTTCACTAGACCAGTAAAAATTTTCCGCGTTAGGAGATTTCTGCATATCGGTGAATGTTTGGTCTTCGCCAAATATATTTTCTAGTAAATTCATAAAGCTAGTAATAATAGTTCCATAGGCCAGAAGGATAGAAGGTCCCACTTCTAGCTCTACACTTACTTTATCAGGGGGTAGTGTCGTTCTATCGAAATTGTTTCCGTCTAAAGCCCAGTTAATTTGAGGCTGTTTTCTCATCCTTGGTATTCTCATGGGCGATAATAATATTTCTTCTTTTTCTGGCGTTGTTATGTCGGCCTGAGGCTCAGGGCCTAATGGAGGAATGGGGTGATAATTATATCTAACACTCAGAGCGACAATAGGAACTGACCAACAATCCACCCAGCCTTGCGATTTAACGCATTTTCTTCTCCATTTGGACGCCTTTAATCTACAGGGAACCAACTTCATATTTTTATCGAGAGATAGAAGTAGCAACTTCGACGTGTTTACTTCTGGCAGATAGAGACTCATATCGACAGCCTCGCCTTGCACCCAGATCTTCAGCGGTATGACATCTGGCAAGAAATCGACGAAAGGCAAATCAAAGGAGACGTCGAGGAGATCTCCGCAGAACGCGACGTGATTATTTTCCTGATTTGTAGAACTACAGTCTATCCAGTTGTATTGGTTGCTCACTGTCACTACCTCACACTCTTTGAGCAGTAAGGATATTTTCCAAGTGTAAGGTACGAAATGTAAAATGTCGGGACGAGCTTTTGTCGACCAATCGTTTATTAGGTCTTGGAAGAAATCTATGTGTGTGTAGACCAGATGAGTAGTAGCTTTACAGCCAGTTAGACTTAATTGCCAGCACTGGTGGTGATTCCATACAAGTGGATAGTGGCACTTGACTGTGTACTCTAAAGTTTCACTTTCGGCTAAACTTCTGTACTGCAGACTCGTCGTCGCTTCTAAATGTAACAGCTGGCCGGTAATTTTTGTCGTGTACCCGTCTTGTAATACGATCCAGGGGAGCGTTACTTCAAGGTATGAACCCGCACCAATGTTTATATGCACCGCATTGGTTTCCTTATTTTTTGTGAACAAAATATCAATAGTGGCTTCATTTAAAGTAGACAGTCTTATGTCAAACGATTGCGTTTGTCTAATATCACCAGGCTTTGGCTGTGGGGTTACCTCTAAGTTTTTGTAGTTCGGTGGGAAGAAGAATTTAAACAGATGGTCTCTTTGTCGGTCGGCCCAGGGGCCATAGCTGAAGTCTGTACCTTTACCGCATTTGATATCGACGCCCCATATTGGCGGCGCTGACTCTACAATATCTCCATTTGCTAACTGCAGAAGTACTGGTTGTTCAGGCACTAGACCTGGTTCGTCCATATAGAAGTATACTTCGATATAATTGGAGCTCATGACTACGAACCCTTCTCCCATGTACCGAGGCGGTTCATCGACCATTGAAGTGTAGTTAGGACTGGGTGCGAGCATCACTTTGCAGTTTTCTGCTTTAGCTTTAACAAAGTGCATGAGGTGGTCGAGGCTAGAGGCAGGCGGCTTTGTACTGTACACTAAGTGGGATTCTTCTACGCTTATCGATAATGTCGTGGGGACTAATCTATTTCCGAAAACCACTCTTCCTGAACAGATATCTATTTTGATGACAGGGATAAGGTCTCGCCAGGTGCGAGCCATGGCAGCTTCGGAGCGAACCGTCTCCTGCGCCCGGCGTCGCTTCTCATTAGCATCGTTCATAGCTTTGTCTCGGTCTGTGTAATCGTCATCGTTCTGTTGTTTTATAACTGGCTCGAGACCGAACAGTTTCTCGAGTTCATTGTAAAGGTCGCAGCGATTATAGAAGTGTAGCTCGAATCCGTTTAGCATGATTGACAGCCGAGTGTCGGAGTGTGACAAGTCTGCGAATTAACAGAGTAATATTATAGATGTAACGAGGATATAGGGAAACATATTGACTAGAGGAGTTGACTGTCTTTCTCTGTAACTTATTTCATATCGGACTTATGTAATAAATGTGAAAGTTGGTGAGGATGTAATTAAGAATTAAGCTACTCAATAGATTTGAAACAAATTTGATAAAAGAATAGATTGTAGTGTAGGATAACCCATTGGGTACTTTTTATCCAAAGAACGCGGGTGAACTCATTGGCAGAAACACAAATTAAAGTATTAACATAAATGACACGATTATTAAATAGATCACAGCATACAGTTGTAATTTTCCTGTAGTTCAAGGGCATTTTATTATAAAATAGAACCACAGCAATCTATATTAAAATTACTGTGTAGGTACCTCCAGTAAATAAGTCACAATAAATACTGTTTTTGTACTAATCCTATTAGATAAATGGTGTTGCTAATAAGGTGAAACCTTTAAAGTATAAATTAGGAATTACCAAAATTATAACCATGTAGTATAGATTAGAACCAGAAATATTCTCATATTCTCATTATATTTTCACAAAATACACACACAGATAGATGACTGCCCTAATTATTATTTTTTATGTCTTACGTTATTTTTCGCGCTTAACACATTCAGTGCCCCCGACGCGTATGTGCGTTTCCTCGCACGCACATACGCGTCGGGGGCACTGAATGTGTTAACTATAAACTAAAATTACACGACTTCTGCTGAAAATTCATCATATTCTGGCGATTCCAAATTCAATGGCAATGAAAACAAACAAACAAAACAATACAGTCATTGACTCCTATAGTACTAATGACTATCCTAAATAAAACAAAACAGCTTTAAAAATAAATAAACAGACTGATTAAAATCTAACCTTCTGATACATCCTTGGGTACGTAGGACCGCCACCATCGGAATATCAAGTAGCCATCTTGTATTCGCAATGTGTAGTCATAGTTTATGTAAACTATGTCTCTGAACATTATCTTACCGGACAGAGCATTTAGGGTGAAGGAACCTGAAAATTAAATAAAAACATTACCTGGATACTCTTTGTTGCCATCATAAGAAAAAAAGTTTTTTTATCCAATAAGGCGACAAAGGAACATTCAGATCACCTGATGACACCAGTGGTACCCTACACTGCTAAAGACAGCAGTGGTTAGTAGAACACTAATGGCAGAATGACAGCAGCGGGTAAAACTGACAGACAAAAATAGTATGCAATATTGCCTGTACTATGTAAATACAAACATACTTTCTTTCTGTTATATCAAAATTGTACACCTTTGATCAGGTTACTAGTATATCAAATAAGGAAAGGGATTGATTTTAACAAACACCATTATCCTGCATATTAATGTTTAAATTATTTAAGTTATATATATGTAATTGCAAGTTCTATGTCATTATAATTATATTATATAATATATAGTATTTAGTTACAAGTAAATTTAATTGTTATTGAAGATTCTCACTGACCCCGCAGTCAAACCATTACAACGGTTTTGTGGGGCTTAGCACATAAGATGGCTATCTTTGTGATATAAAATAAATAAATAATAATAATAAAAAAAAATATTCCTAAACTAAAACATACACACAATTTTCTAGTGTGTAACAACTGCACTTGGCAATGTTTTGTCAGTAAAATTATAAAACTTTTAATGCTACAATCAACAATCAGTTTCCGAATATACCTACTTTATGCAGTCAAACATATTAGTTTATTAAACAAATATGTACCTATATGTTGCACAGATAACTGAGCTATCATTGTTCAAAATAAATCTTAATTTCCACTTCAATGAATATTTAGGACTATATTTTATGTATTTACTGATACATGATAATGCAATATGTTAGTAATAAAAAGCTAAGCTAATGTATATATTCTATGTAACACTTTTATTACAGTTTAGATTCTTATTAGAAGTAATTCTATATGATTACACATACTAAAGCGCTAATTTATCAACTGTACGGTAAGTTGAGTTATTTTAATCTGAACTACTGAACATGGAAAAAGTATGTGTTACTTTTATTTATACATAGAAGTAGTCAAATACAAATCAAATCAGTATAAGTTGTTATTTCAGGCAATCATTACTCATTTCACTTAAATTTTGCATAATAATTTTTATAAATTATCTTACTGATAATCAGTCACCTATTAAATACTGATTTGTTTGCAAATAGCATTCCAATGTCACATATAAATGTATTATTTATAAAAAATGTCATTGAAATAAGTATCTGAAAGGTATTAACCTAAAAAATAGTGTCATAAAATGAATAGCATATTATTATTATATTTTATTGCTACCAATTTGAATTAAAGAAAAATTTGTTTCTTATACTTACTGAAAAACTACAGTTACAATAACAACAACTAAGTGGATATCCTACTAGTAATAAGACCGACCTAGAAATCAAATAATATTTGTTCATGAACATGAACTGAGAATATAAATAAATGGGTCACTCACCTATTTTGAAATTGTCGTCTTGGAAATAGAACTTGTTGATGAGCCTGGTCAGGATGTAGCCCAGCACTCGGCTGTTGTAGTACGTTATATAAACGATCCATAGTATCGCAGATATAAGCGACACAAGCAGCAGGGCGAAGTTTCTGTCCATTGTTATTTCTGCGAAGTCTATCGACGAAGAATTCCATCTTTGCGCCACCGGATCGTCCATAGACCCGGTAAAGTTATCCCTAAACACAATCATAACACGTAAAAACACTCAAACAATAATAAAATCTTCGTAAATAACTTTATACACGAAAATAAACATCACTCAACTACAAGGCTACGCAAATCATCATAACTTACATGATGGTGATTTAATTACTATACTGACACTTTTCACATTTTATACTAGTACACTGCCCTAGAAAATCGTACACTATACACATTTCTAATACTATTTTTCTGTCTTTCTTATCAAAATCATAAATCACTGCCTGCCCATCCGTGGTTCAGAATTTGACAGATAGATATGATTGCTTACGTTCCGTTTTATCAAAACTTCTGTTCCGCTAAGGACGAGATGTGTGTTCATTTCAGCTTCAGAAAAAAATAATTTAATTTTGTTTGTAAAATGCATAATATAATAACAATTTTAATTAAAATATTTTCATGCATTGTAGTTGTAATAGAAATACGTTCAAAAAATGTATAAAATGATAAATTTACATGAAGCGAGTTTTTGTTGCTATGATACAACTTTGTTATTATTTCAATATTTTGTCATTTTTAGTCCATCAAAAAAAATAATAAAGAAACTGTAATAAGTTACAACTATTACAAATATACAGAATGACCGAAGAACCTAAAGATCGTAATGCATACGACCCAAAAGTAAGGTAAGATGAAGTATTCTTTTTTACCGATAAATTTAATTAATAATCCGCTACTAATTTTTATTTTAATATTTTTGATGATATCGTATAATACTAATACTTATCAAGTTATAGTTTCTAGTTTAGATTTTTTTATAAAAAAGAAGAAAATGCAAATAGGTAGGTTTTATTAAAAGCCAATAGTCGCTTAATGCAAGGCTAAGTTTTCGTTGTGATTAAGTCTACTTGCAATCTGCATGTAAATAAGAAGTAAGAAAGTAAGTGAACTTAGCTCTTTAACTTTTTTTACATTAGTAAGGTAGGTATCGAGTAGGTACATTGCTTAAATGTAACGGAACGTTGAAAGGGAACTCAATGAATAAGAAGCCCTTTGTGAGTCATTCATAAAATACCTACCTACATTAACAACGATTCCCATTAATTAAGCAGGCGTCTTTTAACGCTTCATTTCTCAATACTTTTAAACGCGAAAAGATGTAGGTAAATATTGATGGATGGATGCTTGTTATGTACCTACTCTTTGACTACTGAAAGGAATTACCTAAATGAAAATAAACACAGAGTAGGATAATTCTGGATTGACACAAAAGCCATAATTCTGGATTGACGCAAAAGGTTTTTAGTCAGTTAGAGTCTGGTACTCCCTCTCACCATAACTTAGGCGAAAGGCGGTTCAGAAATACCGCCACCGAAAAATCATTCTAAAGTTTATCCATAATTAATAATCTCGCCATAACTTAGGCGAGGGAAGTTATGGGACGATAGGTATTCCTTACTTAGGTATTTTAAAAAATATTTTAGCTTAAAATATTTTAGATTAAATAACATAACTTCTGCTGCTTGTCATGCTACTTCCAGGTGGGTTAACCCACAGCGATTGAACCAAATGACTTTTATCGGCAAGGATGTATTCGCGGTAGCCCACGACATATACATTATTCTATTCAATTACAAGACCAACACCGAGACGGTCTATGTGGCAAACAATCAGAAACGAGGAGATGGCGTTGATGTTTTGGCTGGTAAATATGTACCTAAATTATTAAATATAAATTGAAATACTTCAGTAATTTTGGACAATGCATTTTTCAAAAAAGTTTTCGGAAGCCAAAAAGAGGTCGTAGCTAATTTGCGTTGCTTGAAACTTCCCTGGTTTATCAGCTGTCCATCAAGTTTAAGAGAATAGAGGATAATACAACTTATCGTCATTGGATGAAAGGCACCAGCAAGCACATTGCTTACCATCAGGTTACGCGACAGCTTATTTGCTTTCGTTCTGATCGGTTTTCATTTTTGGTGGCAAACGAGCAGACAGATGACATGATGGAAGGTAAGTGATCAGCTCCGTCCATGGACGCCTGCAAAACCAAAGGAGTCACACGCGCTACCGGCCTTATAAAAATGAGTGAGCACGTTTGTTGAAGGTTTGAATGTCGTATTCAAATCAAATCAAATCAAATCAAAATCATTTATTCCAAATAAACCATAAATAGGTACTTTTGAAACGTCAAAATAGAATAGTAGTCTGTCAGTCTGTTCGTCAGTGAAGCTAGGTGCTCGTTCCAAATTGTAGTTTCGAATGGAGAAGAACGAGCAAGAAACTCCATCGTTACTCTTTTAAAAAAAATATTTGTTTTACAATTCATCAATAATACATTTTTTATACATTACTGTACCCCTATGTGAGAACAATGCAGAGACAAGTTGTTAATAAAAAGGAACAAATGATGGTCTATTTAATCTATCATTAAAATTTTAATCCTTTGTTGTCTCGTACATGGCGCTCACATATGCGTACTCACAATCCAAAAGAATGCTTCTATATAAACTCATTCAAGGTTTCATTAATTTTGAGAATTTTGATAACTACTGACTACATATTTGAGAATTGTCCAGTGGAGCCGAACCAACATGCTGCCAGGCATTCTTATCCTCAATATAATCTGAAAGTTTGTAGTATGCCTGTCTACATAATTCGCGTTTAATATAAGTTTTAAATTTTCGTTCATTAAGATTTAATACACTTCTTGGAATTTTATTGTAACAATTTACACAGAACCCCATAAAGGATTTCTGTACTTTGGACAGACGGAATCGTGGCACAGCCAGCCTATCTTTGCCTCTAGTATTAAAATTGTGTCTATCGCTTCTTTTTTCAAATAATTGCAAATTTTTCCTTACGTACATAATATTTTCATATATAAACTGACAAGGTACCGTTAGGATATTTATCGTTTTAAATAGTTCTCTCAGAGATTCACGAGGGGACAAGTTATATATCGCTCGGATAGCCCGCTTTTGCAAAATAAATATTGAATCTACTTCCGCAGCTCGACCCCATAGCAAAATTCCGTACGACATAATGCTGTGAAAATAGCTAAAATAAACAAGCCTTGCTGTGTTCACGTCTGTGAGCTGTCTAATCTGTCTAACTGCAAAAACAGCTGAGCTCAGTCTTCCCGAAAGCGTCTTTATGTGGGAACCCCATTGAAGTTTATTGTCTAGCGTAATACCTAGGAACATAGTCTCGTTAACAAATTCTAACTTTTGCCCATTTAAAATTATGTCACAATCATTATTGTGTACGTTATTGGTTCGGAAATACCGCCGCCGAAAGATCATTCTAAAGTTTATCCATAATTAATAGTCTCTTTCTTTATCCATACCTGCCGTGAACTTATGTGGTTATAAAGAATGCTTAAGGAAGCTTTTATCGATATGCATGTCTGGTACCTTTTCAGGTCACCGCTCTTACATGTTTGCCTTCGCGGAGAAGGTGCGGTATGCGAGGATATTTATCATCTCGTATCCATCATTGACGGTGGTTGCAGAAATAAAAGGTGAGCTCTAATATAGTAGGTACTTTGGAAGGTACTAAGTACTTATTATCAAAAAAATACTCTTACGGAAAGTAGGTATCTAAGTTCATAATATATTTTAACATAACCTTGTCATTGGTTTTAGATCCTGAAGTTATCAGATACAAAGGTATTTGTATGATGGAAAGCGACTTGATTGCCGCGTTTTCTGGCTTCCCACAATACCTGGTCACTGTGTGGTGTTGGCGCACCAACCAAAGGTTACTCAGCATATCGGCAGAGGTCCAAAAACGTAATCAGATGTTTGTGTAAGTATATCTCTATATATTGAGGAGGGATGGGTGATAGATGGAGAGGCAATGTCACTCATAAAGTCATAAGGTGAAACACGACAATGTGGTTGTTTTCTGAGTGGTCGTGGTATCACTCTGGTAAAATCGACCCATTCGTGCCGAAGCTTGGCTCTCCGACACTTTAGCATAAACATGAGTATAAGACTTAAACTGTTATGCATATCCAATTGTTTTTGTTCAGGGCCAGCCGTACGCACATGCTGATATGCCAATGCTGGAGCGAAGGGGTGAACGTGTGGGAAGTGGCTCGGTGCTATAAGAAGTGCTTCATGTTGAAGAGGCAGTTTGTTGCGGCCGCTGACTGGGACACTGCGGATCAACCGATGGTTGCTGGCATCTGTTGGAGCCTCGAAGGCCAGCTGTACGCCATCGATGGAAAAGCCAACTTATTTGGTGTGAGTATAATATATAGTTCTTGATGTAGCAATACTTTAGATGAGGTATGTCTAGACTGGCCGGCCTGGAAATCTTTGTAGGAGACCTATAATAATCAGAAGTGGATATATCTTGTGCCTAATTTAATGATGATGATGATAACGATGAGGGTGTATCTTACCTATTTATCCACGTTCTTATTTACCTTCTTAACCTAACTCTTATGTCTTATTCTTCCAGTTGTCTTCTGATGGTATAGCGCTGGTGAAAACATTAGAATGGTCAGAGAAAATTAAAGGAAATCGTCAAACCAGTATTTGCTCATTTCTAAACGGTTTACTTATTTATGGGCCCGACCAGAACCTACGGGTAAGGAACATTTAAAATAAAAACGTAGGTACACAGTGGGATCAGTTATGACCTTCAAGCGACAGAAGATCGTCACTTATACAGTTGGCAAATACTTACGCCCTGGTCCCTTGGGGTGGATAGGCTGAAATTTTATAGTTCCACCTTTAGGGTCACTTCAGGTACCTCAAGTCAATACTGTCTTTTTTACTGCACGTTTGGTGCATTGGCTGGACAACTGGCTGCCGTGCAACGTGTCGCGGGTTCGATTCCCGTACGGAACAACTCTTTGTGTCATCCAGTCATCCACAAATTTTTGTTCCGGGTCTGAGTGTGATATGTATGTGAATTGTATGTTTGTAACCGCACCCACGACACAGGAGAAAATCCTAGTGTGGGGCAACGTTTAAATAAAGAAATAAAAATATAATGTTTAACTATTTTATAAGCTACATATTTGTTTTTACCCAGCTACGGCAAAGCAAAAGGAGGGTTATGATTTTGACAGGCTATGTATGTATGTACCTATGTTCATCTGTTCCCTCGTAACTTCTAAACTACTAATCAGAATTCGACATACGACATATCATTAGAAACACCTTAGTTGTCCGCTAGTTATAGGCTATATGATGTATCAGAAAATCTTATGTGTCGTCCTCTAGCGGACAAAACAACCAGAGTAAAAAAATAAAGTTAAGATAATTATACCGTGTTTGGTATCATTTTAAAGCGCTTTGCTTGTACATTTTGAATATATAAATATTATTAGCATTTGCTTCAGACTTTGCTTGTATTCATGGGCTGATTGCATATAATTCGTACCTTCTACTACTTAATATTACTTCATTCTTTTGTTGATATTATGCGCCACAAATACACTTTAACACCAAAATAGTACGAATAATAATAATTAATTGTAAAATTTAAAATTTAAAAAAACCCCCGACTTTATAAAAACCAAATGTAATCCATAAAGCGCCATTTTGTAGTGGCAGCCATCTTAGATTTAAAATTTTTCATACCTAATAGTATTTCACTAGTCAAGCCCTTTCATTTGATACCCATATTGATCAAGTTGTAATAAAAAAATGTAAAGCACCATTTTGTAGAAGCAGCCATCTTGTATTTTAAATTTGTCATATCTAATAGTATTCTACTAGCCAAGCTTTTTCATTTGATACCCATATTGATGGAGTTTAAATAAAATATCTAATCTGTCATTTTGTGGCGGCGGCCATCTTGGAACAATTTTCATCAAACTTACGTAAAAACACTCTCGACATTTTCTACTGTCAAACAAAAAAAACTAAATCAAAATCGGTCCATCCGTTCGGCGGCTAGAGTGGTACAGACAGACACACACACACACACACAGACACGTCAAACTTATAACACCCCGTCGTTTTTGCGTCGGGGGTTAAAAAGTATATAACCTAAAACCCAACGACGCTGAAAAGTATAAAACAAGTTTTTCAGCATACTGAAAGGCGTAGTCACACGTTATCAAAGTGCAGGTATGGTAAATACTTAATTGTAACGTGTGACTCAGGAGTACTCAGGTTCAGTATTCTGAAAATCTTGTTTTATACTTTTCAGCGTCGGTTTTTGTCGTATTTGGGTTTTAGTTTTATACTTTTTATTATGTCATTTATCAGTTTCTTCGAAAAGATGTGGAAGCGAAGTCGTGGAAAGTTGAATGGCAGTACGTTCCAATAGACAAAGTAGTTCGTCTAGTGAGCAATGCGTTCTGCGACATGGCAACCATGTGGACTCACAGCGGATTCGTGTACAAAATCACCGCAGATGCTGAAGACAAAATTGAAGTTACTTTGTTCACTATTAAACAAAGGTAAAGACTTAATTTCAAAAGAATTATGAGTTATAGTTAGTTAGTTAGCATAATACCTATTTAAATTCGCAGTTTTAATAAAAAATCACTTCTGAACATAAATAGCCGCCTCTACATTAGATAGCTGTGTAGTAATGGTTGAACGGTACCTACCTACAGTAAATTATGTCTATAATACATACTCACAAAAATTACCTCCTTACTTCTAGTTTTATGAACTTAATTTTTGTAATATTTGTTTTTATGTTTAAGGAACATTAAGAAGATTCAGCTGATTGCGCCTGATTTCAAATACTTGGCCATGATGAATGATAATGCCATTTTAAGCATTTACGAAGTAAATGAACAGAAATTGGTATGTTAACTTTAAACGCATCCCTTTTGGTGTAATATCAATATTGTTTTTAATGAAACTATAAAAACATTACTACCCCTTTTTCAATATAGTGTGAACCTACGTAACTAAAAATCTGTTTTTTAATGAAACTATAAAAACATTACTCCCCCTTTCTCAATATAGTGTGAACCTACGTAACTAAAAATCTGTTTCAGATCCTTATGAAAGAAATAAAGGCCTTAGATGTTTCATTTGAAGCTAGTCCTGCAGATCCTCTGCTTGCAATATTTGGCGAAGTGAACGGCAATTACGGTGTTGTTCTCCAAACATTCGAACCCGAGACAGGATTGAAGAAGCAGTCTTCTATGTGCCTGACATACCAAATCGTGTCTAGGGTCGCATTCTCGCAGTGTGGCCGGTACTTGGTAGCTGCAGCAATGTCTGCAGGACATATCTTCATTTTTAAGGTAATCAATATTTAATTTAATTCAAATATCTAAATAGGTTGAGAAAAAGAAGTTTCAATTTCTTAATTTGCTTCACTCATCTTAACAGTATGAAAAACAAATGAAAATCACACATTCTTCCAATTTGAATTAGGAATCGTGTTCTTTAAAATTTTTACTATCAGATATACCTGCTAAAACAAGCCAGATACAAATAATAGCCGTAGACATTTTATTATAAGTTCAAACATAATGCGAAAAGACATACCTAATCCCCAACCCAATTTTCTACAGTATTTTACGGAATCGATCTATGAGCAAAAATATTTTCATACCTAGTTAGTAGATAGAAACAAAATTCGTCTATGACTACTAGTTAGTAGATACAGACGAATTTTGTTTTTTTTTAATTTACCTTGGTTTTCGTTTGTGCAGGTCAGCACTGACTACAATCTCAATCTGGTGCGGTATACTGAATTAGGACGAGGGCTGGCAGACTGCTTCCTCATGAAAGTCGGAGAAGCCATGAGATGCTTCAGTCTCGTGCTCTTTTCAGAGAAATATAGCATTGGTGCGTTTCTAACCAATTTTGAGAAAAAAAATGTATTTTTATTTCTAATAATGATATACTTAAGACGAACCACTTATTATAATTATAATTAGTGTTCCTTCAAAGTAAGGCTTAGTTTAACGATATGAGCAGATGAAGATTATAGTTAGCTGTCTTTTTTTTATGTAATTGGTCGGCAAACGAGCAGACGGATTACCTGATGGGAAGCAATCAGCGCCGCCCATAGACACCCGCAACAGAGGATTTACGAGTGCGTTGTCGACCTTTTAGGGATTAGGGATTTGGAGATTTAGGGATTGATGAGGGATTGGGGGCGGGGAAGTATTGGGCTTCCGGTAACCTCACTCACATGGCGAAACACAACGCTGTGGTTGTTTCACGTCGGTCTTCTGTGAGGCCGTGGTATCACTCCGGTCGAGCCGACCCATTCGTGCCGAAGCATGGCTCTTCCACGCTGATTCGTACTTTCTGTCTATGCGTCTATATTGCGTCCTTGATGTTTTAACTACTCGAGTTCTTTTCTAGGTGAACGCGTTATTTGCGTAAACGCAGAAACGGGCAAAGACAACAAGTTCGCGGGCAAGATGCAGGGACCGTATTCCAGATTGCTTCCACTTAGCACCAAGGATACCATCATCGCTATCCCGCATCTCAGCAAGCATATGCACATACTCAAAATCAGTGGAGAAGTAAGGAGCTTCACATTACTAAACATAATTAGACATAAGAACAGTCAGTATTTCAGATAAAGCCGCCATAAGGGACTGCAGTCTCGGCTCAGAGTACAAGTTGAAGCCGGGAGGTTGTTAGTAACTTCCTCACCCTCACACTGGGCGAAAATGATGATTTTAAAATCTTACTCTAAAAAAGTAGGTACACCATAACAGGTATTTCCACTAAGATAATTCCTCTGTCCATTTAGAAAGGGTTGACGGTGTCTGTGAAGATGGGTCCTATCATCGAATCTGGGCACGATATAAAGCAGTTTGATGGATTCAGAGGCGCCAACGCTCTCGTCACTTTTGGTTACGATGGCGTCGTCATACTGAGACCTCCTCATGCTTCAGAAGAATACGGTAAGAGCCCAATGTGTAAGTAAGTAGTAAGTCTTCCTGAAAAATATAAATGGACATTTACCCGAAAAAAAAGTAGTAAAAGATAGTAAGTATTACGGAAATACGTCGACACAATATAAGCTACTTACTTAAAAGGAGGACTCCCGTCAGACTCCCGCCAGTCAGTCCCACAGTCTGTTCCATTCGTAAGTATGTATCTCCTTTTTTATGACATAGATAAGCAAATTAAGAGACGGATTACCTGATAGTAAGCAATCAGCGCCTCCCGTGGACACTCGTAGATAATACCAAAGGACTACAAGTGTGTTTCGGGCCTTTTGTAGATTATTAGGGACTTAAGGATAGGGGATTTGAGGATTGAAGATGGGGGTAAGGATTGGGCCGTCGGTAACCTCACTCGTTTGAGGAATCACAACGTAAGTATTCACACCAGTTTTCTGTGAGGCCGTTGTATCACTCCGGTCATGCCAGCCCATTCGTCATCGTCTCCTACACGAGAGTCTAAGAAAATATTACAATGATTAAAAAAAACTTAATTAAATTTGTTTTTTTTTTTTTGCAGATCTAAAACTTACAGTGGCTCATCGGTACGAGTATGGTGTTAAAAACGTCGTGATGGATGCTAATGGCAAATTTTTCATACATTTGGCCGTAAGTGGCACTGTGGCCTGCACTTTCCTGCAGCCATACGACCGGGAGTTGGGCGAGCTTGTGCATAACATGCCCTCTGACGCCATCTACAATACCGAAAATATAAACAATACTTTAATTATTATACAAAATATTGAGAGTAAGTGATATTTGTCATTCTAATAATATTTAATTAGGCTTTTATATCCAAAAATGGATAAATAGTTGGTAAATAAGGTTGTTTTAATGCCATAGGTATGTAGGCATTCTCTACCAGTCAACTTTTAGGTCAAGGAGAGAAGCCAGTAAAAATTGGTACGGACCAACGTGAAATAAGTTTTATAAAGAAACAGGAAAAAACTACTTTAAAAAGTAAACTAAAAAGCAAAAAATTCCATTGCCTAGTACAAAGTATTAAGTATTTTCATTTAGTTCGCACGGTTGGCACCTGGCTGCCGTGCGACGTGTCGCGGGTTCGATTCCCGCACGGAACAACACTTTGTGTGATCCACAAATTGTTGTTTCGGGTCTGGGTGTCATATATGTGTATGTGAATTTGTATGTTTGTAAACGCACCCACGACTCAGGAGAAAATCCTAGTGTGGGGCAATTGTATTGTTTGAAGCTTTTTTATTTCGGAGGGTAACTACATATTTCCATAGCTTGATTTTGAGGTCAGCGTGAAGTCAGTCTTAGGGTTTTATCCTACATCCAAATTATTTATGTACAATTATTCTGTTGCTTAGAAAATTACTTAGACGTTCAAGAAGATAAGAAAGTCCACGAAGAGGCTATGGACTACAAGCGCCAACGTGATGAAGTGGTCAAGGTTTTTACGTCACTACAGAAAAAGCTGGTCGATCTTCTGGAAGAGAACATTAATGAGAGACCTCTGCATCAGCTGTCGTTGTCGGAATTTAATCTGCACCAGGAAGCCAAAAAAGAGAGGCTTAGAGCGGTAAGAAACGTAACAGATAGGTAATTATTAAAAATACTGATATTTAATATGCTGAAATACGTTTAATATGAATTTCAGTCTATTAATACAATTTAGCAACATAACGTAATATAACTTGCAGGCTGAAAAGGAGCGTGAAGAAATAAGGTTACAGACAGAGGCTCGTATTCGAGCACAGGACAAAGTGACAGCCTGGATCAAACAAAAGTGCTGGGACACCATACAAGTACCGAGGATTAAGATCTTCGCGATATTTAGTCATTACCATGTAAATACATAATGATAATGAACTATATTCGCATTTATCATAAAGTCTGTTTTGCACCATTAAAAAATGACTTAAGCCGGTTTCCGAAAGGCCGATCAATGTTAAAATCAATTTAATCTCTTGTCAAGTCATCTGATTGGTTGACTAAATTATCAACAACCAATCAGATGACTTGACAAGAGATTTAACAGGAGATTAGTTAATTTTAGCGTTGCAAACCTTTTAGAAACCGCGTGTAAGTCTGTTTTGCAACATTAAAATGGCTTAGTCTGTGAAGTGTAGAAGGTTTATTTGTACGGTTTGTATCTAGGTGGAAAGCTATCCAATGCTGCCATCACAACGCGACACTTGGGCAGAATTGCAGCAAATAGAAGCGCTGCGCACAATCGAAAAGGAGAACGACGCAAATATGTTCAGACCCTGGCTGGAACAAAGTCTAGTCGAGACTCCTAGTAAGCAAGCAGAGGTACCTGCACCTAGGTTGGTGAGCCTTATACGCTTTGGGTTATTACCTTGTACTCAATACTTCTACCCTTATTACTTATATCTCTATGAATACACTTAAATTACCAGTACCCTTAATTTACTTGTAACCTTTATATGTCTGTAATAATTTTCCATTCTGTAAAAAATACACCTGCTTGCAGCATGACTGTGGATTCAATTACCTCGTTTCGCGATACACTACGCAGCGTGGAAGGCGGTGAGGACGATGTAGCCGTGGACGTGGTGGCGGAGCCCTATGTCTTATCGGGGACTAACGCGCATCGATTTGTGTCCATACCACCCTTCATGATCCCGCAAATGGAGGCTTTCAGCTTCTTGCAGATGAACTGGCTCTATCACATTGTACAGGCAAGTCCAGATTTTTTTATATTAGTGTTAGAGAAACACTAATATAGAGCCATACAGTCATTTGGTCTTAAAGGATGTTTTCGAATCGCACAGATCAATAAAAAAAAGAAAGAGCATATAAGTAGCATCAAATTATTAACTATGACTTTTCTTCGCAACAGTTTACCACGCAGAATATGCGGAAGTGGTTCAACAAACAGTTTGAAGAGCTCATGCAGACAAAAAAAAGAGAAGTGGCCCTCGTCACTGAGAGAAACGCCAGATTGCGTTTTATTATCGAAGGTTTTTGTTACTAATTTATATTACGTATATAATTAATTTATTCGATACCTATATCGAATAAATTAATGTTTTCATGATAATTAAATTACATTTTCGCAGAATTGAACAAATTATCGGATTTGCGAGGCAGCTTTCATCATTTGATAATAGAAATTCATGATCCTCAATGGAGACAAGAGGAGCATGTTGAAAAACTTATCAAAGTAGAGCCTGAAGAGGTAAGCAATTCAACACACCTATCTACCTGCAACGTTTATTAATCATTTAAATACCCATAAGGATGGTTTTAAATGTTATTTTGGTATGCAGTGTTCGATCGAGCCATACATCAGCCCAAGTCAAATCGTTATCGTGCCTCCAGACCCGGGCCCAAAGGACGATTTCCGCGAGAGAGCTCTCATGGATATGATGGATGGTGTGTTAGAGAAGTTGTGGCACGAGGAAATCAAGAAACCTATTCCAATGCCGCAATGCATGGTTATAATAATGTATTTGTATTATGACTAAATTATACCTATACTTTAGCTGTTTAATTGATTTTTTTTGTATTAAGAATCACAATTTACTCTTTACGATTTACAGTTGGAAAAAGATCCTGAGAACTTTAACGAAGACGATCTAAGACTGGTATTTGATTACGAAGCGAAAGTTAAATTCCGGAATGAAGAGAGAGACAAATACCGCAAAATGCTGCATGCTGAATACGCCAAACTGTCACAAGTTCTCAACGAAGGAATCGTCAAGTTTAATCAGAAGGTACAGATGGTCACGCACCTAGCTTCACTGACGAACAGACTGACAGACGACTATTCTATTTTGACGTTTCAAAAGTCCCTATTTATGGTTTAGATGGAATAAATGATTTTGATTTGATTTGGTCTTGAGTAGATAAACTTTTTCTATCCTACTACAAAAAATTAGCCTACATTATATCATTATTAGTTATTCCAGACTATAATCTACCTTACACTATAGAAAATTTTAAATTATAAGCTAGATTACTAGTTCCAAAGCATTTTATGATGATAGGTTCGAGACACATGGCTAACAAAAATCAAAGTGGATTCTGTTATTGGTCAAGAGAATCTCAATCTGATGCGCCTGCGCAGAATAAACCTGGACCGAATTGTAATGTCGGAAGTGATAGAAGAAATCAGGTAAATCACATATAAATACTCTATGCATACCAATACTTTGAAAGTATCTACACCGTTTATGCATTTTCTTCATGAAATTAAAAAAAAAAATCTATTTGGAAACGAACATAGTAATGTTTATTTATTTTAAATCCTAGAGACGAAATAGCACTATACGAACGGGAGTTGGAGAAGCTGAATTCTGAATTCCAAGAAATACAGGAACAGAGCCAGGATTGTCAGGCTGCGTATGAAGCTCTGACAGCTAAGGACAGACAGATGGACAAGACGTTTAAAAACCATTTTGCAGATCTATCGCCCATCATAGTTGATCAGGCATACAAGTTTTTCAAGTAAGTTTTTGAGCAGTTAAAGATATCGTAATTACAGTCAGTATAACAAAAAAGAACTGGTGATATCCTGAGCCATGCTTGAACTCACATAAAGTGCATTATGGCCTTAGGAGGCGTCCAAAGTGGCACCAGCGTGTGACGATGATACCTGTGGTGCTGTACGAGCTCGCGTTTGCAGTAGCGACTGGCACCAAGCCTCCTCTGCTGCACCCTGATTGCTTCGACTTCTTCAAAGGGTGAGCACATCACATAGTATTATATACCTACGTTTCATTCATTGGTGATCCCGGGACCTTATAAAAATTAAATAGATAAAATCAACTTTCTAACACAAGCGTATCCATTATCACAACAGAATGGAGCAGTTGGACCAGATTAGCAATATGCCAACAGTAATGGACGAACACATTTGGAACTCTATGTGCAAACTGCGAAGAGCCAAAACTGAGAACGAAATCCGAGTAAGTCAGAGCTACCACTATTTTATTATAGTGGTTAAATGAACATTTCTGCTTAGTTATCATTCTGCAGATGAGAGCCCTCATTCAGGAGATGACGTTCGTGGACAGTGCCATTAACGTGTGGAGCAAGGCGATTCATGCCCGACGGTCGCAACTCGTGACGTGTCAGGGCAAGGTCTCACTGCATCGGGAGACAGTAGAGTTGGAAGCCAGGAACAAAACCGTTCAGGTATATCTCACATAGGCCTACCAAACCTATGAATGTATTAAATAAGCATTATAATATTCTACAATAGATCAGAAAAAGGATGGTTAGGTACTTATATTTGACCTTTCAGCTGGTGCTGCCAGCAGGACAAGTGGAGATCATGACAACGGGACATATGGAAGACTTTGAAGACGCAACACTTATTCCTAAAGAGGACGTCGAGAAGATCAACAATCTCATACTGGTAACAAATTTTATAGTCGGTACGCAGAAATTTTTGCCTGCGATAAGCTCACTAACACGGCGAAACACAACATTGTTTCACGCCAGTTTTCGATGAGGCTGTGGTATTCCGTTGGTTTGGCATGGAAGTCACGGCTCATTCGTGCCCAAGCATGGTTCTCCCACACTTAATTAACCAATATTTGTATTAACAGAAAGTTGGAGCTCTGAAGTTGCGTATGATGCGCAAACAGATGGATTTCCGCAAGGGTATTTTATCCAAAGAGTGGGAGCATGCACAGATGAAGATGAAACTGCGGCACATGAAACAGGAGCTGTACTCGTATCAACGACTGAAGGTAAGCATAAAACGGATTGTTTTTGTGCGGTAACAAAACGTCGCAAACAGATTAAAAAATAACTACAGGTACAGTCAGCATCAAAAATCGATGAACACATTCAGATTAAAAAAAAACACTGTACACTAGGTATATCACCCATAAATCACTCAACAAGATAGGGCAAGTATTGAATGAGCATCGTTTCAAGCTCAAAATTAACCAAACACCACTCGTCAAATGTCACTGAACAACAATTTATATTAGTTTAACGAAAATCTAAATGTGGTCATCAACTTTTGATGCTGGCCGTAGCACATAACAATCTGTCTTTTGTTATTGCGTATTCTTCAAATTGATTTATTTAATTAAAGTCACTAGCTATTGCGAGGTTACTCATTACTGAAGCGCATTTCTCTAGATTCCAAAAGAACTGCAGCTGTACTTGAAAAACAAAGAACTAGGCTACACAGATGAGCAAGACTACATAAAAATGGAGAAGGAGAATGAAGCCTCCAAGGTGGCTGTTAACAAGATACTCAATGAACAAATTCATAGGTCCGGAGAAATTGAGGTAAGGAGCTGCAAATTAAAGTAAAGATGATTTTAATTACGTCATTGTAGTTATAAATGTTTGTTCAAATATTATATTTCAGGTGAAACTGGTAAATATACAAAAAGCAGTTGAAAAAATAGAAAAGTTGATAACTCATCTGAATGTAAAGGTGTCTGAGAAGAAACTTAATGAGGATGCTCTGGAACCGATAAAAATACGACGCGTGTTCAAAAAGAGGTCAGTCCCGTCACGAATAAGGGCCACTTTTTTCCTTTTGGCCTAAACTGCTGCATTGCATATTGTTTCATTAATTTACAGTATGATAGCTATAATTTTGTTTAGATTGTATGTAGAAAATGTTTTTTACTGCAAAGTTAAAGTGAGAAATTATGTCAAATACGCAATGCTTGAATTTTACTTGGAGTAGTTAAAAAAATCCTTGGTTATGCTAGATAATATTGTTGTATCTAAGTACTTATTAGTTTTAACAATTCTCATTAATTAATCATCGTGTTTCCACTTCCTCGCAGGATGGAGACCCTGGTAATGCGCAGCCGTTTGATCAGAGAGGTACAGGCCAATCACTCGACTATCGTGATGCTGCAGACAGAGCTAGAGCTGCTCCGACTCAAGACCTACCCCACTCTGGCCAGTTTTCGCACTTACTAGCCTGCATTCATTATTATCATTGACACCACTGCTACGTCTAATAGATTTAGGATTGAACATGCTATGTTGGAGCTGTCTTAAGTAGTTTTAATTTGTAGTTTTTGTTAACGATAGGTATTCCTGTAAAAAATTTCAAGCAGGGGAAACAAGCAAGAAGTTGAGTTGTTAGCGCTATGTTTCACGAAAATGCGATTGCCGTACGCGCAGGTAGTTTGTGGATAATTTTATAGGTTTATTACCTACGTAATTGTTTATTGTTAGACTAATTGTTAGCATTACTATTTATTTTAATTTAGTTATGATATTAAAATATGTTTTAAGGAGTGTTACTGCTTACCGATCATTATTTATGATTCTGTTTACCGATTTCGGTAAAGGTGACAACAATCGCTGTCTCCTGTCGCGTGTCCTTATCTGGCTGACCAGATTGAATTAGTTTACCTAGTATTACCTCATAATTGAAGCATAATAAATTATAAACATTAACAATCGACTTTAATTTACAAATTAGTGCTAGATGAATGTGTTCTACAAATAAGTTTAAAATAAACACAGAAAAATGCTGATTACAAAACTTTTATTTTCCATAAACAAATCTACTGTTACAGATAAAATACAATTCAATCATTAAAAGTTCGATACAGCTCAACATTTATAGAAAACGTAAGAAATTCGCCTAGTTTTAAACCGTACAGAAAATCCTTTCCATTTCTATCACAAAATGGCGGAGACCCATGTCTCAATTAGGAGTATTTCTGTAACTTCGGAGACACCAAAGCCTTTTTAATGCGCTTACGCAAACGAAGTACAGTCGTCGACAATGTACCTATGTAAGTTCATATACTTAGAAGTTAGATGTAAGACTATCAGTCTTACATAGTATGTATGTATTAAAAAAGTATTTAGTTATATAAAGCTGTATGCATTATTAATAACCAGTAAAATTACTAATTGTAGGTATGTATGTATTTATAACTAATCTATAGGAATGTCTAAAGTATTCGTCGACGACTGTATTGTAGACACGCAATGAAATTTTCATAAAAAAGTAGATTTAGGCCACAATTTCGATTTTTTTTATAATTTTTATCACACAATTTGTTTATTTTAACATCACAATTTATATTATTCGCCAATTTTCCTCAAATTAATCTTCTTTAAGAATCGTTACAAAATATTTTTTTTCTGGCTTGGGAATTGTATCAAACTACGAATGGCGACACTTGAAATGTTCCAACAAAACCATCTTATAAACTACGAACTGGAACGAAGGATGTAGGAAGAAACTATTTTAAAATCTTTTGCTATTGTAACTTACACCCGGTTTCTTAAATCTCTTGTCAAGTCATCTGATTGGTTGACTGAATTATCAACAACCAATCAGATGACTTGACAAAACATTAAATTGATTTTAACATTGATCGGCCTTTCGGAAACCGGGGTAAGTCTACAATTTACTTTTCCTGTAACATTCCAAGCGTTGAAACTTTCAAACTACAAGTGTGCGCGTTAAACTATTAATACGTAGGTATAAAGAGTATTAAACAGTACATTACAATATTGATATTTTAGATATGTAAGAACGGGGGGATTTGAAGGATAATGTATGTATGGAGTACTACACTAACTTTATTTACTGACATTCATTCACTAGCTATTCTTCCATAGGTTTGCAGCATACGATTATTATGCCAGATGCAAGATATTAAAATATATAAATATATAAGATAGGTAGCTGCTTTTTCGTTCTCATTACAGAACACAAAATAAAATTTATCATAGCTTTTAGTGAATGAATGCAGTAGAGTATTTGTCATATCCAGGTTAAAGATTACGTGTCGATATCTGTTTGGTACAGAATTAGCCATAAGTAAAGTACAACAGCAGAAAGCTTTACAGAGATCCAATACAAATCGAGACCCTTGTACTTCTTTGTATCAGTTTGTGCCTTACTTGGATGTTCATTTTGTGTCTTAGCTGTTTTTCAAGTATTGCCAAATTGTAGAAAGAAGGTCTTTTTGCCTTCATCATGTAAACCATTACTCAGTGTTTTTATATAGGGTAGGACGGCAAACGATCGCCTGATGGTAAGTCCTCGGCGCCGCCTATGGACAAGAGGAGGAAAGCATGTCTCTCCCATCCACAGACAGTACAAATATTCGTTGAAAATCGAATTAGTTTTCTAAAATACAAAACATTGGTATTTTTGTCACGACTTTTTTTGCTTTTTGCAAGGTATTAACCGTATTCAAAAATGCTTCTTTTAACGTTTTAGTCGTCAGCTGTGAAATCTATACTTTCCTATCGAGTTTAGGTCATAGTAGTATTTCGTATTCGTTCCGCAATATTACAATTCTCATTAAAATTGTCCTAGTTGTATATTTCGTCTATAACAGATTATATTAATTTAAGTCATCTCATAAAATTAAGTAGGTATTCTCTCGATTTATTTTGGTTAGTATTGTCTTAGAAACATTATAGCCTGTCGCTTGAATGTGCTTTACGTAACTATTAGGTGCATAGATTGAAATCTAATGGATGGCCGGACGACAGGCTTAATACGTAAGTGCCTATCTGTGTTACGGGTCCATAGGTGCAGTATATTTGGGGGCCGTATCTTTTTATGGGCTTTGTTGGTAGCTATGCCTTAATTTTTTATGTGAATGGTCGGTATTTCTCCACTTTCTCGCCTGGTGGTAGGCGACGATGCTGTCATTTGTATATTATTTTTACAACTAGTGCGTTCACATCGTTACTTTTAGATATTGAGAGTATTGTTTCAAACTAAGCCCACACATTTTCGGATTGTGGCCAGATATACAAAACAATTCCTTCTGGGAATAGTTACCATCGAAGCATCATACAACAATCTAAACTCGTCTTAAAGAAACACATTGAAGCGACAGACTAAACATGTTTGAATACATTTTTAATTAGGAATGCCGTTATTTAAAGCGCTGTTCGTTGGTCATAGACTATGACGGCGTCGGCGTCAAAGAACTGGCTGTGTGACTTACTGAGTGCTATGATGGCGGCGTGTTCGTTGCGCATACGATTCTTGTATTTCTTGCTAAGATTTACCTGCGAAATAAAGGATATTTTCCCATAAATACTTGTCTTATACAAAGAATGACTTCTTTCACCCCCGAGTGGTACGAGAAGAAGTGTCAAGACTCTTACTGACTAAAAAACCACCTCGTTCCTTTTTCTGCTCCGGACCAGGGGGCGTATTAGCTTTTGTAAATTCGCGACCGGGGTCCGCGGTACATTACTGCGCTTACACTCACAAACCCAGCTGACTAAAAGACTAGTTTATCTTCATGAATTCTCAATAGCGAATCGCATTACAATTGCTTCAGCTATTTCGATAGTAGCGTCACGTAAATTAGTAATTGTGTTCCTGTAAATGTTGAAGCAAGTCTGTTTTTGAACAGGCACGTAGTTTATGCAACCTCCCTTCTTTTATTACATTCACGTTCACCTTTACTCGCCAACATTCAATTAACCAAGCAAGAAAACTCGCATCGATAATGTTAGTGGCCTGACCCTATTTTCTGTATCCTGGTTCGAATAATCGAAATTTGAATCCGCTTATTGTGTTACTAACCCACCTTTCGATCTTGTGGCGTGATGTTAGATACCCTATGACCTCGTCCGTATGATATTAATTACAGATTAATTAGTACGTTTCAACTAAAAGTTATCTATAAACCGATAGGCTAAAATCCGATTAAAATTGAATCAAACTTACTTTAGCGTACAGCTGCTGCAGGTCATCTTCGGTGGAGAGTGGTCTTGGTTTGGGCCTAAGAAACGCTGGTAGCGATCTAGTCTTCAGTGCGTCGATGTTCGCCGCACTATCTATTTCGTCTAGCACTAAAACAGTTAGGTCACATTATTAAAAATGTAGGTGCCTGTGCCATATTTTAGAGTTATAGTTTTACCCCAGGGGCTCATGTTTATGAACAGCATTGTGCGACACACGATACGGTGAATATCGAACAGCTTATAATTAATTTGTACCATAAATTACAATTTTAATATCCAGAATGTTAGCTAAATAATTTATGGTTATTGTTACTAAAAATAAGAGTGGTCCTAAAATACTCCCTTGTGGAACCCAATTTAAAATTGACAATTTGCATACTGAAAACTTACTGCTGCTTGAGGCATATTGCATGCATTGTTCCCTGGTGTCTGGAACTCGGTTGACATAGCATTGTGGTGGGTGGCGCGCTTCCCGTGCCCCCCTACACTCAGCATCTCCAGCGTAGCTGACCGGCCTTGTATGGCGCTGGATTTGAACCTGCATAATATTACTACATGTGTTGTATCTAGTACCACTTAAAAGTCTCATTGTGGTTAGGTATGTAAGATTAGGTACTTCATAGAATAAATGAAGTTCACATACTTTCCATGGTCACCTGAACATGGAAAGAAAATCCTAATAAACAATTATTGGACACTAGCCCAACAGGTATATCACCTAGCCTGGTTGAAAAATTCTCCAAATTCCTAACTTAGTAGAACTAAGAAGATCAAAACCTATTCTTTAAATGTGTCTCTGTCTACAATAGATTGGCTACAATGACATTATCAGAGCAAGCTAACTTGGATTCTAAATGTAGCTCATGTCAAAATACTAGCCTGCCGGTAGGAATACGGAAAAAGCATGGGTAATTATTTGAAAGAACCCTGTCTATATAGTTACAAACTTACCTCAGCATGTTTCATTCTATAATTTTCCTGACTAGTATATGCATGATTTTCTTTGATAGCATAGTTTTCCTTAAGGTATTGTTCATCTGAAAATGAAAGGTCAAAGTAATGGTTCTGTTTATAATTTATATTTTAATCACCAGTCGATTTGTAACAATATATTGTAATCTTACCAAACGATTTCTGATGACGCGGCATTAGGCGGCAGTAACAAATTATAACTAACAAAATAACAACTCCGCAAATACCTCCAATAAGCCAAGATAACCAAACAATTATAACACGACCCTGCAAATAAGTATTTTGCATTAAATTCATAATTCTAAATTAATTTATTGATTCTAATGTTCACACAACATACCTGCAGAAACATTTCAGTTACTAACACAAAAGCGAAAGACGCTTGTTTTTGTTCCCCTACTGTTATGTTTTCCTAACATTTTTAATAATTATTTAATACAAATCTTACTAAATATAACAAAATTAAGCTAAATTGTTATAATTATACTATGCTGTGGAAATGTCCATTTTTGAAGTGTTCGCGCCTGCGCCCTCATTTAGTGTTCCTGAATGCTATGATCAGAAATATCATATAATATTAATATCACATATAGACATTTTAAAGACAGACAAGAATGAGTTTAATTTAAATCATCTAAGATATTAAAAACACCCAAAAATAGTAAATAAATAATATTTAAAATGTTGAAACAATTGTTATTATACAATTGTAATCTTTTTGAGTAGTATTGAATTTTTATATATTTCTGAACAAACGGAATAATGTCATACGTTTGACGAATACGTTCCGTTAAACCAAAATAGTATTTAGAAAAAAGTTCTTTCATTCCTTCATTTCAAATATCGTTTATTTAAATTTTATATTACGACGACAGATCGTTGTCTGGAATATTATTTTTATGATAATTTATAGTAATAGAAGGTTTTAAACTAAGTTAATGTAATACGGACTGATGTACGATAGTGACATTTACAAAACGCGTTGTCAATATTGCAACCTTGATCAAAACGAAACGTTAAAATGTTGATATTTAAACTGTGATGTTGATGTCGCGGGTCGTCTCATAATTGTCAATTTATTGTCGTGTGATCATTGTCGTTCGGTGCGGTCGTGTTATGATTTCTCCGCCGAGATCAAAACAATGTTATTGACGTAAACCTTGACTGGTTACGCGGTTTTTCAACTGTTGTTATCAGTCATCCATTTACCCCCGCCAATTTCAAGTTATCATCGCGCGATCCCGCTAGTCCGCTACGTCATTGCACACTTCTTGAACTCGAACACGATTAACTGCGGCAATAGTTGTAAACACAAACGGTACCTAGTCGGACGTATCGCTATTTACGTCTAAGCAATTGTAGAAAAAAATACAGTTAACGCGACGCATTTTAAATAAATACCCAGTGTCTAAGGAAATGACGAGTATTAAATTAAGTTTTCTCATACTGTTTACTTGCGGAATCCTTGCACGGAATTCTCTAGGTCTATCGCCTGTAATCCTCAGTAAGTATCGTTATTACATTTATTATTCTAGAATATTCATGTTTCTATTTATGTACCTCTACTTTTCTTTATAGTCTCGATTAATGTCTTTGATTGCTCATTAACTATGTTCACTGAGCCTTAATCAGTGAATTAATTAAATTATACAAGATTAGTAGCGCGTCAACTACTTTTTTAAATCTTTAGAATGTTAATAAATCACCATTAGGTACATTTCCTACTGTGTAGTCTGTTGTAAACAATGTAACATTCAAAATTAAATAAATGCAGCAAGATTAATTGACCACTATCGTCATAAATACCTTGCTGATATGAGTTATTTCCGTTGTCATTTTTATTGTACTAAAAATACCACAAGATAGTAACATAATATTCTTTAAATGTTTGTGATACTTATACCTATTGTTATTTGTGGTATTTTTGTGCTATTAAAAAAACATGTTTATTGTACATAAAAATACCACAAGATGTGGCATTAATTGCCATGCCAATGACTTTCATTGGTCATCTACTATCTATTCCTTAGTAACAATTATGGTTTAAAAACAAAAATGTCTAAGCTAAGCAAATGACAATGATTAGTTTCTGTAGGATTGTTCCTAGAACATAATTTTTTGCTTAATTATTGTAATTGATGTTGATGAAGAAAAATTATATTAGCTATAAAATCTTGTATATGGGATAAAATTGTCTGAAATCTTGATTAGAATATTAATATATAAACTATAGGAAATTGTTTATGACTATTTGGTAATCACACTCCATATTTATTTTTAATTACTTTACTTATTATAAGATAATTCATCATGATTTCAAAGTGTTTTTAAAATCTATTTAAAAATGTTTATCTAGTAAAACATATGTAAACCAGTAATCAATATTATTTTTGTTGCAATTATCTGCAATTTATTTATTTTTATTAAATAATACATTATTCAACAGTCCCCGGGGATGGAGGAAGTCAACTCGAGGCAAAATTGAATAAAACAAATGTGGTGCACTACATTTGTGCGAAGACATCACCGGATTACTTTAACATATGGCTTAACTTGGAGCTGTTAGTACCGTTTGTCATTGACTGCTGGGTAGACAACTTGAAGTTAGAGTATGACAATGTTACGAGAACAACTAAAGGTCCAAGCGGTGTTGACATCCGAATACCGGGATGGGGGAACCCAGAGCCTGTGGAATGGCTGGACCCATCACATCAGAGTACCGGAGCATACTTCAACACTATCGCAGATTCACTGGTCAAGCTAGGATATCAAAGAAATGTGTCTATTCTGGGAGCTCCGTATGACTTCAGAAAAGCTCCAAGTAAGTGATTTTGGTATATTGTTTATTTAATTCACGTGAGTAAGTCGTTATTTTTAATAAATTGTGTAAGCACATCTCACAACAGTTACTACAGAAACATATTTTTATTTTTTTATATTTTTATTAAAGTATTCTAGTAATAAAAATATCATGTGTTAAGAAGTTTTTGTAAAAAAATAGTTTTATGGGTAAATTATTCATTTTATAGCAAACATATCTGTCCTGTCTGTATAGTTTAAAAAAAAAAAAAAAAATTCTGTTAATATACAAGTTATGTAACACATATCTATATCAGGTTCTAGTACCTTGTTGTTAATTTGCAATATATATACTTTATAATAACTATAAACAAACTTTATTTAATACCGACAAATTGAGATCTCCTAGAGTCCGGGGTTGACCATGCTCGATCAGGAGTGGGGGAAGGATCGGGGCGGTTTTGAGTAGTCAGTAAGGGTCTGACAACCTCTCTTTCGCCCTGCCGAGAGATGTAAAATGTATGATTATTTTCCTTCACATAAAAACCGTTCACCGTAAAGTTATGCGCCAAATAATATTAAATTTAAATGTATATGCATTGGTAAACACATCAAAAGACTACCTAGGTTCTTCAGAAATTAGTCCGATGAAGAAGAAGTAAAACAAATGCCTTGATCTATATTATAGATGAATCAGCATAAAATACCAACTACAAGTAAAAAAATCCTAACAATATTATTTGCATAATTAAATATTTAATCAGGTGTTAGTAGCTGAGTACTTCGATTACCTAAAACTTAGTGGCCTACTTTATTTAGCGACCTCAATGACACAGCTACTTTGCAACAAGGTATTCCAGAGTTGGGTCGCAGAGAATCGTTTTTCTTTCGAACTATAGATGTTATACCTATTTCTTCAAAATTAATTATATTATATATTAATTATTTGATGGATATCGGTATTTTAAGTCCTTCGTGTTTGTTATTATTTACCGGTCGTCGAACCATGCAACTTTGATTGTAGATTGTCACAATATTCTTTGTGTAGTTTTCAAATTGTTGTTACAGGTCTGTCTGTGATGTGTATGTGATTGTATGTTTGTAAACGCACCCACGACACAGGAGAATACATATGTTAGTGAGGGATCTCAAAAAAAAGACTAAATTAAAGATCCAATGTTGTAGATCGGCAATAAACAATACTGATAGAAATATACATGTTTTATCCATTTACCAGTTCAATTTTAACAAACGCGCATTCGATTTGTTTCCCAACATTTGGCGGTATTCCAAATTTTGTACAAGTTTCAGTAGTAGTAGGTAAAAATAATGCTTTATTTTTATTTTTTAAATATTCTGTCTATTTTACAAATACCTAAATGTATTTGGCCCCGGCTTGTGTACCTTGATTTTGAGTCATTAGAGTCTAGCACTCCCCCTCAGGGCGGGAGGGAAATCATTGTATGGTTTTCCCCTACCTACCTATTTATGGACATCGATCTTGTTTTTTATATAAAATCAGTAGCCATTCAGTATTGAATGGTATCTATTATAAATCTTTACTTTTTATTTATATACGAGTTGTCATTCAGTATTCAATTACTATCACCGTAGTTTGAATGCCACCTAGAATTGAATAGCCATTTACTTAACTTTGAATACTTCTATTCTTAATTGTATGTTTTAGACAATGAAGTCATGTAATTGACTGGTTTAGCCAGCTTTGTTTTTATTTTGCAACAAAGTTTAATGAAAACTCTGCAATGCGTAGGCAGAATTAATTAATTGTAAGGCTAGATTAGATAAGTAAACATTTGTTACTGAACTTAAATATCCTTGTTGAAATAACTGTAGAAAATTTCTACTTTCTTTCGGCAAATAAGGCACTTTGTCCATTCCTTCTTTTCTTAAATTCTTCTGCTGACTTCTTTTCTTTCTATTTATAAAATCGGTTTTTGAATAGACAGGTAAATGTTATCTAAGGAATAAAATTGTTGCTGTCACTGTTTTTTACAAACATTCTGACGCGACAGCATCACAATTATTTCCCAGGTAACTTTTATCTAACCATTGAAACAATTAAATCATAACTATTTAAGTCTTATTTCATTGACAAAATGCTCTGGTATGAAGGTCTTGTTACAAATGCTACACACCTTACATTTTAAATCTGTTAGATCCTTTAGATCAGCCGGGGTTGCGGGGTAAGCGCAATGAGGCACCGCGACCTCGGCCCAGAGCAGGAGAAGGAACAGGGGGGTCAGTAAGAGTCTGACACTCCCTCCCGCCCGGCCCTGGGTGGGAGAAGTCATTTGATGATTTTCCCCTCACAAAAAAAAGATCCTCTAGATACAGTATAACTAAGCACCATACTCTCCACAGATGAGAACGGCAAATTCTTCGCGGATCTCAAGACGATGGTGGAAAATACATACAATGCGAACAACAAGTCTTCAGTTACACTCCTCGTGCACAGCATGGGGGGACTCATGGCCATGCACTTCCTACGCTTGCAGCCTCAGGCATGGAAGGACCAGTACATCCGACGCCTCATCTCCTTGTCCACACCATGGGGCGGGTCCATGAAAGCAGTCAAAGTATTTGCTATAGGTATGAATCTTTCATTATTATGTTCAAACTTTTTGAGTGTATTTAATCGTAGTCTTTGTTATGCCATTATATAGTACCTAGGTCTAGAATAAGATCGTCCGATCTCAACTATCCAACTAGGTTGACTCCAGAAGATTCTAAAATGATATTTTTCTTTAAATCAAGGCTTCAATATAATTTAATACAATAATACCAAAGATAAACACCCGATTTGACCTCCTTTCTGACGTCACAGTACCTACAAATACGCGGATATTATGCTAAAACATGTTGTTATCCATTCATTAAATGTCGCGTAGTAATAATGTGTAGGTATTATAGTTTGTTAGTAAATATAAACAGCTGTGCCAAAACTTCTGGAAGCTCTCATAGCTGATTAGATACGGCTAACAAAATAATGTTTATGAATTTATTTGGTATTATTTTATAAGTATTACTAGTACGTGATAGTTCACATAAATTATTGTAAACTTGCCTAGCTATTTCTAAGCACTTCCCTTCCTCATTGTAAGGCTTATTCTGACGAGGAGTCGCGAGAGCAAGAAGTTTCAATTTAGTTCAAATTGTTAGACATAGTACTATTTATACGGTTTTTTGGCAGTACTAGCACGGATTGTAGAATACCACAAACAATATACACATACCCGTATGGAAATTAGATCGCATCCTATCGTATGGGACTTAAAAAGTTAACAAATAACCGGCGAAAAGTGGTTAATACTCGACGTAATAGTCCCCAAAACGATTAATAGAATGCTCGCTAAAACGCTCCCGAAATGTAATTATCGAAATTCAGTATAGGTAAGTGAATGCTCAAGTTACAAGGACCTCAAATGTCCACCTCTTACGCCAATCATTCGGGAAATCAGAGCGACGTTATAAGATGTTTCAAGCAAAGAGTTCACGAGTCTTCACTACATGACCTAGCTCATAATCATCATCATTATCAGTCGATAGACGTCCAGTGCTGAAAAAATGCCTCCCCCCTAACGACAACTCGCCACCTGCATCCATTGGGTCCCCCGCGAGTCCCCGCGACTCAGACGATGTCGTTGGTCATGACCTAGTTACCTCTATCAATTTTAGTTGCAATTTATTATAGACTTATGTATAGGTTTTCTTGATAAAAAGTAGATCTATGAATAGAAAAATAATAATATTTTCCACCACTGACTAAAATATAGTGTTATAAAAACTAAAAACAAATCACAATGCACAAATTGCATTGGCTATGACTCACAATGTAATTCGTAACATGAATAATTGTGATCGTAAACAGTTTTTCCAATTCACAAGATCTTTCATACCATTGTTTACAATTAAATGAAAAGTTCATTCATCAAAATTTTGCATAAACAATGCCATAATTAGTAGGTATTGCAATTGCAACACGTCGTTTGTAATTCTTAAACAATATGTACATAGGTACTTGAATTGTGATAAGTAATAAGAACTGATATAATCTAAGTATTTCATAATTCAAAATACCATCTCTCGAATATAAATAGGTATTTCTGTTCTTAAGCCTTGATAAAACACAAAGTCAAAATCATTTATTCAAACTAAACCATAAACAGGTACGTCAAAATACCTAGTAAATCTGTCGCCAGTCTGTTCGTCAGTGGCAGGTTTGGTTAATTTTGTCTTGTATTGTGCGCGAAAGTTTAAGAAAGATTTAAACGGTGAGAAAATATGGAGAATATTGCTTCGAAATTTAAAAACGTCTTTTCAATTTTCTTTCCCATACAAAGTGCTCTGTAAAATAAATGATATTAGATATTTGACAAGGAACAAAACTGAGATTATATTCATATATAAAAATTTCGTGTCACGTGTTTGTCCGCGATGGACTCCTGAACCACTAAACCGATATTAAATTTGATTTGCATTCCTGTGCATTCTGATCCAACTTGAAATATAGGATAGCTTACATCTCAATTTATAAGTAGTCACAATATTATTTACCTTAGCCCCAACAAAGCGAGGCTGGATCTGCAAGTTATACAAAAAAATTTTCTTCCAGTACAGAGTTTGCCAAATCAGTTAGTTTGACATAAATAAGTAGGTAATTTACAATTTACACACACACAGACTGCTTTGTTTAGCTGTTTAGTTTGATCGCCAGCGTTGCTGGTCGTCTAGGGATCTTAGTTTTTCAATTCATCTTTAGAGTACACATGTCACATGTTTCACAAAACAACCTGTCTCATTTTTGATGATCCCGATGATCATATCCTTCGGTAACTCATCTGTGATTATACTAAATCTACTAATGTAGAAAACTGTACCGTTGGTGCGGTGACTGGGCAATCGGCTGCCGCGCAACGTTTCACGAGTTGGATTCCCGCACGGAACAGATTTGTGAGAGATCCACAAGTTATTGTTCCGGGTCTGGGCGTCATGTGAAATTGTATATATTCGTAAACGCACCCACGATTCAGGACAAAAATCCTAATGTGGCTCAAAGTTCGGTCTGTCGATGAATCATAAATATTGTAAAAGTTTTTTTTACGGTCGCTATACGGAACGGAAATCATAGTCTATTTAATAAAGAAAATTCTAGTAGGTATTTAGCCTGAAATAGGTAGGTACTACATACGTACGTACTTAGTTTTCCTGTAACTAAGGTGTGTTGTGTAATGAATTACACGCGTCGTAATTCAGGTAGTAAAAACGTTACTTAAAAACGTATAACGATGGAGTCTCTTGCTCTTTCGTTTTTCTAACGAACTAAATTTTGAAGTCAATGTCAAAGTCAAAATCATTTATTTCAATTAGACCCATACAGGCACTTTTGAACGTCAAACAAAATTTTAAAGATATAAAGTGTCAGTCTGTCGGTCAGTCCTCTTAGTGAAGCTATTCGACTCCTTCTTAGAAGGCGGAAGGGTTAGGTTAGGCGAGAGAGAGTGTCAGACTCTTACTGACTAAAAACCCCCCCGTTCCTTCTCCTGCTCTGGGTCGAGGCCACGGTAACTCTTTGCGGCTGAACAATAGCCCTATAGGGCCCCGTCTATGGTGGTCTATTGGCTCTCTGAGGCGCGCGCGGAACGCTACGCGCCGTACGCTCGGGTCTGGTTCTGGTCGGGCGGCGAGCTATTCTGAGAAGGCCTGCAATGTACTTGTTCTGACTACTATGGTGTTGTGGGTGTCCATGGGCTTACCATCAGACCATGGGGTTTACCATCACATGTACCACTGTATGTTCATTTGCATCCTATCCCATAAAGAAGACCCTGTTTAAGGATTAATTCAAATATATTCTTGTACTCTTGTTCACTAAAATTAAATTTCTGTACAACTTCTTGAAGTTGTAGCTTTACCTATCTAAACTCATATGTACATGTAAATTTAGGTACGTGCGTGCATATTTCCCGTCAGTCATTCGCGTCGCGTCACATCGCTTCTGATTTTGGGGAATTTCAGTTTTTCCCCAAGCGTTATAAACACAGTCTGTTATTATTATGCTATTCATCCTGCTAATATATATTATTAATTTATAATTTACAATTGTGAATGGAATTTGATGAAAACTGGTACAGATATCGATTGTAGTCTAGAATACCACATAGGCTACTTTTCATTCCGGTATAGTGGGCGAAGCCGCAAGCAGGCAGGAAAGTATTACAATTTGTTTGTTTGTTTGAACGCGCTAATCTTCAGAACTACTGTGTCGAATGTAACAATTATTTTTGTTTATTTATTATGTTTTCGGCTTACTCACGTAATAATTTGACGAGATACTCGACTAGTTTCAAGCCATGCCGAGTCGCGTGTCGCGGAATGCTGCTCATGAATATGGGCCTCCAGCATGGCTTGAAACTAGTCGAGTATCTCGTCAAATTATTACGTGAGTAAGCCGAAAACATAATAATTAATTTAGAATGTCTCACAAAAGTTATAATAAAAAAATATTTTTGTGTTGGAATTATCGATAAATCACTGTAAATACGTTAGCGGGAGTAGCTATTATAACATAGAGAATTTCAGATTTTTTTAAAGTTTTTTTTTTTTTTGTTATTCTTATGTACCGCCGTCAACAAATAAGGATGTAGTAAGTGTAGTGAAGTGAAAATGTGTACTACGAAGAAATGACTAACAATGTACAAGTACATGATGTTTACTAAATATGAGTCAACGGATGTCCCGATCAGTTACACCGCACTAACAAACAGTATAACAAGCTATACCTTTCCATATTAAAATGACCTCTCACAGAGATTAAATTTATTGGAACAGGAGGTCTATTTAAACTGGTCCTTATTTGTTTGTACCGCGATTGGCCATTATACACGATCTCGATAAAATTGAGTCAGTCTGTCTGTTTCGTATTATGATTGTGTAGTTAGTTAGTTAGATAATTGGGTTACTTCCTAGGTCAAAAATATTATAATTATTTCGAATTCTTGACATTTAAATAGAATCCATTATTGAAATATAAGTATAATGGAATTTTCATTCACAGATTTGACGATGTATACTTAATTTTAGATTTTTATGTGATAGGACAGCAAAAGAGTAGTCGGATTACTTGATGATTGATGGTGGAACAATCAGGCCAGATGGACACCCTCAACAATGGAAGCGTTACGAAGGCATTGTCGACCTCTTTTGGATTAAGAATTGGGGTAGGAACAAAATTGGGCATCCAGTAATCTCACTCACATAGCGAAAAGCAACGCTGCTTTGGTTTTATGCCATTTGGTTTTTCTGTGTGCCCGTGTAACACTCCGGTCGAGCGAGCCGACCCATTCATGCCGAAGCATGACTCTCCTACATTTAACTATATGTAATAGAAGTCGTCCTCCGAATTCTTAGCGGTAGTGAGAAATGCGCTGGATCTAAACCGGTGGAGGCGGATCATCAGCATCCAAATGTTACCCCGATGCTGACCACGATCGTGAGGATCGTGGTGATATGAGAAGAATGGAAGTGTAATATTTACTATGGCTGACATTTCTATAAAAGTTCTGTCTCAGGTGACTTTGATAAAACATTTGAGTATATTATTTTTAAATAAACAAAAGTCAGAGTAACAACCTCCAAATATAGTGTCAGTTATAAAACGCCTTTGTAATTATTTATCATATTATTTTGCAATGTTTCTTTTTTTGTCAAACTTAGTTAAATATGATTTTTTTTTCAAGGATAAGTGCTTACTGTTATTTTTTATATCACGTCATCATTTTGTTTTTTTATTTATTTCGTGTGCGCGCATATGTGTTTGTTATCCCAACAGTCAGGGGCATCACCAGAAAGGACCATCTGAAAACCAGTGCTATGCATGTGTAGCTAAATAAATGGTTTAAAAGTATTGAATTTGGCTAGTTGAAAACTACCCTATTATATTTTTTCAACGTTTAGCTAGTTTTAAAATTTAGGCAAAAGTATTATTGCGTTTATTGATTTATAAATTCATTTATTTGTTTGAAATATATACGTGACTTTTCATTATAAACAGATGCAACAGGTCTAGCTAATACGTGTATTGTTTGAATAATATTCTCGTATTGAAAATCCTAACAAGGAAGTATCCCACTATTGTGGTCAATGGCCGCTTAATTATCACATTTGTATGTATAAAAGAGGATCTTTTAGCTGCGGTTGCCCTTGCATTTCAGTTGAACGCACCCTCTACGCCAAATGGCTCATTCTAGCTTTTACAAAAAGAGCTCCTAACTCCACTTTTATCCATGTTTTCTCAGCTTGCAATCTTTTGGGGTCTTTTACATACATTTGGAAACAAAATTAGTTAAGTACCTATAGTTTTCTGTTGATATAGCCAAAGTTACGAACAATAATCAGGTATAACTGTTAAGATGTTTTAATAGAGAAAAGTCCGGCCAGGCGAGGTGATAATACTTGACGGCAGTTGTAAGTCGAGAATTTCTATCCCATATTGTAGGATTGCTAATATATGGAATTTAGGGTCGATCTTCTATGTGCATCGTTAAAATGTATTAATAATCAAAGTTCCTATATAAAACATTATATTTTTATTCTGTAGGTGACGATCTAGGCAGTTTGATGCTCCGGGAGAGCATAATGCGCGCGCAGCAGATAACGTGCCCCTCTCTAGCGTGGCTGCTACCCTCGCCGCTGTTCTGGAAGCCCACGGAGGTGCTGGTCCAGACCGACAAGTACAACTACACCATCAATGACTTCCAAAGGCTTTTTACGTGAGTAGGCTACATATAAGACTAGTTATCTGAATAAATTTAGCCTATAAGTGTTTATATTTATATAGTAACCAGTAATAGAGCGAGCTCTATAGGACTGGGCGGAGCTTAGTCCCTTGCCCATTTCCCTAAGGGTAAGCCGAATATCATCCCGTCCTTGATGTAGGGAAAACGAAATTTTTATTTAGCGTAGGGTTGGCAGGAGAAACAGTCACAAATTATAACTAGTAATTTTTCAAAATAGTGTTTAATTAACCTTTAAGTACCGACGTGCATTTTTTGTAACGTTAGTACCGACGTGAGGCCTGAGAGGCCGCGTATATTATATAGTTTTTTAAAGAAAGTTATGAATGAAATTATTTGTCCTTGCATTATGACGAAAAATAAAGGGTTTTGAAAATAAATAAATATAGAAAAGTAATAAACTTTATATATTTTTTTACTATAAGTCTACAATAATATTTGGCTTGAATTTTGGCAAAAAATCAAACTCTTTGTTATAAAAATCACAAAAATAAAAAATACTCCTCTCACAATAACAAAAAATAGTATTTCTCACTAACGACTAATATAACTCTTAGAAAAAAAATATAGTAAGAACATAAACCTTCTGAAAAAAAAATGTCCACACTCCAACTACACCTTCAATTCTAAGCACAATCAGGGTACACTTGTTTCGTGCACTGCAAACAAACGTGTTTTTTGCACGGATAGCATTTATAAGTCGATTTTCTTTTCAATTTAGGTGGACATGAAAGACATGTCTTTCGTGTCTTGACTTCCTCAGCTCCATCTTCACATGTCTCTGGCTTATCAGAACCAAGTAATTTTGCTAAACTAATTCTGTTCATGCTAGCTTCAGCAAATTCATGAAGCAACCTTAGGTTACAAAATCTTCGCTTTATATGCTCTAATACCAACTGTCGAGTTATTTTTTTTTTGTCTTCCCACATGTACATACATCATGTAAAAGATGAGAATTGACGGAACTAATATCCAAAATCCGGTAAAAAAATTGTCATAGCCGCCGATCAAGACCCAGCGCGGCAGCGTTTTGATCGGCGGCTAGTATAGCTAGTATACACAGAGCACTTCTTATCTATTTCATCTACTTCGCCTTTCGTAGAATTATAAAACTGTATAATTTCTGGCTTCCCTGAGTCCGTGTTTGTTCCTTCATTACGATGCATTGATGAAGCTAAAATGACCGCTTTTCCCTTCTTGGGAACATGAGACAATAACGTTGTATCTTTTGTGAAACCATATAAGGTTGATTTTTCTGGCCGCACAACTATTTCGCTTATTAGCGGAAGTCCCTGGTGTATCCATAGTTCATAATATCTGTGAAAATACCAGTTTGCTATACCAAAAAAAACTTACGTAAGTACCGATGTGAGGCCTGAGAGACCGCGTCGGAATTTCAAAACGTTATTACTCACCAAATACGCATGGGACACTAACACTGCCTGTTCCAACGTCAACATGGGCACTAAACTTACAGCTACTTAAAATCGGGGATTGGTATTGTGCGGGGTAAAAGGTAAACTAACAAGTCAAGTACCTGCCGGGGCCTCTCAGACCGCACGTCGGTACTTAAAGGTTAAGCAGTGATTAGCGATTTTAAGTTTGTGTGGAAATTTAAAATTGCCTCTTTCTGCCTCTTTTAACTGATTGATAAAGTATTATACATGTGGATGACGTCGGTAAAGGGATTTCCGCTATGTTATATACGTAGCAGGTGAGGTATGCATGAGGAAAATTCCCCAAAGATTATCTCAAATGATAACTGATAATCAGGTTCAAACTAAGAAAAAACCCTTTAGTTAATGGGGTTTCCCATAATTTCTTTTATTCTTCAACCCATATACTTTACCTTTGTAGCAACCACGCAGTTTTATCTGTATAAGTATTTAGATGTCCTAATTATTGTTTTCGTAGTAGCTTGAAATACAGGTAATATAAAAAAAAATAAAACATGTTACGATAATAATAATAATAATTTAATATTTTAAAACCAGTTTTCGATAAATAGTTTGATAAAACATATCGGTCAAAATGATAAATTAACAAACTAATCTGAATTTCTCTCGACCGCTCTACCATTTTGTTGATTTTCTATAGATAATAATAATTATATACATTTCATAATTATATACCCATTAATTAGAAGCATGCCTTTATTTCTTGGAATCGACTATTCTTTGGTAAATCTACAGCTTCTAATATCTCTGACTAAGCTAAGTGGTTCTTGCATTTACTTATTAAGCTAAAATAGCTTAATAAGTAAATGCAAGAACCACATCACTTATATATATAATATAAAACGAAGTCTCTTTCTCGGTACCTATATCCTCTTTATGTACTGGATTACATAAAACTATGCAACATATTTTAATGCGTTTTTTTAAATAGAATGTTTAAAGACGATGGTTGTTTGTTAAGAACATCCATTAAATAGTGGAGATATTTACTATCATCTTTGCAAAGCCGGGGCGGGACGCTAGTTACAAATAAAGAGGACTGGACCTCCGGCTCCGGTAACCTCACTGACACGGCGACACACAGCGAAAGTGCCTCACAGAAAACCTTTTTTGTGAGGTGCCTCACGGTTTCTGTGAGGCTATGGTATCAATCCTGCCCAGCCGGTCCGTTCGTGCCGAAGCATGGCTCTCCCAGACTTCAAATATATGATGTAATATTATTCCAGTGATATGGAGCTCCCAGACGCGTGGGAAATGCGCAAAGACACGGAGAAGTACACGAAAGATTTCGGCGCCCCCGGCGTCGAGGTGCACTGCATTTATGGATACAACATCAGTACCGTTGAAAGGTAAGACCGATAGACTATTTATTATTATATAATATATTGAATGTTAAGGCACCTTTCATTGTCAGGCAGATATTCTTATGCAGGTACGTTCTTCCACATTCTTACAATAACTTTTTACGTTGGTAGCTAGGTAACTCTTATTGTGGGGATTCGCTCTACGCATTATGCTCGGCTGTTTTTCTTTAGAAGATGAACTATCCTGTGTATTGGCTCTAGTAAATAGGTACATTCCAGAAATTGACAACCCCAATGATGAATTCTTAACTGTTACCTTTTCGTGTAAGTGTAGACATATTTGGGCAGACTCCAAATATATTTTAATAAGGACTAGAACAGATATTTGGCAAAAACATAAATTGCTGTAAAATTTCAGAAAATTAATAGTTGCTGGTCTTTAATGTGCATATATGTATTAGTCATTTTTGTCTTAACGACTTTGTTGTGATGACCTTTTCCTATCAAGTAGGTACGAGGGTTCAAAACCTGACAACTACCATAATGACTGAGTTATGTGTTCTTTCTAAAATTATATTGTATACATCACTGACACATGGTGAAGGAAAACATATGGACAAAAATCGACTCTGATAAAAAAAATAATATCGCCAACCCGCATTAAGCAATCGTGGTAATTAATACTGGTTCTTTCTCTTTGTGAAAGGAGGCCTTAATTCAGTTTGGAATATTTGCAAGCTGATGATGAAATACACCTTCTACATCACGGATCTTAACAAACCACCTTTCTCTCCACAGACTGGTATACAAGCCAGGCACATGGCTGGACGGCTACCCGACCCTAGCAATGGGCGACGGGGACGGCACCGTGAACCTTCGCTCACTGAACGCATGCGAACACTGGCGTAAGAAGAGATTCCGTAACGGCAATTCTGTGAAATCCCTCGCGCTACCAGGCGCTGAACATCTCAAGATATTACACGATAAACGAGTTTTGGACTATATACAGCTAGTTATGAAGAACTGAATTGTTTAATGTAAGTGTGGATTTAGGTTGTAACTTCTAGCAGTTGCGGATTGTAGCCAAGGAAAAATTTTCTAGCCAGGTTAGCAGGTCAACCTACCATGTCTTTCTTTAAAGGATTTTTAACTTTATTCGTTCTTGCAACAGAGTTGAAAATCTGTTAGGGATGTTAGGGTCGATTTTTATTTCGTTCTCTTCATGCCTAATTGCCGTAATAAAGAGCCGTTCTTAAGCCAAAAAATCTAAATCGATCTCTATTTTTGACAAAAAATCAATAGATATAATGTAAAAAAATCTATCGCAATTTAAAATTTTAAGGTTATTTTTTTTACTCCCTGGAAGAAATTTTTTAGTAAAACAGGTGCTGCTTACCTAGGTTGCCACATATCCGCTATGTAAATCTGCTGTGGAGGTTTATTGTGTAATCGAAGATATTCTTCGTCAAAGTATGGGTGCTTAATTTATGGAGAATTTGGTTTGAAATATTTACTTTGGCTGTAAAAAGGCCGAGGAAATAATTGGCATTTAATAAAGAAAGTAGACACAAAATAGAAATTAAATAATTATAATAAATAAAAAGGATTTTCCTCGTCTCGAATGAGATGAGAATCCAAAATTCCAAAGTCGTCAGAATTATGACTATGATGAAACTAAATTCTCCATGAAACATGTTGAAATGTTGTGCGTATTTTAGTTTAAGTAATTTAAGGAGAAATACTCTCAAAATGGAAATAACAGCTATATTTTGAAAATACATAGTCTAAATAAATAATGTTCTAATACAAATACTTAATCTCTTGCCAGTTACCTGTGTCGCTTTAATCAGAACTATATATTTATTTACTTAAAAAATAATTAAAAGAATAGTACTCACAGAATTATATTTATTGAACCATTCTAGATCTAAGCTCTCTTAGTAACTAATCTTAAGTAGAAAATTGAACTTTACTGATGTAGTCGTAAGGTTGAAAAAGGAATATACCTTTTGTTCTCATGCCTCAGTATGTTAAGCCAAGCTGTTACGGCTGTGATATCTGTTTAACATTAAATTGTATTTATTTCGATACCATGACAAGAAAAGTTATTGTGTAATTTTATCATTATTTTTCATACGTATAATGGGCATAATGATAACGGGGATAATGATAATGGGACTTACAAGTCAAATTCATCACTTCCGAAATAACAAAAAATAAATATTATTTTACGAGATTCAAGGACTTGAACTTTTAGTTAATGTTGTAAACGTGTATTATAAAATGTCCTTCACTTTTTTCCACTTAAATTTAATATTTTATCAATTAGAGCATTGTTTTTTAAGATGCTTTGACATTTCAATAAATGTATTGAATTTGACTGGTTGGGTTAGGTTATGTATAACCGGATTACGCCATTTTTTGGTTGTAAAACAAAATTAAGTAACTATTTATAAAATCAAGAGCATTAATTTTTCTTATAATATATCTGAAAAGCTCAATACGCCATCTATAAAATGACTAGTCATCCAAAATCATTGTCCTCCAGCTTTTATGAGATGTATTTTTAAAGGATTAGCAAATTATTTTGTATTTATTTTTGTATACTCGCATTTTATACTGCATTATTAAGTACCTCATAATGATTCCGATGTTAATTAAAAAGATACTCCTTAAGATCTTTAAATATTTCGTTTTGTCGCTAAGAGTAATCGTTTGTTTGTAAAAATGTAGCAATGTAAAAACGTATACTGTGTTCTTAATTACGTTTTTTACTTATTAATAATGAATGATTTCTGTGAATGATATTTTAGATAATAGACGAGGCTTCCACCAATCATCGTAAATGGTATTGTTGAAAGAAAATAAACAATAAACCCAAATAAATATTTATTTTATTTTGTACCACAAACCGGTTGGTATCACTAACAGTCATAATTCCAAGCCATTCTCGCGCCTTCTGGAAATTTGAAAACAAAAAAAGAAATAAAAATATGCATGATTCACAATTTTGAACTTACACTAAAATAAATAAGATCCAAAGTACCTGTGTGCAAAATATGCGCGTACATAATAATACGTGGGGTATTTACTATAGGGAAATATATATTCTACAAATAAAACACAGACTTCAGTAATAAACATGTATTTTTGACTCTGCATTTCATGTGACCGCCGTATCCATACATTTTCGTTAACACTGCGGTAAGTTCACATTTGTGCAAATACAAATAGAGACACATTAAAACCAAAAAAGACTATAAAATATACATGGGCGACTGTAGAGTTATTTTCAGGAAACGGATTCTGTCATATGGGATTTTAAAACAAGCAAAAAGCACTCCGATTTAAAATACATATCCAACCCTGTCCGTCAAGTAGCAAATATGTTTATATAGCAGGTGTGTTTATGTTAATACAACATCAATTAAAAGTTCTAAACTTTTGTTCGTTTCTTGGTACGATTTTGTTGGTTACTATGCTTATACCAACTGAATAGTAAGGAAATACCACAAATAACCATAGGATTAACAAGACTTAACTCGATAGAAGCGCCACCTAGCGTGAGCAAGAAACGATATCATTTTCTTTAAACAGAAATAAATGTGATTGCAAAATAATTTTTAATTCGTGTACCAAGAATAATTATTTGTATAGCACAAATATGAACTCACTCCGTTCCGCTGCTACACACATACTTATGAAATTATACATCTTACCAGCCCCGTTGTAAAGCTTAAATACTTACATAATACTAGAGTAAAAGCGGCTGACTTGAATTGTCTTCTTTCCATTAGAACATTAGGTATATTATCCTTGAAGGGTATAGACGTTTATTGCCAGGCACATTAATTTTATATAAGTATTCCAAATTGAGTATTTCGGTACCTGAAATCTCGAAAGGTATCGGTCATTGAACCCGCTCAAAATCAGTCAGCCGCAACTTTCCAAGAGTGAACAAAACGATCAGAGATCAATGAGGACTAATACGGTTCCCGCTAGATGGCGTTGATGCATCTTTAGATCTATTTGTCTGATCGCTGTATTTAGCATATATTTTATGTCTTATGATTTGACACTAGTTTATGCTGTATTTGTCAGACCACGCCCTACATTAGCGTCAAGAAGTTAAAGCGGTAGCCTTCATTTGTTCACCCTTGGAACAATTTCAACTCATTATAAGACCTATGCTATCAACCACATAATCAGATTCAATCAATCTCACTTCTTTCATATTAACACGAAGATAATTAAAATAACAACACTGCAAACGATATTAACAACGAAAGGACTATATATGTAATGTATTATATACAATAGACATTATTAGATATTTACATGCATTGCCTTTTACATTGGATCTTTTAACCAAACTTTTTTAACGAGACATACTAAATAACGACTTTCTTAAATTAACTGAGAAAAGCTGTACCAGTTTCAATTTACATCGAGACTAGAGTAAGAGCCAAGAGTCACTTGAAACTAGTAAAGCTTCTTACAGCAAATTCACCTGAGTAATTACTTTCAATAAACTAAGGTCTTGTTTACGTAGACGCAGGGCGTTGCGCGGCGCGTATTTCGTTTGTCGTTCATTACAGCATCAAGTCGTGTCAACGGCCGTGCAAACACATTCATATGAACATCACGAGCAATGTATGACGAACCGCACATCGCACCGCACAACGCGCCGCTTAAACGTAAACAAGGCCTATGAGTTATTTAACAAAGTTTAATTCAAATGAATCTAAATAATTTTATTGTTTACGTTAAATAATACTAATGTTATATTCTAACGACTTTAGTTCAATCTTCGTCCAACAAGCGATACTTATTAACAAAATGAGTGTAAAATATGCAAATCAGGTGGTTCCAGAAACTATCAACTACAATAAATTGACTTTCTGTACTCGAGCATCTTTTAATTTTAGACTATGTTTTGCACTCAGAAAGTCGTGTTAAAAGATCCAATCCAAACGGCATTAAAACGAAAACTAAACTATTAAAGTACAGTCAGTACAAAAAGTTGTTCACATTGTAATCACTGCGAAAAACAATTTGGTAGATATCAACGAAAATCACCGACTACCGTAATCTTTTTTTACAACATTTTCTTTTTCATTATTTACCTTAACAAACATTAGCTTCAGTTCTAGAGTGCATACAATAACAATAAATAGTAAATGCTTATATTCCTCTTAACGTCACGAATCAGCACCATTGAGACTGGTCGTGAAGATATACAACTAACGAGGAATGAACAACGTTAACCTAATTACATTTAACATTAAGGAAATATCACATTTTTAACCAAAATCATCATTTACACAAATTAATAAATTTCGCCAAATATACAAAAAAAACTGTTTTAGAAATGCCTCTAATTACACCAGTACTTCAAAAGTAATTTTTATTATGAGAAGACAAGAACAGTTCATATAAAATAACTTATTACATTATAACGAACAATAATGAACTTTATGTACATTACACTATTGTCGATAGTTACAAAACTCAGCGAGGCATTTTAAAAACTATAAATAAATAATATACCTACTAAGCGCTATCCACAATCACGGCCCTAACCACCTAATTATATTTTTTTTTTATTTGTTCGATTCCTACAGCAACATTCCACAGCTTCCATACAAAATTTCTCGAGCAGAGATCTCGTAGGAAACTCCTACTCATTTAGTGTGCACTTTCTAACTACACTGCGTTAAAAGCAAACCTTATATTCGATGCAGACTTATTAAAATCATTATACAACTTGTAACAGAGGTCTTGTGTGGTTTTATTTAAGTATATGAAATCAGCTTTATTTGTTATAGTACCATCAAAATGGTAGGTAATTTTATGGACGCTTTATTTATGGATAATATCTACTACTACCTCATTCACTCATAGAAAAAGACTTTCATACAAAGGAGAACTCACGTCAACTCTTTCTGTCACAAGTTGAATGACCAAAGATAATTTAAAACTTTATAAAATATTATAAAACCGCGCCTCTAATGCTTTGTATAGCTTTTAAAATTGTTTTTTTTTTTTAAAAAGTTGCACAGTCAACAATGAGATATACATATTAAAATTGAAATAGACACTTTAGCGACTGTTAAAATTTTGGAAAAAAAAGAAACGCCTTTGATGCCTAGATGAGATAAACAAAAATGTGTGTACCCGGTTGGTAGTACCAAAATTTTTGAAGTACATATTTCTATAAATTATAACTTTAGTAAATCACATAACAATTTTTAAATACAAATTAAATATTAATATTGATTTATTTATATTGATATATAAATATTTTTACTTGATTTTTATTGAAATAATAATTCAAAAAATTAATATTTCCGTATTATCAACTTTATTGTGACAAATTAATTATTACGTTTAACGATTTACTACGTCGTTACTAGAACCTCGATTAGTTGTGAACCGAACTAGGGGCTTATAGGCAAACGTCATCAGTGCTCAAGAACATGAGTGCCTAGGATGGCTTAAAACAAATCGAGTTCCTTGAAAAGTTTCGAAAGAAAGCCGTAAAATAAATATTTAATATGTATATCCAAAGAATTAGTCTGATTGCACAACTGAAATAGAAAACAGTTACAATTACAGAGGCACTATTCGAAATTTTATAATATTTTTATAGAAACTTGATGTAAAAAGTCGAGTCAATTTAGTACTTATTGATCGCGTTGGTTACATGGGTACTCTTACAGAAAGTAAGGCGTTGTTTTTATTAATCTTACACTACCGAATTATCCTCTATACGAATAAGCACGTTTGGTTAAATGTTTTTTGTAACTAAGAAATAAATTTTTAATATAAATTCAAATAAATTTCTTGTTTATAAACTTTGATGTTTAGTTTATTTACTGATTGCGTAGTTTCCTAGGTCAAACATAAATTATTTTCACTTTTCAATACAATGTATTATAAAAATAAAATCATACGATTATTGATTGATTTGAAAATAATAAGAATGCGAATTGACGTCAAAACAACGAGTTATGGCGACATTTGTTGTAATTTTATACAAAATTAGAAGTTTTTTGAATAGTTGTAATTGAATGAATAGAGCTTTCTTTAGTTAATCCAT